CGACAGATGAACGACTATGTGATTATCAAACGACCAAAAACATGACTACGCCGAAAAGATGACAGAGAAGTTAAAAGATTGAAAGTAATTTGACAGTAACGTCGACTAGGACCTTCAGGGAACTAGTAAAAGGGTCATCTAAACGAGATGGAACTTGAAAAGAGACATTTAACCTAGGGCTCAGAATATCAATCGCAATCGATAATTTCAGGTTCGAGAGGTAAGGGAAAGGTATATAGTGATAACACTTATTTACTAGAGTTAAAGCCAATAATGAATTTATATAGAAATTGAGATTGAGGTGAGTCATATGAGATGGTATTCGGTTGGCGGAGAAGAACGGATGATATATAAAGCCAGGAGATAAGACTGATGCAAAATATATTCGAGTAGCTTGCGAGTTGCTGAGGTAACACTATATTACAATGTCTTTACAAGCAATACAAAATCAAATCCGTGACATTATGCTACAATGGCTAGAAACAAGTAAAATGAATGCACAGCTGAAGTCAATCCAAAATCGCAAACGGCTGCCGGGAAAAGGAATCATAACAATAGGAGGTTGTAGACTTTAATGACAATGAGGACGAGACTGATGAGTTATGAAAACATTTTATTCATGTCAGGGGTGTATGATACAATGACATTGTATAATTTGAGTGCCAACCGACTTCGGGTGATGGTTCAGTATACGAAAAGAATGACTGGACAATGAGGTATAGAATAAATTGGAGGCTCGAGAGAAAATCCAGATGTGATGAAGATGATCGCATTTAGAACTTGTTATGATATATAGGTTTGTGGGTGTTGGTCAGCGGAACAAATCAACCTATTCAACGGAAACCATGCATTTTCGCCGTTTACCTGCATCCATATCGGTTTAGTTGACGGAATCCTCGAGTGTTCCTGACCACCTTGAGTCAATATGGTTTTTCATGTCCAACTATCCACTCAAGTCTGCAATTCCTTATTTACCTAGGTGTTTCGTTGGCTCACCACAAGTTCAATCTCTGCTGAATTACAACATAACGACACCCACCCCACTTCCGGCAGAATGGATCCTATTCATTTTATCCACACCACCCGCGATGTTGTTCGCCTTATAGTTGTACAAATAATAATGTAACTGGCCATCACCGGCACCGAACTTCTGCTCTTCCAAAAACAAAGTATTATCCATAAGCGTCAACGCATTAAAGACATCGAATTTAAATTTCTTTGCAATGATAAGAGCATCATGTGTGAGTTCATTGAGGCGTTTACCAAGATCGGTTCTAGAGCTAGCTGGATCAAGGGCAATCGTTGAGGCGTAATAGAAAAGATAGGCAGCGCGAACATTAGTGTGCTTGGGGTGGCCAATGACGGAGGATTCGAGACAGTAAAATGAAAAGAAATCAGTGAGTTTCTTGGTTGTAGGGTCCTATGAAGGTGTTAGTTTGTGGTGAAATGATATGTAAAGACCGTAAATACCTCCACAACATAACACCAGATGACTTGCTCAGCAGGATTCTCAATTCTATTGAAAAGCCAATGCTCTACTTCCTCTCTAGTGAAAACTGGTGCCATGTCAAATTTTGCGAGGTACTTCTTTAGAAGATCCAAGACCGCATCAATATCTTTGGATTCCATAGGTCTCAATCCTCTAGTGGATGTATTCGATGGTAGAGCAAATTTACGAACTTGTCGCTCTGGTGTACTTCCCGGTGGTAGGGGACTGAATTTGACCTCGTGTAGCTTTTTCCAATCCAAAGAACGATGATAATATCTACATGTACTGACTGGCTTAGGTAAGACAACACCAGCAGTATAGATTGCCTGCCATGTCCCTTGTAGGTAACATCTACGTGTAATCTCTTTAATGAGAACGGGGGCTAATCGTTTCGATCGGAGCTTCTTGTGGATGCAAAGGAAGTTGACTTCGGAGGCTTTGAGGGTTTTGTTTCGTACTCGAAGTGCAACTGGTATGGCTGATATGAAAGCGACCAACTTCCCTGATGCAGTAGCTCGAACACCAACGTGCCACTCCTTACTCCAACCTGGCGACATAAGTGCCCTAAAATGTCAGTGAAAATCAAGGCAACTTTATATCAATATCTTACCATCTGAGGAATGACTTTGAGTAATTAAATCGGAACATAGCTTCATCATCTTCAACGTAGTGGCCATATAATAAATCGAAGACTTCTTGCAAAGCCTCATCACTTGTCATATCCATTGTAACCCAATTAAATCCAGATATCAGTGGACCAGGTTCTTTGGGTACTTGTTCCGGATCAACAATTTTGAATGGACCTTCTTCAATAACTTCTGAGCTTTCCCCAAACTTAGGAACCGGTTGTGTTTGCCAAAACTTGTATGCGCCCATTTCCTTAACGTTCTTCCCGCTTGAGGCTAAACCGGTCATGATATCCTCTAAACTGAGCTTTCGTACAGCTTCTGCAGCTTGCTTCCCTGACAGATCGCCATCAACAGCACCAATTTGTTGTGCCAGAGCCGGATTTAATGCGAGTAGTTCTCCAATTTGAGATTTACTGAGACCCGCAACAGCTTTTGAAAGGTCGTCTCTTGTAGTATCTCCGCTTGATCCAGTTGAAGATGCTCCTACTCCTAGTGCGGCCTTTATCTTCTTTCTCTTTGATTTCTTCTTCTTTCCGGTAGCTGGCGTGTCAGTTGCGCCAGTGGTTGTTTCATCATTATCCTCTTCATTTTCGGATTCGACTTGTGCTTGGATAGAGGTAGTATCTCCGAGGGTATCTTCAGAGGCAATTTGTTTACCCTTGGGCTCGAGAGGTGCTGAGTCGTCTGCCATTGTTTTTCGCTGATTTATAGGATGAGTAGAGAGAGACGTAACAAAAATGTAGATGATCAGAGCGTTCGAGTATTAAGCAAACAACCTGAAAGTGGGAAGCTTGTTGGCGGGGTTATGACGCTAAATTTTGATTCGTAAAACAAAAGTCCGACCAGTCCCAAAGAGGAAGTACGAAAATGACCTTACTAATTCCGAATTCTTACATATAAATCACCACAATATTATACAAGCGAACATGCTGTCAAGGTAAAGTAAGGATAAAAAGCATTATCCATGGAGTACAGTGTCTATATTTGAAAAGCTGTGCTTCGAAATATGTGCATTCTTCCGTGATGATCCATCAATCGACCAGATTCCAGCTCATGTGCCATTGTAACCTTTCATGATATATAAATAAAACAAAACTATGTCCAGCACTCAAATTTTGTATTGCCTATGCTTCTACTATCATGGACTTGTTGATCATGGTAGTACCCCTCCGTTGTCAAAACCAAATGCCTTAAACTATAACATTGAGGAGTCAGTAATGTAATGGCATGTATGTAAAAGGTTTTGATTCAAGGGATAAGGAGCATTAATTTAAAGTTCTAAACAGAGAACATCAAGAGGAAGACTTTCAGGAGTCATGGAGAATCAGAGATATCTTATGGGTGAAGAGGTAGGGTATGTGCATTGAAACATTAGGGAGCACGATATGGGATTGAGCTTACCACTGCTAAAGACAGAGGCGCATATGTTAGAACTGTACTATGAGCTAGAAATAAGTTAGCAAAAGCTTCAAAATCTTTTACTGGTGACCGTAAATACTTACCGCCATGACCAACAACTTCTTGTCGAATAATTTTATCATTTCCAGTCTTCCAGGTCGAAATGAAAGCTCCATCACCCATATCAATTGTATTTCGCGCTTTCATCTTCTCTAATAACTCCATATCTATTCCACTATCCATAGTACCATTCGCCGCTGCCGCGAATAGCTCTTGGGAATGATACCATGGGATCTCGTAATCATCCAAAGCATGAATTATGAATAGTCGTACCCGCTTGCTGATGTGGACAAAATTTGTAAGTCGTGAGGTAGAAGGCCATTTGTCATTTAGATAGCTAATGAAGAGTTTTTGTAACGCGGGATATGGTCGCAATGGTGAGAGTAATGGGATCCAACCCGCAATAGAGTAACTGGTGAGTAAGTTTGAAACATCTGTGAAGCCAGCTACAAGCACAACACCTGCAAATTCGATCCCTTGCAATGCAAAATGTTCTACCACTCCACATGCAACTGCTGTTCCTAAACTCTGTCCTAGGACAACAATTCGGGAAGATGGAACTTTGGCGACCGTCATAGCCCAATCGGCTGCCGCAATGCCATCAGTAATGAGACCCTCTTCGGTGGGGAAGCCAGTCGAGCGACCAAACCCTCGATAGTCAATGGCTAATATGTGAATATTTGAGGTGCTTCCATCAGGTATCGACCGATATGAGCCCGTTCGTTCTCCTTGAGCCACGTTCCCAAAAGTCTGCCGTACAATCAGCTAATGGCATCGAATGCAACAAGGGGAAACTATCCGTACCCCATGAACTTTTATCATTAGCGTGTGGTAAAGAGATGATTCGGGGAAAGACTCACAATTGATAATCAGCCGAGCGTCCGGATCATCTTTCAGCAATTCGAATCCTTTTGTGAGACTTATATCATGAACGAATCCCGAAGGTTGCTTCAATATCTCGAATTCATGCTTAGCATAAAGCCCAAGTGGCATTATGTGCCAAGCATAGAGAGTCTCCCCATCTGGAGTACTGAAATTGAATGGTGATACCTGATTCTCTACAGATTTTGAGCAATGGAGGATAGGTATGTATATGGCTAGTGTTACTGACTAGCGAAGCCGAACTTTTCTGGCTTATCTATATCCGTTGCCCAGGCTTGTGGCAAACGCAATTTATGCACATACATAACACTTTAGGTATGAGCAAAATGATATATTCATTGTTGGAACAGAATGCATGACTTACTGTCTTTGCAGCCATGGATTTGTCAAGGCAATCAATGCTAAAGCGTAGAAGAAAAGTCCAAAGAAAAGAGAAAAGTATGCTTTCTTGAAGATGGGAGCCAAGGGTGCCATACTGCGAATGACAAAATCTCAAGACAGGAAAGCTAGAGAGAGATAGGAGAAAGTGTCAGACTGGATGAACAATGGATAATTATCAAGTAGATATCTTAAGAAAATTAAAGATTGAATGATTCAGAAAGGTAAGGAAATATATGCAACACAATGTTAGCCATGAGAAATAGAAATGTCGCCGCTCAGCCGCGCGGATAGGAAGGATTATGGATAGATACCTGGTGACTGTGTAAAGTATGAATGGATGAAAAAACAATCAATTATTGGATACTGTATCTATAAGAGTGAGTGTTGTGTACATACATACTATATATACATGTATGTGTATTATGTATATAGAAACAGAAACAGGACTTACACGTTCTTTTCACCCAACTTCAATTATCCTTTTCTTTGTGAATTCCCCTTATCTCCTTCGAACTTTAACTGTGGCCTATAAGTATCATATACTTTTCAGCAACTTAACGATGTTGTGATGACTGCGAGCTGCAGGTTATAGGATCACCCGGTTGTTGTCCGTGTAAGAAGAGAAATCCATGTTCCTAGGGTGCTCTAAGGTTACCTGCTCTACCACACCAAATTCACTTCCGCCGCGCTTCACCATTTCCCTTCACTTCACTACACTTTACTTACAACTTCAGCTCCAACCAATTTAATTGCTTTTTTTTACCACTAAATTTGCAAGACGTCTGTATAAGAACTCAAATATCGCAACTGAAAGCTGAATATTCGGAATTGACGGAAACAAACTAAGAAATATGGAAAGAAAGAGAAAATTACCTGCGAGGTCGTCCCGTGGAGAGCCTGCAAGCAAAAAACGAACTGCTACGCCTCCAGATCGATCAATTTCTGCGACTCCCCAACCACCTATTGAAGAGACTCTGCCAAAGAGTATTGTTGCCGGTATGCCTTTGCCTACTGTCAATGAGCCTCAATCCGAAAATCTTTCTTCCAAAGAATTTCAAACAATTTCCGAAAGGTAACTTTCTATCCCTCATGCCCAAGTCACTGAGGTTGATACTAACGTTTTACAGCGGAGTTCTTGCGGAATCACTGCAAAGATCACGACAGAAATGGGTCAGCGAAGGTATATTTGAGAAGTATTGGACGAAACCGACGAAGAAGAAGGGTGTGCCTGCAGAACCTTTGAACAATCCAGGAAAAGATACTATGACGAAGCTTGGAACATGCCAAATAACTATTGAGCCTCATGTATTTGATGCTACGATGTATGCTATCAAGGAGCCAAAGTCCGCCTTTCAACCCGCTCAACAACAACAAATGTATCGTCCAATTATTCAATATGGTCCTCCAAATGGAGTTATGCCAGCACCTGCTTCCACCCAAGCACCAAGTCCGGTACAACAGAAACCAGTCCAAGCAACACAACCGGCAATACAAGCAGTGACCCCAAAAAATACTGCGCCAACTGCTCCCATGGTTTCTACTCCTCTTTCTACTGCTCAAGCACCACCAATGAATAGCACTTTGATGAATGGACAAAACCCTACACAAGGCCCAAAGAACCCGAATACCAATTTACCTCATCCAACCAACGCACTACCACCTGCTCAACCAAATAAAAGTACAGATCCTGTAATCCAAATGTTAGCGGAGAGAGCGGCGACAGATGCCGGTTTGAAAGCCTTAATGAGGATCGTGGCAAATGGCGAAGCGTCACCTGCTGAGCTTAAAAAGTTTCAAAATCACATTGATGAACTAAATCAGCTGTTGAAAGCACGTCAGCCTGCCCCACAGCCATCCTTCAATAACAATACACAGACACCACTGCCACCTACCACTCAGAGTGCTGGGCTGCAAAATACACCAGTCGCCAAACCTGCCTTGCCTCCCACGCCTGCACCCGCTCCCGGGCCACCTCAGCAACCTCAAGCCCTTCGATCAAAAGGCCCGGTAGCTCCACCCAAGCCGGACATTTCGGGTGTTGTATTCGAGTTTAATGGAGGTAACGGCGATCGATACCTTTTCCCGAAGTACAGTATCCTTGACTATCTTCCTGGTGGCCAAGTCATAGCCTCTTTTCTTATTGTCCGTAAAGGCAGTAGCAGTGATTCCGGCACGTATGATCCTGAGCTCGATTACTACCAGCCAGTCACGATTCGGCTTTATACTCACCAAGGTAAACAACTCGATTCATTACAAAAAGTTGTTGCCTCCCCGGACGAGGTCCGAAGATATATGGATGATATCATGGATAATATGACAAGAGCGGAATATGTTCTGTTGGCCATGCGTTTACCCAGGGATTCTGAATCTGAAAAGGAAGATACACCTACGAACTCTTCAGGCCAGCTAGAATCTGACACCAATAACAATTCTAATTTACCACTCTGGCAAACTACAAATGCACCACCACCTCCACCAGTGGCAAAGTTATCATCTTCGAAAAAACTTCTTACAGAAGAAGAGAAATATCAATCATTCATTACATCAGTTACTTGAAATTTTTGGTTGAGTATGTCTATAGGATAGACCAGTGGATTTCTTTTGTTTGTAATACTATACCTGGGCGGCGCAATGAAACGGAAAGAAAATCTGGATGGATCGGGACACCGGAAAACGGCGGGAAAAGATGGAGATACTCAAGGACTCATTTTTACGGAATGATGGGAGGCACAAGGGAACGGATGGAATGGCGTATCGAGGCACAGGAAAGTTCATTAATTATATCTTTGGCCGAAGATTTCTTTTCATTTGCGGTTTAACTTTCTATCAATTTGATGTGTTCATAAATGATATTCAAGGCGCGGGGAAAAAACATCATAAGGGGTAGATGTATATGTATTCTAGATCAAAGATGAAAAGAAGGCGACTAAACTAGAGGCAAGAATTGCAACTAAACGTATTTTGAGGCTGAATGACTTTTTACGGCTATGGAAACCTCACATGTGATTTCCTTCATTTTCCTTTGGGTTCGAAAAAAATTCACAGTACACCTGATATTCCCCAATTTTATCAATCACACTCTAACCCTCCACGTCCACTTCCGCCCCAGAACCTCCCATCTTGCAAGTGCAAAGCACAAACCGGAAAGAAGGAGGATGAAACCAAAGAAAGAGATGAAGAGGTAGTGAGCTACTCGAGGGAGTATTATAGACGAGAGGGGAATACTGAGAGAACATCTTTTAAATTTGGCATTTAGTAAGTTAGTTAGTTACTTAATTCTATCTCCAGGAGAGGAGGTAAATGAAACGGGTTAGGTAAGGAAAAGAAATAGGAGGAAAATAGATAAATGGAAAGGAATAAAATACATACGCAATAGCAACACCCAGCTGACTAGCACCCCACCAACGTGCATATACGTTAGAGGGACATAGAGCGGATATGCACAGTGGGGCGCAGCTCATGATGGCGCCGGAACCGAGACCGGAGAGGGTGGCGTAGAGGTAGAGGAGGATTTGTGGGGTTGAGGGAGAGCTTGGGGTTGGGGTTGGGGTTGGGGTTGGGGTTGAGGGGATGGGAAGAATAGAGGTGGGGAGGAAGAATATGAAGTTTGATAGGAGAGATATGGAGACTAGGCAGAGGAGAACGATGTTGTAGGGGCCGAGGTGGTCGGAGAGGGGACCGGAGAGGAGACGTCCGAGGATGGATCCGCTGGTTTTGTTGGTGTTAGGCTGTAGGGTTGGTTGTAGGGTTGGGAAATGAAGAGGGGAGAGGGGAGGATTAGGAGAAGGTGGAAAAGAAGGTATGGTAGATATGGAAGATGATTGGGAGGAGGAGAGAACTTACGCATTAACAATAGCGACAACATTGAAAGAAACAGAGGTTGAAAAGCCCTGTTTCAATGCATATGTAGGGAGTAACCCCGTGGTGCCTACAAGTACAAATTCGAATACTAGATGGGTTAGCCGTGTCAAAGTATCTATGTATGTGACTCATCACAGATCAAATAAGGAAGATAAATAGAGTCAAATGAAAGGATCAAAGTGATGAAATACTTGCGTGAAATGCCAGCCATGCACCATAGAAACCTTTTATCCCGCAATAAACCCCAGTCACCATCGATTTTTTTCTCGTGCCAAAATTTCCACCATGAAGTCTCATTTCTCGTGTCCGTAGTAGTCGTACTAACATCGCAGTCTCCATTTCGTTCCTGATTGCCAACCCGACTCTTCCGCGAACCCCCTCGAGGCAAGAAAGCCAAAAACCCAACTGCAACCAAAATTCCCACTATCCCAGCCACAATCCTTATAGCATCCGCCCATTCCAAATTCTCCAGCACCGCTTTTAACACAAAAGTGAAGATAATTCCTCCCGTTGGATTCCCCACTAGCGCAATACCTGTCGCTAAACCCCTATATCCCGTTCCTTCGAAGGTGTTTAGCATTGCATTGGCAACTGTACAGAGGGGTGACATGCCTAGGGCACTGAGAACTCCATATACGAGGAGGAAATGAAGTAGGGAGGAACAGAAGGATAGGAGGGCTAGGGAAAGGATGTAGATGAGTGAGCCGGGGATTAGAAGGGGAAGTGGGCCGTAGGTGTCGTATATGGGACCGAGGGGGAGGAAAAGAAGTAGGGTGAGGAGAATATTAAGGGCGGGGATTAATGAGAGGATGGGGAGGGATGTGTCTGGGAGGTTGTGGATGGAGAGGTGAGAGAGGAGGATGCCGGTGCTGTTGTAAAAGCCCCAGGTTGAGAGAGTTAGGGTGAAAGACGAGATGGTTGTTAGGACCAAGTTGGAAGGGGGTGAGGAAGCACTAAGTGAGGATATTGCTGATGTAGCATTGGTGCCCTTTTCTGAGTCGTATGTTGTTGGTGAAAGAGGTTCTCTGAGCGGGATAGATAGATCAACTTCTTCGATTACCTCGATAGTGCTCGCAAGTGAAGGTTTAGAAGATGTCAACATCGCCATTTTTGTCGGCCCCACAATGTGAATATCACTCGATCTTTATAGGGCGCCATTTTAGTATCCCGGAGACCTTTTAAAGCAGTTGCAAAAGCAAATGAACAAACTCCATCCGACGCAATGCTATTCAATCCCCAGCTTGATTTGATCACCAAAATAAGCTTCAAGTCTAGCCCACATTATCCTAGTATACAGTATCTCACATCCACAAAATGCAGTACAACACTACATGTATACGAACTTCATGTGCTCTGTCTGCCGCGTCTTTGCTTTTGCATGCAGGAGGGCAAAAGCAATCAAGGAGGAACCCAAAATAGGACAACATATCTGGAGTAGGAATGGTTTACAGCCAGAACGACATGTGTGATGTATGTAAAAAATACACTCCATTCAAACAATGCATATGCTCAGGCTTGCTTTTCTGGTACCTGATCGCCTACCGAAGGCGAGGGAAATATGGAGCAGACGGTCTTTCACATATACCAATCACATTATACGGAACAAAGCCATAAAAAAAGGGGATATTTGTTGTAGGGATGATTCGGAGATTTTGTATGCACGGAATAGATCGGCTACATTGTGATGGGTGATGAGTGTGTGCTGCCGAAGGTGGGAGATGTGACTGATCCGGGACTCTGTCATTAATGCAGGGCCGAGGTCGAAGCCGCGATTGATGGTTGGATGAAGACTGTCGGGATATTATGCAATAAAGTTTTAGCAGAAACTAACAGCCCACATTTTCAGACCGCCCTTTGCCACTCTCCTTTCTCTTTGGTTGTAGAAAAACGGCACCTAGGTTGTTATTAGCCTCTGTGAGGATCCAAATATTTTTCATCAAAATATTGCGAGTAACATTCGCATGAGTGTAATGGAAATCACCTCAATATAAAATATCACCCAACAACCCAACTATATATATATCCCCAAAATAAACCAGATTTGTGGTAAACCATCAGATATCACAAAATCCTTCATTCGCGGATGAAGTTATCATAATACCTGGACCATATTTAAGCAATAACGTACGTTTAATTCCAAATGCAAATGCTTGGATTCAGAGCCTTTACACCCACACTTGAAGCTCATCTTTCATCGCCATTCTAGCAAGAATCTTTCCCGTTCCTGAGAATTCTGGAGCCCAACTCGTCATTTCCCAATGGCTATCCATAGTCCCATCACACTTGGAACACCTCCCGCGATCAGGCCAGCCGCTTCGTCTTTTGCATGTTTTCCAATTTGAGGCCTGAAGCATGCTTGTCCTAGTATGAATTCGCCTTTTTCGATCGCCGGGAAATGATTGATGCTGGGCCTTTAATGCCCACAATCACGTTTTGATCCACCTCCATTGTATTGTATCTTTCTTCCTGTATTCTGGAGATACCTTCGAGGTTGCTGGGTCGAAATTTGGGACAAAACGTATGGACTTGATGATGTTTTGAAGGGCTTGTTAGGATTCTAGAGCTCCTGACACCATGTATGGGAGTACGAGGCAGCAATTTAGATAGCCATGGACCAGCTGCGACGATTATGTCAGTTGCGTGAATTTGCCTCATACTCCACGTTGGGTAAATTTGATAGAATTGACTGCACTGCTTCGAAGAATATTTAATCAAATTAGCAGATCCTATGATGATGTCCACACCTTTTATGCGAGAGATAAAAGATGGCTGGTGAGGTACTCCGGATGAACTTGAGCAGTATTTTCTGGTTTACCAATCTCGGTGGATTCCTTGATCCCAGACTCACCAATCCAGCTCAATGTTTCAGGAAGACCAATACCTTTCGACACATAGGTTTCGTTCTGCGAAGTAGGCACAGAGAATATGGCGGTAACCCCACAAAACATCCTTCCTATACCTTTGAGCAAGCCCAGTTTGTAGCTTGAAACTAAGAGGAGCGAGTCGAAAAAGAGTTACCCATGGACCTAAGAAGCCTGATGACCTTAGGACGTATTTCAAAAAATGATCCCAAATCACGAGGGTTATTCCATTTTCGTACATGTAGTTCAAACTTTGTATCAAGGAGCTCCAGCTTCACCAGCAAGGTCCTGCTATTTACGTAGCTTCTAGAATGGTGATCTTGTGAGTTGATGAACCGTACAAGAGGTGTTGAGTCACCCAACACCAATAACACAACCATCCAATTCACATTAGAAAGGGGCTTGAGGGAGAATATTGGGAACTACCTATGGAGACAATGCTTTTGTATCTTGTCCAAAATCACCCATTTCGATGACTTGATTGGATGGAAACTTCCAGGATCTTACTGTGGACATTGAAGATATTGTGGTAAAGTGTGCTCTGAAAGTCAGAGGTCGATGAGGAGATTTCTTATACTTAAGTCCACTCATATAGATTAATCAGCTTGCGTGAATGATACCAAGCGCTTGTAATCGGTATCCCCAATACAAACCGTGTCGTCCAGACCGATAGAGCAGACGCTTAAAGCCATTACTTGTACTTTTACAGAGGAAGGTATTGTATCTGACCTATGATTCGACAATGAATGAACTCTCAAGGCGGTGAAACTCGGGGCAGAATTCTGGATTCGTCTAGCATAACTTTTGCACACCTTCACATTGGTTTGCTTACACAAACAAAAACTTCCTCAGGATTTATAATATGAAATACTTAATCTCAATTGAATGAAGCCCAACGTCGCTGGTGCATAGATCCACCGCATATTACGTGCATTTCCTCTTCCTCCGCCATGCATGCATACTTACTCGCTTCTGGTTTGCTCATACCAATAAGTTCGAAATTCAAGCATGATGAAGGTACTGCATCTTCACAGCCTTATGCAGAGCCGATGCGCAAAGAGGTCTTGGGGATGCGCAATTGAAGAGCTCTCCAGTGGAGATTTAAGTGAACGTAGAAAACATTCCCCAGTTTCTATAAGTTCGAGACTCTGGGAATGAACGCCACAATATATGATGTCTGTTCTGGAGTTGAGACGCTATCAGTGAATCCGCAATCTTGTCTTATGGCGGAAATCCAAATCGAAAAACGCATGAGTATCGTGTTGTGAGACGAAGCACTTCAAAAAGGATCAGTATCGAATATGGCAAGGTCTCCGAAAAAAATGTGATCATTCTTGAGCCCAAGACTAGGGAATTGAGAAAGCCAACGCCACATTCTTGGTCCTAAGACGTACAAATCTTAGGAGGTCCACGGAAATGATAAGAGTTTGGCGTGGCTTTGAGACCATTTCTCAGCCCTAACAATGATCTATTCCCATTCCGTTAAATGGTCTCATATGGCTTGACTTGGGATTAAGTCATTTTCCTTTCGTTTTCAGGCTGAGTCACCTGCATTTTCCATCATTCTCGACGCAAACGCCTCTAAATGATTTCTTTATCATTACTTCTTCATTTGTAGTTCAAATTCCTGACAATTCCAATTTCAAGTGCCATTCTAAAAACTACATACACAATGACAATGGGTGAAAAAACTACAAATTCACAACCTATGATGGAGCAGCCACCACTTGCAGTTCCGTAAGATCAACAACTTCACCAACAGCAACAGGAACAGCAGCAAGCATCAGGTTATTCTGGTCCTGGTGTTGCCCAAGAGTCAACATGGTCGAATAGCATATGGGATTGTTTCTCGCCAGGCTCACTTTGTACCTAAGCCCTGATCTCGCACATTATATCCTCTCAATCAAACTAATCATATCAACCATTAGGTCTCAAAGCGACTTCCTGCCCATGTTTCGTCTACGGCAAAACTCAACATCGTCTCAGTCGAGATCCCCATCTTATGGGCTATGAGCGATTCAATGCTGACGTATGCCGTTATATGACATCTGGTTAATTCTACACAAGCTGACTTCTTATAGTGCTTTATGTGGGCGGGTGCTCAATGGTGCGGTCTAGGTCTAATATGCCATTGGAGGAAGAGATGAAGAGAAGCTTAAGGATTTGGTATTGAGTTGGTGTTGTCATTGCAGTACTTTGATGCAACAGGAGAAAGAGGTTGTTATGAGGACTCACGATGGTCATAAGTTACAACAGGGATATCAGAGACCGGATCCAATGGTAGTAGCATAAAATATCGTGGGCCGGGTGTAGCTTCGAACTTTGGATGGTGGAAGAGGAAGCTTGCTACCACGTAAAATTTGGGATGGACATGCGCGATGGAGCATAATGATACCGATTTGATTGTGTTTCAATGTCTATAGCACGCTTAATAAGTCAAAACCACTTATCGCCATCGCACGGCACAACATTTATCTGATGATATGTGAGAACATGAGGTTGATAGCCTTGAAGTTAATTGCATTACATCCTATCTATTGGTATTAATCCGTTCCCCAGTAATCTACCCTAAACGCCATACCATGAACTCACCCCCATACCCTCAAAGAACCACATATCACATCCCACCACTCCCCCTCTTCCTCTAACCCCTCCCAGCCTCCCTCTCTTCCCACTCTCCCGCCTCCTCCCGCTCTCCACCTCCCTCCACCCCCTCCCCCTCAACCCTCCTACTCAAAATAACATAATCACTCTGCACCAGCCTCCCCCCCTTCAACCTCTTCGGTTCAGGACTATACTCATCGATCTCAAACCCAAATTTCTTATAAAAACCCAACGCTTCCTTATTAGCCACAAAACATGTCAACATGATTTTTTCAACGCCGGGAATTGCGCGCGATATGCTGGTGAGGAGGGTCATTAGGTGGGTTCCTAGTCCTGTGCTTTTGGGGTTAGGAGTTAGTTGGTTGGTTGGTTTTTATGTATGTATGGATAGGGTTTAGGTAGGTAGGTAGAGGTACGGATGGGAAAATGTGGAAATAGGATTGGGGGATATACCTGCGTAATTCTTCGGGTAGATGGATTTCGTAGAGATAGATTACTTTAAATCCATCTTCGAATGTGGGCATGAAACTCATGAATCCTTTTATTTCTCCTTCTCTTTTTTCCTTCCCATGCTCTTGCTCTTGCACAATCATCCCTTTTTCCTCCTCTCCAGCTTCCCCTATACATACATCCTCACCCTCATCAACATCCTCCCAAGCTCCTCCACCCACAGATTCCCTAACAACCAAATACCTCAAATCCAACAACCCCATTTCCCTCCTCTTCCTCATCCCATTCCACCCCAATTTACTCCCCCTATAATGTCTCCCCGACGTCTTCTCAATCAAATTCAAACAAGCTGTTAAATCCTTAGCATGGAGCGTATCCGCTTTGTATAAATCTATTTTATATGATTTTGCCGGTACATCTTTTTTGGGCGGTGGGGTGTAAAGTGCATATGATGATCTATTTGGTGTTAGTTAGATTGTGTTACTGGGAAAGGATGAGAAACGGATTAGGAGGAGGATTTGTACCGAGGAGGCATGTAATCACGTTCAAAGTCCTCGAGAGATTTGGCGCATGCGGTTGTGATGGGATCTAGATCTAGATCTTGAGTTGACATTTTTTGGTATTTTTGATGTTGAAAATTGGGATTCTGATACTTCCTTTATGGTAAAGAACTGAACCTCAACTATAAAATAATATCTATTATTAAAGTTAAAAGTTGTTCTTTGGTATCTACTGTACATAGTAGGTACATATATAATAAACGCGTCTAGAGATTCTAGACAAAGTACCCCGCGACGCGAAATTCCGCTCCGCCCCACCATTTATCTTCATCTAATTATCATTATCATAATTATCACCATCATACATTCAATAAACCCATATCCCCAAACCCACCATCCACATTACATCTTCACCCTATACTCACTCACCCCAGCATTAGTATAAGTAAATCCACACAAAATGCGCATTCCCCCATTACAACCCCGCATCCGCATCCACATCCAAATCAATAACGTCACTCGTACAACAACCCGTGAATATTCATCCCTCAAACCACGGCGACAGAGTAAACTCGGTCCTACTGTATCACTAGAACACGTATGTCCCATTTTCATCCTTATATACATATATAAGTAAGAAAAAGAAATTTAATTCAAAGAGTATTAGTTTCTTCAACGATCAAAAGCTCTCTCACTCTATAGACGTATCCTGCGCGATTGTCGACGGATTCCGGATGTGAAATCGAGGGATGAGACGAGGAGGTTTGTGAGGGATGATTTTGAGAGGAATAGGAATGTTACGGATTTGGTGGGTTTGAGTTTTTCATTTTCTCATTTCCTTTTTTGGGGGGGGGGGGGGGGGGAGGGAGCTAGGGGAAGGGAGGTCTTTTGTTGGGTTGAGGTTGAGATGGGTTCAGATGTATGGTTTGGCAATTCGAGGTGGCGTGAAAAGCTAATAGATGTATTCGGTGTAGTCGCAAATCAAGTATTTGATTGGGACGGGTAAAACGCAGTGGGAGGGGATGGAGAGGTATATTACCGGGATATGATGTAAGATGAAGGAAAGGAAAGGAAAGGAAAGAGGCTAGTAGCGATGTATAGGTTGGAAGAGGAGGATGGTTTGTACATGTATGCATTAGTGTGGAGCGGGTATGGCGTTTGGGGTTTAGGAAAATATGTTATTGTCCGTATATGGAGTGGAAAATATCTCAGATCATGGATACATAGGAGCATGTAGAACTGCAGAAAGCCCTACGTATTTTAATGGCTTGTGGAGTTTGTATGTATGTATTTTTCGGCTTGTGTATATGCAGAGATGATTCTTTACTCTCTAGCATAAGGTCTTTCCATCAACGCCACACCCTGTGTTCTAGCACTCCTCATATAGAGCGATACTCGTATCGTACATCCCAACTTTCACATCCGCTGGCACTCTAATATCCTCATAGTTATGCGCATTCCGTAATCCGCAATCTCGTAACCTATTCAATCCGAATCCCTCGTTTCATAGCTCTCCAACCCTAGTATTTCAGTCCCCTTATAGATTCAAAGCTCTATTTCCCCTGTCTCTGCTTGTGCTTGGGATTCAATGAACAAATGATATAAACATGTCCTTTCCCCGATTTTCCACCCTTTCTTCTAACACTCTGTGTTGTTACTGTATTAGCATTCATCCATTCATTCATTATCCACAATCGCAAACCAGCAAACTTTCCACTCCTTCACCCAAATTCCTTGACCCTTTAACCAATCCCACATCTACCGCTCTCCGCGCAACCCTAAACCCAAAATTCCCCAAAAGTAAAGTAAACACAAACAACATACCTTACACCCCTCACACAACTTCTTCACCGAACTCCTAACCTTCATCCCCCTAACCTGATCTGCACCCTTCCCACTCAATCCGCAACCCAAACCCTCCTTCGCCCTCTCCATCAAAGCCACCGTCGGCCTCTTAGCCATCTGCAACGAAGCAAAACATCTCGAACCAATCAACTGCGTATTTTGAACTCGTGCAAATGCCGGGAAAACCATTCGCGCTGTGCGGAGAAACATTGTTGAGGGTATCATCTTATTGGGTTCGTCTAGTATCTTTTGTATTTTGAGGGGTTGCGCTGATTGAATTGCGATTATTCCGAGACGGGTGGGTGTTGATATCACAGCGGAGGATTGATGATTTTGGAATGGCGCTAGTGATATCAATTGGATGGGGTGATGCACGGGCCAAGTATCCGGTGAGCCCTTTTGCTGGCTTTACTCCCGATGAGGTCGAGGTGAGATTTTTAAAGACAGAATCAATTTCTTGAAAGCCCTTTTAATGGAAACTCCTCTCGCGTCCGTTTCGTCCAAGATTTCAAAATCACGAGTTACAATCCCCAAACGAGTTAAGAAATATTATTCTTTGAATCAACAGCTCCTGACAAGCCTTTCACTTTAAAACTACAAGTCTACTCCCGGTCTAACAAGACCTCAAAAAAGATAGTAATACAACATCAATTACTATATAATATTATTCACTTAACTTAAGTGCTGTTGTTATCTCCTACCCTACTAACATATATAATAAAATTATATAACACCGAGGAAAAGAATATCATCAATAATATAACAAAATATTACACAATCTACTTTTTTATTCTTGCTCCTCAATCAACCAATTCATCACAAATTCTCAAATAATGTTATAAAGGTATCAATTTTTGTTTTGCTTATTTTCCCCTTCCCATATACCAAAAGCACTCCAAACACACCCACACCATTCATCCTTAAAATATATAAACAAAAATAAACTCTCCCCTCATCCACAAAGGACTAATATCACCACAGCACATCCAAGGTCAACATCCAACATCTAACATCCAACCCCTTAACTAGTATAACAGTACTTAGTAAAACAAGCCGTACACTCACTCGGCAACACCTGACCCGTCTTCTCCATAAACGCACAACCCAAACAAGTAGGCCAATCCTCATCATTACCCTGACTAGCAACCTCCACCCCATTGGCAATAACACCCGCAGTGGTAGATTTGGGATAGATTAATTGAGCCGTGGAGACATTACTTGCGTAGGAGAATTCTGCGTTGGGAAGATAAATAATAGTGATCTTAGAGGCATCACCACATCCGAAAAATGTAGCTCGCGTGTTGTAGCCTTGGGCGATGAAAGTGTCAGAGGGAGGAATGACAGGCATGCGTGTGAGGCCGTGTGCAAGAGCTTGTTGGTATGTGGTATAGATTTCGATTCCGCTGGGCCAGTTGGATGAAGTGTCTGCGCTGTTGTCGTTTACTATGATGGCGGAAATGTTGCGAGCGGGTTGAAGGAATGGGAAGATGGGGTTGTTTTGCTTGGCTTCTCCACCGTCGACCAAGCTCAAGTTTTCTTGTGCTGGGATGTCATCCACGGAGTTGATCTTGCCAGTTGATGAGGCGTAACCGTAAAATGGGTTCTTATAGGTAGCGTAAAGATCTTGAGTGGTCACCTCATGTACCCCGTCAAGGAATGCAGCAATATCTTGTGACGCGTCTGAAGAGCCATTGACGGGCGTTGGAACACTAAGACACACCTCATTAAAAAGGTTGCTTGAGGTTCCTAGAATATAGCCCAGATTATCGTAGTTTGTAGTACATGTTCCGGTTGGCACACCGTTTTTCAAAGTAGTGCCAAGATATTCAGTTGGTGTGAAAGCAGACACTTCGGCATCCCAAGAACCAAACTCATACGGAGAAGTCTCGTACATTGTAGCATTGGTTGCGGGTAAACATTGGCCGTCAAATGTCCTTACTCCCAAACTGGTGACGATTGGGAATGGGACTGCATGTGCGACAAAGTTTGAAAGTGTAGCGACTGAAGAGAAAGTCGTCGACTCGCCATCGTTTTCAATCAATTGGTAGGATAAAAGTCTTCCCCATGGATCAGTTAAAGTGGTATGAAAGCCAGCCTTTTCTTTTTCTTTGAGGTCTCCAACGATTTTGGCATAAGCTACCACAAATTCTAATCCATCAGGAGCGAAGAGTGAATCTTGGAATGCCGATTCCCAGAGATTATCTCGCAAATACGAGACTGTTGCATAGTTGCTTGCCGCGAGAGATGAAACGAACCATGATCCACCAGAAAGACCAGATTGGTAGGTTATAGCTTGGTAGAGACCACTGGTAGAGACATTACTATCACGCCCATCAAGACCTTGAACTACACCGGCGCTCTATTAAAGTTGTTAGTATTAGACAGGTTAAAGAGGTAGCTCTCGAGGATATTTGATTGCTGCATGAGACGCCGTAACTGAAAAGGTTAAGAATTGATAGGAATTACTTACACAGAGGAGAGATCGGTAACCTCCACCGCTGTGGGTAAGCGCGATCTGTGTGATATTAGTTATCTGGGGAAATGTGATCGAGGTAGTAATCATACGGTTGGCAAATTATCAGTACCAAATCCGGAGTTTGTTTTCTCCAACCACTATAAATTAAAATTAGTCAAAGTCCAATGTTCAAGCCTAGAGGATGGATATTGATCAATTATATTCTCTTGATCAACTATCCTGCAGGGAGAACTGTATATAAACTCTATTAGATCAAAAGGAGAATGAGGCTTCTTACCGCTTTCAAGGATACATCCGCAACAGCTTTCCTTGCTACTCTATAAGATTCCTCATTGTCTGAAAGACCATTTGCAGGCCTCACAAATGATTGTCCTGAGGGGCACGTCACAGAAGTGGGTGCATAGGAAGCACCAATTGCCTCTCCAGCCAGAAGTCCGACTAAAAATGATATTGGCCAAAACATTGTAATTATGATTCTTAAAACCTAGGGGAAGACTTGGATAGATCCTAGGGACGGATATTAAAAGCTAGGAATATATACGTGTATATATATATTCGAAAAAGATTAAAAGAGCGAGTGGAGAAAGGGAAAGTCTCCTTGGATCACAAAAGGCAAATGAAGGATGTGAATAACAATCAACAACCAGCTTATTGCATGGAGATTGGAGAATACTCGGAAGGGGGTGTTTATTTGTACCTGGACGGTCAACATGGCTTTGGTCGTAGACAAACTATATCTATGATCCATGTTCACCAAAGTTGGGGGTGGTACTGTACAACTGCCGGTACCTCGCCTGTTAATCAGTGGATGTACAGGAGTTACACTGCAAATGCTCCAATGGGTGGACTTCTCTGGAGCACACGCAGTGACACTTGAACTATACCAAAAGTCAATTGAGGATTTGACAGGGGTTGTCACGCCTTAAGCATGGTGTCAACGGTGGGAGCGTTGCCTCTCAGCCAGCACGAACCACACATGGCAGATTGCCATGGTAAAATGAGAAAGCCGGTGACAACTTGTGCACCGAGAACCACAAGAGTACGAATCCCATGAACGAGTTAGGAAGCTCAAGATGTTTCGTGATACCGATTAGGACGCATTCGCCAGAACCGATTAGGATACATTTCCGTCTGATGAAGGAAGGTGATGCGGAGGGAGCACGTCGGTACTCTGAAATAAAAGCACTACCGCGACTAGCTTGAAGCAAAGCCATCTCCGCGAATCAGGTACCTCGAGTCGCGCGCGTACAGCACAGCCTCTTTCCTAATTCGCTTCCTTCTGTTATTCAAATCAGATATACTAGGTAGATAGGTAACTAGGTAGGTACAAAGTAATCATTTAACTTCTGAAAATCCTGTATTGTAGGTACAGTAGTTGTATTTTTCCTATTCGCTTATGAATACCACCTTCTGGAAGGGAAAAAAATATTAATTTCCGAGTTGAAACTTTAAATATTCCGTAACTCCCCATTGATCTGCCTTTTATTTCTGAAACCCACTAGAATCGATGATTTCAATACTAAAGTCTTCTAGAGGCTTTTTTAGTGATTCTTCAGATGAACAATTATTTTTGCTATGAATCTTTGACGTTTCGTATTCTTATTTGTTGATTTGAGTTGATTCAACAGAGAAATATCATAAGAATCTGATTTTGTAAAATAGAAGACCAATTGCAAGTATCTAGATACTATTTTTCAATAATCTGTTCACTTCCTAAGAATGAACACGCTCGCTTAATAATCTCTCGTTTAACCCCGACAAACAAACGCAAGCCCGTATCATTTTAAGCCTAAGTTTTCCCGCTCGAATTAAGGTAAAACCAATCAATGGAACTCATCAAAATATATAATTAGATGAATCAAAACAAACTGGGTAATTTTATCCCCTCATTTCTCTAGTCCTCGGTATTTCCGGGGTATTTGCGTTATGATGACAGATACTAATCCCAAAGCAGTAAATGCTTATCATCAGTATGCCAATTTTATACAATACTCTTCCACTTTAATACTTGTTTTTCTTTTATATTTTGATATTGATAACACTATTCAATAGATAATAGATAGTCCAAACATTCCGCCCTCAGAGAAATCCGAAATTGTCCCTCTGAAAGACATTGTTCCCCCGAACAAGCCAATCTCGATATCAACAATCATGTCAGACAATTACGTAGGGGGTACAGCAAGAGGTACGTAAGTTACAAAAGAGTGAAGCCGGGGAAGCCGGGGAAGCCGGTCAATTAATTAATAGTAAGCTGCATCATCTGTATTCCCCGAAATAACAAGATCGACATACGTAGTAGTAGACATAGACAATGTCAGGCAATGTCAGGCAGGTAGGTAGCATTCGTATAACCATGCCATATAAACTCTGTAAACTATAAGGTATAAACTCACCAGATTCAACAAACACTAAACCCTTTTCCATCTATTATATCCAATACACTCTATTTCCGACTGGAAGACTCGGCACAATGTCCACTTGCTTTTGTAATCCAATCAGTCAATCATACGAGTATATATGCCCACGACCTTATTCCCTTGTCGAATTTATTGTATAGTGTATATTGAATCTGGTGACTTCAGTCTCATCAAAACATGCGAAACCACCTGTCGAAAGACATTAAAAATCACACGTGGTAGATTCCCCCGCCTCAGCCTGTGCTATCATCGCTATCAACCATCACCTTCTACATTTGGCTTGATAACTGGCGGAAGGATTTATAAACCCCAGCGCTTGTTCCTGAAAGTGGGATTGACCCCTGAGACAATGTAGCATTTCTTTCTTTTGGGTTCATGTTGAAGAATCCGCCGTGCATCATGCATGGAAAGTGTGCCTGATTTTGGATCCTGCAGAATTGGGCATGATATACCAAGGTCTAATAGATGATTCTATGCTAGTAGCATATTGAGATCAAAAAGAACCCGATCTATTTTATCAAAATCAACTTGTTGAACAACATTATGAGGATATTGCACAAATTTTCCATTTTGAATTAATAAAGTCACTGTCACATGTGTTTATTTTACAAGGGTCTTACGGCCAAATATTTTCCATGCTTCCTCCCGAATTCCAGACATGACAAAAGAAATGAAAATCCTAAACTGCTGTCGCCTCGTTTCCTTCACTGGCTGGCTTAGCAGCACCACCTTCGGATTTCTCAATGCTTTGCTCCTTGCTCTCATCAGCTTGCACTTCACGTTGTGCTGCCGGCTCCTTCTGAACATCAGACTCTGCTTTGCCGGCTGTTTGAGGATCAGAGCCCTCGACGTCAGGATGGGGTGGTGCAACTCCAGCTGCTGCTTCCTCTGGTGGATTAATCTCATTGCCTTGAGCATCCACCATGCGGGTTCTGGTTTCATATCTGGTTTTAAAGCTGACCTTCCCTTCGAGAGATTTTACAGCTTCAGGGTCAAGAATATTACCGTCTTGATCCCTGTATTCAACCTTCTCCTCTCGGGAAACAATGCTATGGCTAGCGACGGGGGCAGCTGGTGGTGGGGATACCAACCCTTCTGGTTTCCCTTCTGGTGCCCCTGATATATTCTCTTGGTTTAAAAGGGGTTTCTGCTCACCAGCCCCAGCCTGTGCTGGGACCTCAGCAGCATTAGTTGGAATTAATGGTGAATCAGTTTTGTGAACATCAGCATTTGCATTGACAGATTGAGTCGCATAATCAGAGTACTATGAAGATTAGCATATATTCATTGTGACAAACGAGGAGTTGTCATGACAAAATAGACACCGAACTTACATCATTCAAGAAGGTATTGCAGTCCCAGTCCCACTTCTCGAAAAGTTTAACCTTTTTGCAAGCCGATTGTGTCCATGGGTTACCATATGCCAACGGAGAGTAGAGAGCGAAAACAACAATGCTGAGTGTTAGGAAGATGATTGCGCCAAGTCTTCCAATCAAGGGGCGTTCGCGTAACCCAATACCAGGGACACGGGCAGTGATAAAATCGAAAGTCTGGCACAACGCAATGATGGCGAAGTAAAGTGCGGGGAAGTAGTGATGGAGGAAAAGCTGACGTTGCATCAGGTAGAATGGGAAATAATGGAAGGCCCATCCAAGAACAATGGTTCCGATTTCGTAGTCGAATCGCTTGAAAACTGGGTTGTCGTAGTCTCTGAAGCCTCTTTGCCAACGAAGAACAGCAAGACCTTTGAAGACCACAAAGATGACAACTGCAAGTGTCGAGCTCCACCAAATTACCGGGTTACCGATAAGGTAAATTTGGCGATTGTCCTTGCCCCAGAAATTAATACCCCGTCTGAGAATAGGCCAAGAGTCAGGACGTGAATCCCAAGCATGGGATTCAACTAAACCAGCATTCGTGTGCCACATGACCTTGTTCAGCTCCCAGAACTTGCCGAAGAAACCAGGGTTTCTGTAGTTAACTTTTTCTGCCTCGGCTCCAAGTTGAGGATGCTCATTCTGCTCAATATACCAAACACTGTTAGGAAGAGTTCCTCCCTTAGCACATGTGACCTCTTGCTGCTCCGAAGCCCACTCAGGGAGCTTGACTTTATGAGAGAACAAGACACATCCAGTCATTATGTGAACGAGTTTGAACTTGGTTTGAATTGTTCGTAAGCGAGTCTTGGCTATTTCTCCGTCAGACATCTTTTTGATGATCTCGACACGGAAAAAATCGTTAGCATCGCCTTCGAATCCTTCGTAGCCATACGCGGAAACCTCATTCTGCCAGTCAGCCTCGGTGACTGGTGGTCGAACATCGTGAGAGTGAAGTCGGCGATTTGTAGACTGATGGTACAACTTGATGATATCACCGTCTTTAATGTAATTTGGCTCTGATAAAGCATCCCAAGCTAGTGAACCATTGATTGGCTGACCATTGATATCGAGCGGCTGGGTTTGGTTCTCCAAGAGCCAGACGTTGTTCTCGTCCTTGTGGGGATACAAGGTGATCTGCTGTTGCTTGCTACCGGTAGGATACATGAGGTTATGGGAGTGTAGATATCCACCCTGAGTATTGTGGTGTCTAATGCTAACTCGACTTCCGAAGGCGACGTCGACGGGAACATCTTGCATGGACTTGGAGTTGAGAGTTGCTTGGAATTCAGAGCTCATGAATCCATCGCCATCTCCTGGGTTAACAAGGCATAGGAAATGAATACCAAACATAGCCATATAGAATGTTAGGGGGATGATAATAAGACAAAAGATTCGTGCCACAAGGTGCTTGGCAAAAATTCGCTATCATCGTCAGTATGTGATACTTTCGTAGGATTTAAAGATACTTACTGGTGTGACCGTTCTTGCATCCCCAAGCAACACCCATAGTTGCAGTACAGTAAGACTACCGACCCAAGCAATTGTGAAAAGTCCAACCCATTTGACACTGGCGGTCGCACCCAAACCTAGACCTGTCATAATCAACCAAAACCACCAGCTCAATTGAAAGGCCTTCGTAGGTCCTTGTTCATGTTGGTTCGTAAATGAGGTGAACGCAAGCGCAGTAAAAGCGGTCATGATCATAAGAGGAGAGTCGAGAAGAATTAAGCGTGCCTGGGTAAGTAATCCGTTTTCTGTTAAAAAAAAGTTAGGCTGAATGTTCAGATGGTATGCTCGAAAGATCAACGCACCAAATACGATCAATCCAGCTCCCATGGCGGATGTCATGGTTCTGCAACCTGCGGCCTTGAGAGTTAAGAACATTGTAGGAACCAAAAGTATGCCGCAAATAGCTGGCAATAATCTCATAGCGACATATGGTACACCTGGTTCTACATAATCCTTTCCGATATCTTTGAAGTCAAATTCTCCATCAAATCCAGCCAAGAATCCCGCAAGTGTTATCAATAGCTTTGCCAAAGGAGGATGTACATCCATAAAGAATTTACCCTTTATGTATTTCGAGGCAAAACCGCCAAAGCTAAGATAACAAATGTGAGCGTTTATTCTGGTGATAGAAGCCAATTATATCATAAAAACTTACTGGACTTCATCAAACACCACACTGCTGGGTTGGTAAATCCTGAAGAGTCTCACAACAGCTCCCAAGAGTGTTAGGAGGATCATGACCTGATAGTCAGAGCCAGGTAGGAGGAAGACATCTCGATCTTCAACACCTTCAGAGGTATAATCTGTTGGCTTTTTGGTAACAGGTTGCCTTGAAGGGCTCTTTGAGCCTCTTGCGGGATCCGCGTGCACGGATTTTCCACTACGTGCCATTGTGTACTTCAGATAAAAATCAAGAAGCTCTGTATATTGTTAAAGAGCTTCTAAAAGCCCAGTCTCCCTAAGAATGAACCAGTAAGCTCGAATTAATCGAATGACCGGAAAGAATGTAAAGAAAAGAAATGATGAAGATTCAAAGGTACGACATTGAGGTTTGGAGGACAAGTCGCCTGTTGGTTATTATTGAGAAGTGTGTCGTAAGGGGGAACTTTTTGGAAGGGGCCAGGTATGGTTTAGAGTGACGCGAGTAGTAGCCTCTTCTATAAATAACATTACCAAATCTATTAATTCTTCAGCCTCAGCCTTTTAACATAACAGTAAGTCTACACTTGGATTGAATATAAGTACTACAAGTTACATGGAATTTATTTAAATTCTTATGATTATCAAATAGCTAAAGCTACATGTGTATCTATTAAGGATTTTTGGAAAAGCTTCACATGTTAAAAGTTAAATGTGCCATGCATCCTAAAACATCAGGTGGAACTCACCGTAAGGCTGAACATGAACTTTACCTAGGTGTACCTCTAGTGATATAGATGCTCTGTGTAACGATCTCCAACTTCCGTACGAAGATCAACCATGGATTTCATTAATTAAAGAAGATACCGGTATGAACTTGAAATACATGTTACATGAAAACTATGTTTGTTAGTTCTCTACGGATAACTTGTATTGGAGGATTTTCAATTATCACCAGGTCTCCCATTACACAAGACACAATTCATATCAAAACCAAAAAGTTGTCTTTAGGTATAACATGAGAGTCCAATGCACCGGATAACCCCTCCCACTTATGTACAGCTCTGTCTGGTCTTGCAACCATCCCGCCCCAATCTGTATTTTGTTCCTCTGATCTAATATCCATCCTTACCCCACTTGTTGTATTTCTCGTGTAGTTCCTGGAGGCAACATTAGCATACAGCTGGAGAATACAATAACCCAGCAAACTCCAGTGACATCACATTGTGTGAGCCGGGAGGATGCGGCTCTTGGTGATCGTGAAAGAAAAGACATCAAAGATAATCCTACCTTTGGCAAGTTAACATTGGGAACAATGACGCTGTGCAATGCGCTAGGTGCCTCCTTTGGTGGATTTCTTGGGTCACCAGCTGGATGATATTTGTATTTGAAGTCCTGTCTAGCGGCATCGCCTTTGGTGCCATTTGCCTGCCATGGCATGGTGCCAGGAGCGATGCTCACTTTTTCTTCTGATGTGGCCGAAGTGGGTTTACTACCTAATGGTAAAGTCAATTCTTATCCTCAATGCTTGTTGAGATAAATGATCTCACCGAAGTAGTAACCCGCCAAACCGAAGGCACCAGCCATGACACCGAAAAGAACCTGTAGAGATCGAACGTTAGCAGAATCTTCAAGATGCATTCAAAGCAAAAACCACATAGCAGTATGGTAGAAGCAGGTGCAGCCTGCGCTTCACTCACGTAAAGTTCCGGATCTCTTTTTGCGCCCTTGTTAAGGACGTGGCCATCAGCGGATTTTGCTGCGGACTTGCCCATTTGCGCCGCCGCTCTTGCTGCTGCTTGTGCTGACATTTTGAAATAGTAGGATTGACGGTATATCGCGGGTGAGCAATTATCCTTTCAAAGTGGAACGATGTGATTTCGAGGTGTTTGGCGGGAAGATGGATGTTCACATCGATTATGTCATCAACATCACGTGTAAGATTCCAAATTTTTCCAAATCTTGATTGAAGGATCTCCCAAACCAAATATAGACAGACATCACAGACATTGATTGACCTCAACTTACGGCTACGAGGTACGTGGGTAGGAAGGAAGTGATGTTCGTCAAGGTTGGATATTTTCTTTTCATTTCTCTGCAAACAAAAGGGAATTACCTAGTAAGTCAAATTGGGAATATCAATGACCAGGTACGAGTAGGTCCTAAGATATTTCCCATTCAAATCACCTTGTCCTGTCCATAAATCTTCATTTCCCATTTCCTATTCGGTCTAGCTGTGGTTGGACTTCTGGGAAATACAACATAACATCACGGGCCGGCATCACAACCTTTTCTTCCCGTCACACACCAACCCAAGAACTCGTGCGGTAAATTGATTTATTTTCTTCTTCACACGCCTCACTTTATTACAATACAATATGTATGTAATGCTTGAACCCTACTATTAGATCTAAACTCAAGATCCAATTCTCACTCTCCTTAAATAACCTTTATACTTTTTTTATTCAATAATTACAAATTACAATCACAAAATTACCTTCTACAATTCCTCATCTCATTCATCACTCACCACCAGATATTAATAGACAATTGTCGAGGCGCCCTTTCACCAACTTCTTCAAATTGCACGACCTTCACTCGTACTATTGTGTGACCAACGACCGTGGCTGGTGATATGAAAAAGCAGAGAAATTATTTTGAAGGGTCGATTTTAATATAACGAAATGACTTCCCGGGACAATTCTCCGTCCAAATTCCTTCATTCCACAGATAACGAAAACCATACATTCCCCAACCCACACCTTGCGCCTTCAGATTTAGGAGATGGAGTCAGCGTTTTATCATCGCGAATGACCGACATAGCTTCAGAAGATGGAGACAATATAGATACCTTTTCCGATCCAGTTTCACACGGTCGCCGATTAAGCCAACGTCATAGCATACAGACTGGAGATGGAACCTCAAGGCCAGGTACGGGAGTCACGGCTATTTCTTCCAGAGGAACTTTTGGTCAAGCTGCCTCGTCTCGCAGAGGTTATATCCCAGGAATGATTGCTCAACGGGGCTCCACCGCAGGACGACCCGTAAGCTCTATCACGAAAACTCACGTACCGTCTTTAAGTTCTCATGCTTTCTTTCGCCCGATGAGCTCTCAGAGGCTTCAAGCGCAACGTGCAGGATCTCGGCCAGTAACGTTAGTACAACAAGGATTTGGTGAGGATGGGTCTTTGGGTGGTGGAAGTGTAAGGCAGAGCCTGAATTCAAATTTTACCATACCACATCAAATCATCACTGAAGATGCAGATCTACCACCGCCGCCATCTAGAGGGACAGAAGTGACAGAGCCTGGGACAGTAGATATAGGTACTACAAACACAAGTCCTATACATGACCATGCGGCCGAAAGCTTCACAGAGAGTGTCCGGCCCCTTCAAAAAGGTCTAGCGAACACAAAAGGGCTGAGTGTGAATATCGATAAGGGTTACAAGAACGGCAGCTCGACTCCAAAATCTCCGCGATCTTTCCATTCAAATTTCCTGATGCCGGCGAGGAACGACGGGCCTGCTGGAAGCGTTAGTCCTAGCCGCAGCAATCAAGGCCGCGAAAAGCTCTCGTCTGTCGCTTCTTCCCCAGGCTTCAACCCCGCAGATGCGCAACAAAGGAATAAACAGACTCCAGACCTTGGTAAAAACCATCAATATTTTACTGGCAATACAGTATTTTTCTGGGGAGGTCGACTACAGAATACTCGATATAGACCTATCAACATTGCCACTGGATTGTTCGTTCTTGTTCCATCAACCCTCTTTTACGTCTTCTCGGCCCCATTCCTATGGCATCATGTTTCGCCCGCGGTACCGATTTTGTTCGCCTATGTTTTTTACATCTGCATGTCCTCTTTTATACATGCCTCAGTGTCTGATCCCGGAGTATGTATCAGTCTCACTTTCTGCAAGGTCATTTTGATTAAAGCTAACATTTTCTAGATCCTACCACGAAATATACACCCAATGCCACCAGCAGATGAGAATGAAGATCCGCTCCGACTAGCTCCACCCCAAAATGATTGGACTATGATCAAATCGGCTAAATCTAGTACGGCTGCAATGGAAGTACCTACGAAATACTGTAAGACTTGCAACATCTGGCGACCACCCAGAGGACACCATTGTCGCGTTTGTGACAATTGTATTGAGACCCAGGATCACCATTGCGTTTGGCTAAATAATTGTGTTGGGCGTCGAAACTACCGATACTTTTTCACATTTGTAACTTCGGGTACAATTCTTGGAACATTCCTCTTCAGTGCAAGTATAGCACAAATTATAGTTTACGGACATCAACAGGGCATTTCATTCGGTGCCTCAATTAATCATTGGAGAGTTCCTTTCGCAATGTTCATTTATGGTCTCCTCGCTACCCCGTATCCATTCGCACTGATGATGTATCATTTCTTTCTCATGGGCCGAGGCGAGACAACACGTGAATATCTCAATTCACATAAATTCATCAAGAAAGATCGCCATCGTCCTTTCACCCAAGGAAGTGTTGTTAGCAATTGGATTGCTGTACTTTGCCGCCCACGACCTCCAACGTACTTAAGTTTCAAACAAAAATACGAGGAGGGCGATCAACGATTTGGCGAGCGAAGGGGAAGGCGAACTTCTCTTACAAAGGGATTTCAGCGGGGAGGAAACAATATGGAAATGGAAAACGTTCATATCCCGGAAGGAGAAGGTTTTCAAGGTCCTACAGCTTTGAGACCGACGACTTGAGGAGTTGATGTATATTTGGCTGGGTGTTTGGGAGGGGAATTCTTTTTTTGCTTTTTAAGTGTACCACTGACGTTAGATACCTTTTTCTTTGCACATTTTATATTACCATGGTGAGATCATACTTGTATCTAATATTGTATTATTTTTGGGAGAAAATATATAAGAGAGGAATATAAGAGGAGATGATAATATTACAAAAATCATCAAATCGTAGTCACTGCAGGCGGTGTTCAACGATATAGATGAGAGAATAGGAGAGTTTTCGAATGGAAGCCTGAGAGGATATAGTAATCATTACCTACTTTCTCTTGAGGGACGAGGAGAATGGGCACTAGCACAAGAGATGGAAAAGAGGGAGGAAAGAAAGATTGAAATGAAAAAATAGTCGAGATATTTGAGATGGCCGTTTTCGTAAGAATACATTATTTAAATACTTAGGTACTTACTTAAATGTCATTTTATCTATTTACTCGAGTACTGGTTTGAAGCTGTTTGAATTGAATTGAAAGTGATGGAATGGGATGAATGATCTTAGGAGGTATTTGGTGGTTCGTGTAGTGTAATTAATATAGTATATATTGCCGTATCGAGATGATATAAAATGAGATAACTCTTTTCTTTTCTTTTTGTATAAATAATACATTAAAGTATAATATTATATTATTGTAATGTAATAAAGTAAAATAAAATAAGTTTTATATAATATATGTATAAACTTATTAATCTTCAAGTTTAAACTTTTTAAAATATACTAATAATAAAAAATATGTTATATGTTACGTCGGACTCCATAAGCCCATTACCACGTGATTCAATCACGTGATGAACCCTACATAATATGCACGGAAAACAAAGGTCCAACATATTCTTAGGTCCAGAACCTTTCGGGGTCCTAAAGGTCTATATAGTCAGGACGGATTTCCTTTGTATAGAGCTTCGTGCTCAAAATCAATCATTTAGTATACTCTACTATTAGTTATGAATTACATATCATTATTGTCATTACTTAAATCCCTGCTTGACGCCTAGTCATAAACCGCTTCGAGAGCCTAGAGCACTTCCACGTGATCTAGACGGCAAATCTCGTAACAGAAGTCCATCATGATTATATAGACATTCGTACTATACATCCCATCGCCTCCTATTATGTCCCACTGCCTGTAGTTGAGTGATTCTAGGTGGGACAATATTGGGTCATGTGACCATAAGCTTAGTCACCTGAGTAGCTCTTAGGATTGGTCGTAACATATATATTATAAAATCATTATAGAATTTTATAACGTGGTTTATCATTAACCGGAACATATCAGTAACCGGAACACTTTTACCTCAATTACCACCTCTCAACTTTAACATGTGTTAAATCCATATTCAACCTTTCAAATCAATATGCAAGAGTCGCAAATTAATCTAGCCATTCAAGCTATTGCTTCATCCAAAAAACTAAGTGTGCGAAGAGCTGCTAAAATCTATAATATACCGCATACTACCCTTATCTACAGAATAGCTGGTCGAATGCCGAAAGCTGGATCTCGATCAATACATTGTAAAATGATGGAATTAGAGGAGAAATCGCTTTTTCAATATATAATTGATATGGACGAGAGAGGGTTTAGTCCTCGAATAAGTGATGTGGAAGATATAGCGAATTATATACTCGAAACACGGGGTGCGAAGAAGGTTGGAAAGCTCTGGGCTTATCGCTTTGTGAAACGATATACAGAATTAAAGATGTGTTTTAATCGCGTTTATGACTTTCAAAGAGCTCTCTACGAAGATTCAGAGCTTATTGAAAGATGGTTTCGATTAGTATCGAATATGCGGGCCAAATATGGTATTCTAGACTGCGATTTCTACAACTTCGATGAGACAGGCTTTATGATGGGACAAATATCACCATATATAGTAGTTACTAAAGCTGATCGATATGGAAAAAGCAAAGCTATACAGCCAGGCAATCGGGAATGGGTTACAGTGATTATTTGTATTGATGGAGAAGGTTATAATATACCTTTGTTTTTGATAGTAAAAGGCGAATACCATCTTTCAAATTGGTATACCGAAGACGATTTACTATACGATTGACTTATTAAACCTACTACTAATGGATGGACAGATAATGAGATAGGTTTTGAATGAATTAAGCACTTCAACAAACATACTGAAAGTAGGAAAGTGAATAGATATCGAATGCTAGTGCTTGATGGGTATGAAAGTCATAAATCACCAGCATTTCAGGAATACTGCAAGGAACACAACATTATATTACTTAGTTTGCTACCTCATTCTTCGCATTTAACTCAACCACTCGATATCGGTTGTTTTGGTCCTTTAAAGCGTTTATATAATCGACAAATCGAGAACTTTATCAAGGCGTATATCACTCATATTACCAAAACCGAATTCTTTCAAGCCTTCAAAACTGCATATATCGAAGCAATATCTATATCAAATAGTAAAGCTGGGTTCCGCGGAGCTGGGCTAATCCCATTTAATCCGGAAATTGTACTTTCAAAGCTAGATATTCGAATAAGAACTCCATCAAATAGATCAATATCAGCCGATCCTGATATATAGCAATCTCAAACACCTCACAATCCAATTGAAGCTCTTTCCCAATCCACTTTAGTGAAAAGTCGTATTGCTCGACATCAAGGGAACTCACCTACTCTAATATTTGAAACAATTGCAGCTTTAGCTAAGGGTACAGAGCTCCTAGCTTATGCGAATACGCTTTTAACTACTGAGGTTCATAATCTCCGCAAAGCAAATGAAGCACTTAGTAAACGCCAGAAAGCTAGAAAAGCTTTAATACGAAAAAGAGGAGCACTTTCAATAGAAGATAGGCATGGTATATTAGAACAAGAGAATGTAGAAGATCAGATACGACGCGACGAATATACAAATGATGGTTCTTCAGCAAGGAGGCAAGCTACTATACAACGATGTAGCAAATGCGGTAGTACTTTACATAATGCACGAACTTGTCAGTTCAATCCAGCATTAGTTGATCTTTAGATTGTATATAATTCAATCCTAATTTATGGTGTTGTTGTAATTTTATTTTAATGGAATGTGGGTAATTGAGGTAAAAGTGTTCCGGTTACTGATATGTTCCGGTTACTGATAAACCACGTTATATAATTGTTACGAGGTTTGCCGTCTAGATCACGTGGAAGTGCTCTAGGCTCTCGAAGTGGTTTATGACTAGGCGTCAAGCAGGGATTTAAGTAATGACAATAATGCAATTCGTAACTAATAGTAGGGTATACTAAATGATTGATCTTGAGCACGAAGCTCTATACAAAGGAAATCCATCTTGATTATATAGACCTTCGTGCCTCCTTAAAAAAACCGATGGCTATGAGCCCGACAAATCGATCACCGCAAAGCCGATCTCGATTTGTCGGTTTCTTCATCATGTGATCAAGAACGTGACCTATGTTACTGTCCGACGTAACAATATACAACACCATCTATTGAAAGTCATTACAACAAAACTAAAACTAAAAAAAAAGAGTATCTACTAAAAATACATAAAACCTCTTTAAAAAAAAACCATCCTCCCGATAGAATCTTCCCGCTCTTATTTTACAAGGAAAACTAATAAGACATAGCAGAAAAGACTGCCATCGTGAAAAAAAGGAAATCCCAAAAAAGAGGAAAACAAAATCCTCCCCCAAAGATTTTGCGGCGCTCGCGAGAGCTAACGTTGTATCCATCCCATTCCATATCCTATCCTCCTATCCTATTTCCATACCATCCTATCCCAAATTTATAAACCGTGTATCCTTCCAAGATACCGAGATAGTTGTGACGCCTCACACCTCCGGGTCACGTGGCATGCCCCGTTTGTATTTAATCATAGGAAAACTCTCTACTCTTGTTTTCCTTCTTCTTTTCTCCTTAGCTTAGTATTTTCTAATACAAGATACTTTACCCAGTATTCTTGAGTGTGACAATAGTAATCCCCAAAAAGGGGATAAGGGAAAAAAAAGCAAAAGCAAAGGCAATGCTCTAAAAAAACTCGCTCGCTAGGTAACCAAGTCAAAGACTTCAACTTCCCAAAAGATAATTAAAAATAAATAATAGATGGATCCAACCCAAAAGGAGAGAGAAAAAATGCCGAAAGGAAAAAAAAAAAACGTTGATGATACATTCGTCGTATCCTGACAAAGTACAGGAGAGGACAAAAAGGACGGGGTCCAAAAACATCAGCTTAGGTTCCAGCTCCCAGCTCCAGCTCCAGCTCGTTTAGCCTAGCCTAGTCGAAGAGAATAGAGTCATCTCTACACTTGTCGGAAATTTGTTACATGCCGTCGTACATGATCTTGGGCATGGTCCAAATTTGATCGGTGATGAGTAATGATGACTCTCATCTATTTCGAATCGGAGAAAAGCGAATTGATGAAAGAGACTAGAGATGAGTCGAAAGGGGAAGGTAGCCTAAGTGCTGAACGGGTCGATTATGCTGAGTGATGTGATGTTTTTGTTGTGTGCTGAGCCACTTTCAAAGACTTGGTGATGTGGGATTTGGTACTCGGTACGTGCTGAGATCCCTTCCCCGTGCAAAGTAGATCCATCTGGAGGGGCTGAAGTGAACCTAATTGATGGGATTGGATTGATGGATTGATGCTGAAATTGAACAATTGGTAGACTTCGATTGGAGAGAGCAAGGCTAAGAATGGGCTATTTGGTATTTTGAAGATTTTTTGTTTTTGGATGTGATTTTTCGTTTCGTTTCGTTTCGTTCGGTGAAGTTTGTGAAAGTTGATGAAAGTCGGTGATGCCTGATGGGAAATACGGATCATGAAATTGAGGTGCGCTCGTGATCCAAATTTGGAGGTTTGAGATTTTTGACTACATGGCGAAGTATGAGATTTCTATTGGTAGGAATTTGATTAGCTTCATTTGCTTTTTTGATTTCTTTTTTATCTTCATAAGATATTTTTGGACTTTTGCATTTCTGCTTCTTTGCCCTTCTACCCCTTTGCACTTGTTTGCTTATTTCTTCATCAGAATTGGGCAATCCTGGGGCATTTTAGGGTAAAGAGGGCGAGAAGGGCGAAAGGGGCGGTGCGAAAAGGGGCATTTAGTGGTAGGTGGTAGTGGGAGGTTGTGGTGGGTTGTAATAGTGGTAGGTTGCAGTGGCTGGTGAAATGTGAATGTGAAATGCGAAGATGAATGTGAATGAATATGTGATAAGGGTCGCTTATCTGGTCACAAGTAAAAACAGAAAGCCTGTACTGTGACGCAGTGTACCGCTTCGGCTGCATTTTCCCAACCTTGCGACATCTTGCAGCTCTCATCTACTCATGGACCACTCAGAATCTAATAAAAGACCAGGGCTTTGAGTCTGAGACTTGCCTGCACTTGCCCAAGGTTCCAGCCTCGTCTCGTTGGTCCCGATACTTTTGTGCTCAATTGTCTGCATTGGGAAATGCGACTGGGTACCAAATGAATTGGGAATGATGATGATGATGATTGAAATGAGGATATACTCACGTTGAGGCCATTGTAGATTCCACCTGGCATTGGGAGGATGGATGGGTATTTAGTGGTCATCATCATCGTTGTCTTTTGGGTGGCTTCTGAAGGCCATGATGGTGTCTGCAGAGTAATGGTTAGCAATGTTGAGATGTATACAATTGAGCATCCTAGAAGCCATAACTGCCGAGGAGGATCTCGTGAACAAGGTATTTGACATACTGGAGATTGGGAAGGATTCGGTAGACATTTTGGTGGTGGGTGTTTGGTTGTTGGTGTTGGTTGGTATTGATGTTGTGTTGGTATTGATATTATGTTGGTGTTGGAGTTGTATGTGAGGGTATTCGATGACAGTGAATATAAGAATGAGTTTAAGATGTAGAGTGATAACTTTAAGAGGAAGTTGGGATGTGAGGAAGTTTATATCAGATATTGGATTCTGTTGGAAATGCTGAAACAAAAATGAATTGGGTGAGAGGGGACTGGGGGTTTAAGTATCTTGAGGTTCATAGATTTAATGTATTTCAGTCTTTTCGACCAGATATCATAAATATATTATTATACATAGCAGCAACATGCAAAACACCTGCACAGGGCCATGCTTGGATAGTGGCTGAGAACCCCATGGTAGATCGGTGTCTATGTTGAGATAGGGTGTGAATATTTTGCATGGAGGGCCATCAAGGCTGCCTTGTCGATTTCCAGGCACAAGGGAAACTAGCAGAGCACAAATACTCAGCATCGTCATAAGTATGACTGAGGGAGGGAATCAGGTAGGTAGTCAGGTATCAGGTATCAGGCATTAGGTATCAGATAGTCCGGTAGTCAAAGCTGCGAGAAACGAAACTCTACATTTCCATTTTACAGGGGGCTCGGCGTTGACGAACTTGTGCAAAAAGGTTTCCAATTTGAGTCTTTGGGAAACATCTGGAACCTTGGAACTTTGGAACTTGGGAACCCATGCAACCCTGGCAACCTTGCAACCTTCCGATCTTGCGATTTTGCGACCTTTACTAAACTCAGACTGTAACGACACAACTCAAAAAGGTCCCGGGTTATGAACCTTGGTGCTTCTCTGACACTTTAGCGATTAACTGCCTGACGCCCATTCAAGGTGGGCGAGTTGACTTTACAGGGGGGCTATAGGCGCTCCTTAGCCTATCATTATTTCCATTCAGCTCCATCGCCACTGTTCGCCCCATGTGTTTTGGTAACCATTTACTCCCGTATGTTAAAATTATAGCCACAATGCGGCGGCTGCTCTGACTCTTAATTCGTAACCAGGGTCTATTTACTGTGTAGGGATGTGGGATGTGGGATATGGGATATAATGAAAGGGTACGTAGATATCGTACGTGTGAGGAAGGAAAAGTACCGTCCGTATACCTGGAGCCTTGGATGAGATCAGGCATGACATGAGATACAACGTTGACGAAAACGGAAATCGGAAACATTTAATCATTCTATTTGCAGGGGAAGAAGTGTGTGAATTGTATGGTAGAGTCATTATTGTATGGATGGATGGATTGATTCATGGATTGTGGATGGGATGGAACGGGGCCCAAATGGAATACCTACTCCTAACTACAGCCAGCACCTACAATTGAAGCAACCCCAATGGTCTGTCTGTCTCCAAGACAATCTCCCAAAGCAGAAAGAAAACAGCAGAATCAGAAAGCAAAACCAAGTCTCACTCCGATTATTGGACAATTGAAAATCCAAATTAGGGAACCATTTAAATAGATTCTTTTTACAAATTGTTCTAGAAACATGTAAATCTATGGTTACTTATTACTATACTGGGTATTACGGTGGACTATCTGAGTGCCAGGCACGGTTTCTAAACCAGATTCATCAGCTTATAGAGTTTCCACCCTCCAAACTAGGATAGAGATGACTAGGAATGGAAGTAGGAATGGCAGTGGGAATGGGAATGGGAATGGGAATGGGAATTGGAACTGGAACTAGAACGAGAACTGGAACTATGACTGGGACATTTTGCCATCTACTTTTGAACGAGGCGAGCAAACGAGAATTATGACAATATCAGTAATCTCCTATTTTATCTCACAAATCTTGGTAGATCGAATGAGGTTTCGCATTTATCATTATGTTCCTAGACCCTTTTAGACCCTGTTAAAACCCTTTTTAGATGTTCGCTCGTTCATTCCTTTCCCTTTTTAGATTTCTTCTTGTCATGATTTGGGGATTACAATTTGTATGGTTAGGATTCTATAATTCTCTAATTCTGAGGTTCCACCGGCGTCTACAGTACCGCTAGCCCGCATGGATTGAACATGAAGCCATCCGCCATCCATTATCATCCACCATCTAACTCTCCATGCAAATCCATGAACCCTTTTTCACTTTGCCAATTCCTTGTCGGTCGGGCTTTAGCTTCAATTTACTCTTTCCATACCTTCTCGTATCCTCCGACCGAGGAAGACCGGGCAATTCTTACTCACATTCCATTACCAACTGTAACCTTGTCTAATCTAAACTACATTGCACAGCATAGGTTAAAGGTTAGACGAAGCAATCCGATCTTCCCTTCCCGCCTTATGGTGTTCCGTGGGGGCGGGTTGTCAATGAGATTCTCCAAGTATCACAACCTGTTTGTCAAATGAAGCCATCTGCTGTACGTACCCGTAGAACATCTTTCGGTGCAGTACATACACACATACACATCAGCAAGTACCTAGGTACCTTTCGTAGGCCGCGCCCCGAAATGCATAGAAAAATGGTACAGAAGAAAAAAAGAAGGTATCATGAGGATTACGCCCTTCTCCAGCTGCACAGCATTTTTGCGTGATTATTGTGATACACCTCCTCATATTTGGTGATCATACCGGCGATCATCTCGGTGAAAAGTAGCCATGCCATGCCTCTTCGTATGCTGATTGATGTACACATCGCATGCAACAGTAGTAATTTTGGTATTTCAGTCCCTCAGCATTGTCATCGCCGCAACAACACATCAATTGAGGATATCAGGAGTTCAGCAGTTCCTGGAAAATCCCATAAGGCAAGGTTACTCACCGAACAATGACACAGCATCTCATGCAGGGTCGACCGACACTAGAAGAAATGATAATGGCAAAACACAGCCTACCAAGCATTTACCATACACCAGCATTTACCAGCACCACATAACATGCAATGTAGTACTACCGCGATGGGGGTGGGTTCCTACGGCTTGGGCTGACATGACAAGGTTAACACGTTTTTACGCTCCTGTGAATGCGGCATCGACGTCACATTTCATTCGTAAACATCCCCCTTTTTTTTTTAACAATACTGATTCTTTGGTTCCTGCATCCAAAGGCTTCCATTCATACTTCCCCGGCATGACTAACGGATAAACGGACACATCCATCTTACATCGACATCTTACATCTTACATATTGTACAAAACCCTCATCACATTCACCCATACTTGCAAATCCACAAATCCCACTCGTTTTTTTGCCCAGCTCAGCCTTACGTGATGCGATGCCATGCCATGCGACGCGATATTATTTTTACTATCATATCACAACTAACTGCCACACCACCACCACATTCCCACATCAAACCCCAAGAACCGGATGACATAAGATATTCTTTCTATTTCCAGATAGGAGAACTCAGAACTCTCAGCCCATTCACATTATCCTTACGTTAATTAGTTAATATTATATTCTAAAAATTACATTTATTATTTACGGCATGTACTATGATACTTACCGACGCAAAACAAACAGGAATATATAGAAATAAACCCAATTTCCTCAAAGGATATTCCCTGTCCGGTACCGGTACCAGAATCCGAATGTGCCTTATGTTCTGTCTGTCTGTCCGTCTGTCTATCTATCTGCCAATGTGTAAATAAACCGGCTCTTTTCTTTTCTTTACCTTCCCCCTTCCTTCCCCTTCCCCTAGGTGTTCCTCCCGCAAACCGTTATATGCATGCATGCGTGCATCTTCTAGGTATATGAGAATCTGAGGGTTGCGGGTTGCGGGTTACTTTCTATGTACGTACGTAGCTACAACACGGCACTGAGCACTTGCCACTCGGACTTTTGATGCGTGCGTGTTCTCGGCCTTGTTTTGTTTCCGTTTCTGTTTATAGTTTATGGTTTATACTTTCTTCAATGAATGGCCTCTAGATCTCTGTTCCGGAATCAATCCCTATGTGATCAATGTGCCGTCAATCGATATCATGCATTGATGTTTTTAACTTTTCGGTGCGGTGCGGTTGAACTATCTATGGGTTGGGTAGGTCCTAGACCTTTCTATCTATCTATATACATGGCAATGGATCAGTGTATCAATGACCAAGAGGTCCCGACTCCAGAACTGCAATCCCGGTATCCGACGCGGCGGTGGATACATACGTACATCTCGAAAGAAGTACAGTTAGTGTACGTACATACATACGGGAAGGAAGGAACATGAATGAATGAATGAACATTGACTAGGTAGGTCCGAGTCCGTTATACTTCCGTGGAATTACGGATGTAAGTACTAGGTAAAGTACTAGGAAAATAAGTACTAGGTAAGTATACTATACTATACTAACTATACTATTCACTATACTAAACTAAACTATTCTTAACCCAAGCTAATCAACCCCTTGATCTTCTTCTCCTTCTTTTCTTCTTCTTTTCTCCTTCTTTCTTGCTTCTCCTGCTTCTATTTCCCCTTCCAGAACATTTCTTTTTGTATTTCTCCGTCCCGATTCTAGATTCTATTTTCCTATATTCCTATCCCTATCCATATCCATATTCTTAGTCCCTGTCTATCATTACCCGTGATTGCTATAATCTTGGACTAGTATTGAATATCCACATCCACATCCACATAGGTAAAGGATACAAAGTATACGATCGCATCGCATTGCAATTGCCCCGTTCCCATTCCCATTAAGTCCATCATATCAAACCATCATACCATTTAGCAATCAACCCATCCATCAACACCACCAAAACACACACACCCGGACACCTAAAGAAAAAACCCCTCCCGACCAAGTCCCGCCCGCCCCATACAAAGTAAATTCCCCAAAAACCGGACCTGGTGGACCCAATACTATGTATTTCTCCACCCGATCGATCACCCAATTTCCATTCATTCATTCCTTACCTCCCCTGAAGCGACTTCGAAGCGATGACGATCTCAATCTAACCATATATGTCTTATAAATCATTCTTTTCTATTAGGGATTTCTACATACTATGTATTGAATTTATGATTTATGATTTATTTATGATTCATGATGGATAGATAGATATACTCTGGAATCGGTCTACTGGGTTACTTTTGTCCGATGAGATGGCATGGGATAGGATGGGTTATAATTCTGTTCTATTATTCTATTCTGTGGATATTACCTAGTATTTAGTTGAGTTTTGGTATAGGGGATGAGATGGATAGGTGATGTAAGTCTTAAACCTTACGACTCCTCTTCCTCTGTACTATACTATACGAAATAAGTACTAGGTATTTCAGGAGGAACTTCTCTAGAATCTAACATTTACATTTATGTTAGTTAGTGATATTTATTAGCATATATATACTAATTTAGGATAATCATATCACACCTAATGGGTAGTTCTAAATTCTAATCACATATAGATAGATACATACCCATGACATTGGGCACAAATTCCTCACGTCACGAACAAGAGGAGCAGAAGTCACAAGATCAATCGATCTACCGGTAGGGTACTTTCGTAGGTATAGTATATCACTGACTGACTGACGTCAAAAGTCATAAGGCTATCCCTCTATCCATCCAGCAGTATAAGTAATCAGCTACCTACCTACCTAGCTAGCTACCCGTCGATTTATTTCCCATATAGTAACATAGTAACATAGTAACGGAATAGAAAATATCCTTGGCTGTGAAGATATATTTCATCATTTCATCATTTCATCATATCACCATTCATCATCAAGGATTTATACTTTCCACGCTTCAGCTGAAAGAAAAGTCTAGATTTAGTGTACAGTAGTGTCTAGATTCTTTGACCACCAGGAAGGACATTTCCAGTTATGCATCTATATACTTTTGCACACGCTCACTCACCACATACATACAACATATTTATGCAGCATCAAGAATTTTTATGTTTCGAGTCAATTCATTAATCTGTTCGTTCTCATTTGATCGGACCTCAAAAAATTACCATATTCTCCCTCTCTCGCACACTCATTTCCCAATTCGTCATAATCTTAAGCTTGTGCTCCAAAACTGAATCGTTCGTTACCCATCGTCATTCATCATCAAGATCATGATCATCATATCAAATATACAAAAATAGCATCCGTTCCCCCTGAACCATCGCGAATCGACTCCCGGTCCCATCCATTCAAGGTTCCTATCCTGAGCAATCCACCCCTCTTTCTCCCAATTCTCCCATTTCCATTCCAAATCGGTCCATCCGATCCCAACCCCAACCCACTGCACCGGCCAAAATCGAATTGCCAATAAATCTGGGGAATTTTTCCTGGGCATCTGGAGCCGAAGCGCAAATTTTCAATGTTCCAGAAAATCATCCAAAAATACACAGGCTAACCGGGCCACATCCGTGTACGGTGATTCGTCGACCTTCAGAGACAACGACAATGGATCATCCCGTGGATTCTTCGAGGCCCTAGCTCTGCAAGACCGAACTTGAGTTTCTATTTCGAATGAAGAACGTTAGTCTCCCAATCAGTTCATCATTTTCGTACGACAATTCATCTACCTGTCTCGGCCCTTTCTTCGCAGACGCAGAAATGAACGTGAGGAAAGGGGAGGAGAGAAATTGGAGAAACATACCATTATCTCGAACCACACTTTTCATATCATGTACAAATCCAGCAATCCTTTCATCGATAACTTTACCGCGCCATGCGCCATCGCCGTCGCGAATGGGGTTAAAGCTCTCCTTACCCCCTTTTCGTGTCTTGAACTTCGAATGAAGAATTTCTTTGCATCTCTCGAATAAGTTCGTCTGTGTCACTTTTACCCTTTCCCGGAATTCTTGTCGTTCAATCTCTGCTTCTTTACCGCCATGTTTGATTCTGGATTCGGCACTATGATCACAAATCAGCATTGTGGTTTGAGACTATCGAATTCAGGGGAAAGACGTACTTGCAGTATGAAAGACCCAACGTCTTATCCATGACGAGTGTCAAGACGAGTAAGACGCTGAATGCAATGGCCCATTTGCGTTCATTCGCAGTGGCTCGATTACTGGTCCACATCATTTGACCCCATTCCTTGAGGACTTCTTTGATTCTTTCTTGTTGTGAGAGGAAAAAGGCTACTTTGATTTGACGGGAAGCACATCTTGGCGAAGAGTCTGCTGGGAAATTTTCTCCTAGGCGTCCTCCTACCAAATTGGTCGATTCGTCGTCGAGAATTAAGCTTCGCTCAAGGATAGCGCATGCAATGTGGATTTCTAGGGCTTCACGGAGAAGTTCGTACTGTGTTTGTCAGCTGTTAGAACCACAGAATGAATGCCAGTGAATGGCGATTTGGTTGAAGAGCAAGCCTGGTCACTAGCAAAACTCAAAAGAGAATGCATCCAAGACCGAACTGTATGCAGCGTGAAGAACATCCGTTCAAAAGGGCCCTTACCTCGTCATTGGCTTCCACGCCAGCAGTGTAGAACTGGCATACCGTCTTGAGTAAACGTTTGGCAAGATCTGATTCTCCCGGTTCATATGCTACCTTGGCATATTCATCTAAATCATGCTGAACAATTCCCTTGATATATCGAGCATATTCTTCCTGTCTCTCCTCCATAGACATAAGCGGAATACCAAGCGGTGGGCTCTTCTTTCTCGTGAAAGTCGGTCTACCTGATGCGTTGATGTATGTCTGATGCTGATATCGAAAGATAGAAGTCGATCCTCGTACCGATAGAGAGACAACGGTAACTTTCAGCGGGACTCTATATCCCCAGCTTAATTGCACTATCATCTCATCTGTTCCCCATGTATCTGCGTTCTTCGAAATGAATCTCTTGGTATTCTCGGTTGTGTACATTCTTATGTAATTTTCTATATTTTTATCAGTCCAAGATCACAACGAAAGATATCATAAAAGCATACCAGGTACTAAGAACTTATCTAGCATTTCGACTGGATCATTAAAACATGGTAGGAGACAAAATCTTCTCTTCCCAGAAAGTCTGGTACATTGTTCGCAAGGAAAGCCAGGGGAGCAAGGTGAGCACTAGATGGTAAATAATCAGCAATATTTCTTGACATATAGATGGAATTTCCTTCTACACACCTTAATCTTCGAAAGATGGCAAGCCCAGCAAGCGCCTGCCTGCCTTACATCTCTCGCCTCCCGCTTCTCTTTATCCGTCAATGGCCTTACGCGGCCCCTCGTAACTTTAATCTTTTGCGGCTCGGAGAATGCACTAAACACATGTGAATGATTACTCAGGTCACTTGAAGAAGGCGGCGACTGTGAACCCTGTGGGTGTGGAGAATGGTGCGATACTGGAGAGCCATGGGAAGGAGTGTACAAAGTATTGGAATAAGAGGTCGATGCATCACTTTCGTCCAACCAATTGGTATTTGGTGCTTCTGGCTGATATACATCGTTGCTTGATTGGCTTTCTCCGGGTGCAATCAAGCTGTCGTTAACCACTGGGGATGACATCTCATAAGGTAAAGAAGATTGTTCGGGCTCATAGGGACGTAATGGAGACTGTTCGGGCTCGTATGAGTGTATCGGGGACGACTCAGGCTCGTATGCAACGTAGCCGGAGTTTAAATTCTCGCCGAAGTAATTACCATGAGCATCATGCGAGTTCCAGGGATTTTGTGACCGTATGTATCTGCCTCTATGAAGGAGATTCGGGATGTCGAGAAGTGGAGCGGCTGAAGGGGCTGTGGGCTCTGTGGAGAATATATCATCATAACTAGTCGTCCATTGTAGAGACGTGGGATTATCCTCGAAAGGAAAGATAGAAGTGGTAGGTAAGGCGGTGTTGAGATTTTCGGTGCGTTGGATTGTTTGATCGACCGTCATGTTTTGGTTTACATAAACTGTTACAATACCGTCAGCAGAGTAGTTTACCTCGACTTGAGATGCTGTGAAACATCGTCCGAATATGATATTTCACAATGAAGAGATGTGGGGATGATGACACAAGTAAGCAAAATTGTTACATACAGGGCAGCGCAGGATCAAGCAATGGACTTACACCTCCTGGAGATCCAAAATGGAGAATATATGCGTCGGATGTGGCCGAGACGGCAGAAGTAGGAGCCAGCTCCATACTTCCATGACTTCCATAGTTCCCTATGTTAGTCTCCGACATACAAATATCATCAAAGTCTGAGGCTCCAGGTAAGTGTGTAGTAGAATTCATTACATTCCACGGCATGGAAAGCCCAGACATAGCTCCAGTCTGGAGCGATAACGAAGCACCGCCATTAGCTCCCATGTAGCTAGAGTATTCATGGTTCATAGGATCCTCAGGACTGAATGGAATGGTATTTAGCGGTCCTGTGGAATAATTGTTCATCCATGACGTATCTGGAAGTGTGTTTTGCGCCGCTAAATTTAAAACTGCTTCTCTGGCGTTCTTAATACCAACGGCATGTCCAACAATTGATGAAGCTGATGGGGAAGTAGTGACTGCAGTTTGAAAATCGAAAAAGTCGAAGTTGGGCGCTGGCGAATATCTATCAGTACGTGTATCCAGACGGATATGATAGCTAGGGTTTTGTCGGAAAGAAGAGCTCCTAGATCGCGATGAGAGCGACGACGATGATGCGTGTGAGTGTGAGGATGCAGGTGGTGAGGCACTGGGACTGTAGTGGCGACGTTGAGTATGCGATGATTGCGGTTGCGGCCTCTTGCGAACTCTTTGCGGCGAAATAGGATTCGGCCACTCGGCCCGAGTCCTTGGAGGAGTGGACTTCTCAATCATGGCCTATGTGTAGGTATCCCCAAGGTATTTCCTAATTTTTCCTTCCCTTTTTTTCGTTTATTTAATTTCGGTGCGGTACGTGCGTGCTTATCCAGGACCTTTTCTGAAATGTGTATGAGATGTTAATATCAGAAGCATTGCGGTGAAGCAGTTCGAGACAGAGTCATCCTTGGATTTCGTGGACCGTGCCAGTATGTATGTATGGATGGATGTTTGGATGGGTGAGTAGATGGATATTGCAAGAGAATGAGGGGAGCGATAGAAGGATCCAATCTGTGATCTGTCAGAGCTATCTATTGCCACATACGATAACCTTCTGACGCTGGATGAGAACAAGAAAGGCGGTGCAGATGCAAAAAAGGGAAAAAGTCCTTTTTTTTTTAATAAGCTTTGGCTTCTTTTGGGGTGGAAAGGGTGGAAAGGGTACTATAGATACGGTACGTGTATGGTGGTAGTGGGATGAATTGATGGATATTGACGTGCACTATGCGGAGATGACCAGAACCATGACCACGACCGGGACTCGTGGGGACACGGAAAACACTTGGGTGTACATAATATAACTACCACTTAAACCAAAACGTTTCTTCTGGGAAACGAATGATAATTCAACAGTTGATTGTTTGATTCTTCAACCCTGATTGTGTAAGAGATGTAAGGTATGTGTGTATGTATTATGTATGTATGTATGTATGTATGTATGTATGTATGTATGTAAGTAAATATGTAAGTAGGGTAGTAGGGTAGAGGTATAGCTAATGTCCGGAAAAACGTTATTTCTTCGAAAAGCGATATGTGTGGGTGGTTGAATAACTATCCTGTGTTTGTTTTGCTGTTCTATTGTTTTGTTCTGCTGTTGAGCTGTTTTGCTGCTCCGCTGTATATCTTTTTACCTCGCAAGGTATCTAATTCAAACAGAAACACAAGTACAACTCCGTAGAAAAAGCTGGCAGAGCCCCAATGAGGGGGATGGAAGATAATAGATGTGTTGTAAAAATTATAATTCCATCCCTTGATTGGTTGGAAATAAATGAAATGCTGCTTAAACCCAGTTCACCGAGTAGTTTCTATCACGCTTCTGGCTGCAATGTAACGCCGAGTATGCAGTTAAATATGCACGACTACTGAAGAGGATTAATCCTTTCCTATTTCTTTCAATTTTACCTATCGTGTGCTGTGCTTTCGTGGACTTCTCTCGACATATAAGATATGGCATGGGCAGCTTTTTGTACAGCGCATAATAGCTAAATTAGCTAAATTATTTCAACATTGTATATCTGTAACGGGCCCCATCGACCAGCTTCCAATAATTCTTCTCTTCCTTTCTTTCATCTACCTTCCTCGCTCAGCCTGTCGGTTTGCCCGCAATCACGTGAATGGAAATCTGCATCATGCATGCATGTGCAGGGTTTAAGTCGGGGGAAAGTGCCGGCTTGTAGTATTATGCCCAGACGTGTAGGGAGTACGGAGTAGTGAGATGCCTCATGCTGTAGAATAAACCGGAAAGGTGAATGTAAACTGCGCCATCTGATCATATCATCATCACAACCAAACCAAAGAAATTCACGTCCCCCGGCATGAGCAAATATCCTTTTTACCCAGTAAACCGTTCAAGCCCCTCCCCCAGATCCTCCCCAATCATCATTCACGAACCAGAAAGTGCCCCAAAGTGGATATCAATGCCCCAGATAATTCACCAGGATTCTTTATTGAGCCTCACGCATCTCATCCTTAAGCTTATTATATGCTTGAAAGCTTAAGACGCTTGCTTAATAGTTTTGAGACAAGCGAGAAGGCTCGACTCTTGGTCCTTGTCCAGAACCATTGAACGGTGAGAGGCGATCTTCAGTGGGCTCATCTTGGTAAGACTCTTCTTCGTCATCACGTTCTTCAATAAGCCGTCTGGTCTCTGCCCTATCGTCTGCCTGTGGCGCCTCTGTATCACCACCCATTATGCTGTGGATCGGCTGGGACCAGTATGAGCGCCTCCAGAAGGAGTTGGTGAGCAGATTTATGATGGAAACCACCTGGGGATAAGATGTGAGAAGATGAATGACACAGTTAGATCCACCGCAGGACGGAGTGTTCTCTGCTACCAATGAAACCATTTAATATGTGCACAAGTGTAAATGCGATTTTCTTAGGCTTTCTAGAGCCTTGAGCAACCATCTGCCTATCTCACCACTCACAACATAAAACTTTGATACTAATAGACGCATCTATAATGTGCGACATGTATTGCAGGTAGATGGCATTTTAATACGATAATAAAAACAACGTACCTTAATGATGAAAATGACTATAGCCACGATGAGAAACAGGCCGGCATTGACCTGTTCCGCTTGTCTCCAGCTACCAAAACAACTCCTAGCTAAGTATTAGCTTGGATTTTCGGATATGTCATCGTGAGGTCAGAAAAGGACTCACTGAGAGCGATTTGTCAAATCCACACAATTCCCAGGTCCATGGACATCCTTCCTGAATGGCCATGCCTTGTCAAACACAGAATGAAGTCCACAGCAATTCAACGTGTCTTGAATCGCTTTAATATTTCCTTCATTCTTCGTGCTGAAGAGCTTCTGCCATTTATCTTCCAAGCCACAATGTAATGAATTGGGTGGTATCATATATGTCAGGGCCAGAGTAGCGACAACAGTCTCGTAGATCAACTGAAATCCAATAACCGCAATAAGTGGCAGCGTAAGTTGATTTTGTTCCTTCTTGTTCGCTCGCTGGATCAAACCAATGGCACCTTGTGTAGAAATACCAGTAACAAGCGGCAAAACAATCGTGAATAGTGCGAGGGCTTGTGAGATGGGAAGTGAAAGGAGGCGGATTTGAGAGTAGGAATAGCTAGCAGGTATTAGTCTATGGTGGTCATCAAAATGTGCTTCGGAGCTTCCTACATAGCTACAACAGTCAAAATGAGCAACAGCTAGATATTGTTAGCCGGGTACATTTGGATAGCCAAGTAATCTTGATAGTGCTCACAAGTGGCGTTGCCCATGGTAGTAACTTCTTAACAACGTGCATGGCGGCGGAATGGATATCAAGGAGCTCGAGATGCAAACACGGAAATTCGCCAGGTAAAACAGAGATAATTAAAAGTGCGCTCGCACAATAAAAGTGAACAGTGAAGCTGCAGGAGATGCTCGAAATTATTAAGGTTTGCAGAATAAGAGGAAAACCCAGAGCAAGAATTGTGTACAAAATTGTATGGTAGAAGCAAAGCTATATGTATTCAATCAACAGCAGAGGAAAATAAAATCAAAATTTCAAGGTTACATTACTCGTTTGTTTGTAGTACATTGGTACCCAGAATATTACTTCCTTTGTGTCACCCACCCTCAATTTTTGATAAGGGTGTTGTGTTGCTGTTGTTTGCATAGTAGGATTCGATTGGCATACCTCATATTCCTCCACAGCTCCTAATTCGCCTTCGTTGTAGAAAGAGGGGAAACCCCCGAAATCCCAACATTTGCCCCACCAAGACACCAAAGGCGGCTTCTAATTACTTAATAACCCTCCCGCGCGTAAACATCGTATACATCAGACGCATAATACGAGAAGCGCATAGTGAAATTCATCTGTAAGACAAATTCTTGCAGCGTCATATTTTCTGATTACATCACATCACATCACAAATATCGAATAGACAAAATAACTACTACTCATAATCTGTGTTTATTTGTCTAAATAATCAGACTTCTTTCTCTTATCATCACAGCTTGACAACCTTCAAAAATGGCGCAACCAGCACGATCGCCGGCGACCGGCCAAACCTCTCCCACTCCCATAAGTCCTACATCTCCAGGAAGATCTAGCATCCCATCTGCCATGCAAGCCATGCCTGATTCCCGCCAACAAAGTTTCGAAGAAATCTACGGACCTCCTGAAAACTTCCTCGAGATAGAAGTATGTCATCCCATTTCATTCCATTCCATACCATTCTATGCCTGGCATCCAGCCGGACCTCCGCTTGTCTCCGTCACAAACAGACAAACAGACAAACAACCAACTAACCCCACCACTCTCCTCTAGGTCACCGACCCTCAAACCCACGGCATCGGCCGCAGCATGTACACCGACTACGAAATCAACTGCAGCACCAACATCCCAGCCTTCAAACTACGCAACAGTACCGTGCGACGCCGCTACAGCGATTTCGAATACTTCCGCGACATTCTCGAGCGCGAAAGTGCGCGCGTGACGATCCCTCCCCTACCCGGAAAAGTCTTCACGAATAGATTCAGTGATGATGTAATTGAACATCGGAGAGAGGGTTTGGAGCGATTCTTGCAGATCGTGGTTGGACACCCGCTTTTGCAGACGGGAAGTAAGGTTTTGGCGGGTTTTGTGCAGGGTGAGTTTACCCAGTTCTTTGCTTTACTTATATGTCTTGCTATTTTATCTTCGGAGCCTTGGAATTTGGGGATGAAGTGAAATTTATAATGAAGGGGCTATGCTAATCTATGACGAGCAGATCCAAACTGGGACCGGAATGCTTGGTGAAGTGGCCTGGAAGAGTCTGAAATGAGGTTTCAACATGTTCCACGAAAACTCAAGAGACGACGTCCAAATAGCATGGGAAAGGTAATATCGATGGATGGCACACACCAGGCCGAAGGCTCCGATGCAGAAACCTGTGATATGACAAGATAGCATACAATTATGGGATGGAGTAGGGTGATTTTCACAATCAAAAAGGGGTGGGGGTGTTACCGCAGTTTACTTCGATCTTCTCACATATACCAAGGGCGTTTAGCTGGTGGGTGGCTGCATTTCCATTCGTTGGGGAGACTATGGTTGCACAATTTTAGTTGCTGGTTCTGCAATAACTAGCTATATCAGAACCAAGCAAAAGAGCGAATATCTGATGTCATAAACTCGTGTTTATTATCTTTGCAAAATTGCTCTTGTCTATTTGAGTCTTTGGAGCGGAATGTCCACCCCAGTGTACAATGTATACATAGATACAATATACCAATGATCTGCTAACCACATCCATTCCCACGAAGCGCCATGAATGTCTTAATATACACTGTGTGTGACCGGTCCTAGCCTGAAGTGGCATAATATAGTCCCGATAGTCGTCATATGCCGCATTTTTGATGCAAACGCCTTCGTAAAATCCTGTTCATGTATTGTACATCTACTCGGCTCCTCCTCGCCGTCTTAGGATGAAGCTGGCTTTTCCAGTAATTTCAATATTCCTTCATACATGCCGAACATGATGGCGGCACTCGGTACAGTTCGCAATAGATGCGGCGTCAAGCCTCCATATAAAGCAACCATTCCTTCTTCTTTCCAAACGAGGTTGAAGCACTGAACGAGACCAGTGTACTTAGGGCGTCCATGGTCTAAAGGTGCTTGTCGTAGACGTGTTCGTAAAACCTAAACGTATTGTTAGCTTAGTGATTGATAAGGAGTCTCATTTCGAGCTCACCTCATGAGGGTAGGTCGCAAGTGCTGCCACAAACTTTGCGAATCCCGCTGCTCCTAAACTTCCAGTCCACTGAACAGAGTGATCACAGAAATTCCTAGGTCTCCCACTCAAATTTATCCTCTCCTCTCTCCTCTCCAAGCTCTTCTTCATCTGCTCATACAAGACCCACTGCAGCGTACTTTCCGTGACGCCTAAGTAACTTGCACTCATCCCTTTATATAAACCCTGTAAACCTTCTCCCCTAACAACCTGCTTAATACAATCCCAACTGTTTTTGTACTGTCTCTTTCCTACATCTCCCGCTCTCTCCGCCACATTCTTATCCAGTTGTAACCTGGTTTTGATCAACCAAATCGGATTCGTAACCGTGCTCGTTGTAATTCCCGCAGCGGCAGCCGCAACACAAACTACCCACGCCGACTCCTCTCCACCATTATATCCCGCCAATATCCTCTTCCCGTTACCCACAACAAAAAAGTTGATTGACCTCGCAGGAACCACGCCCACGAGATTTGGCCCCAATCCTTTAAATAGCGCACGATACCCCTCGATTCTATGTACTGAACCCAAAATCTGAAAGGTTTCACGAAAATGTAAGAGCGCGCTGCGTATTGGAGAGAGATGTGCATGTGGAGAAATTCCTTTGGCCAAACGACTCTGTGCCAGTTGTGCTTGGTAGAAATCGGATTGCAGGCGTGTTTTTAGAACATCGAGAGGTGCCGTGAGGGCTGCGGCTGTCATTCCTCCTACACTGTAGCCAAAAGTATGTCAGTAATGGACCTTGAAGCATCAAATATCAAGATGATAGAGGGGCAATATTTACCCTCCCGCAACGAAATGCGCCCATGACTTAGCGACCGGGACAGGCTTTGCTGCTACTTTCGATACAAATCCTGATTGCGAAGGCCCCAGATCTCCATTTTCCCTAGATTGTGGTAAATGCAGCTCGTGCAATGCGCGTTTGCTGCGATTTTCTGTGGTATTCATGAGTGTATTTGTGGAGAACTTCTCAGTTCTCTCTGTTCCGTGGCCGGGTTTATGATTTTGGGGGATAGTTGTATTATGTGAATGATATCATGTTAAGCATAAATTTGATGGAAGCAAATTATAAACGATTGACCAAATTCTGCTTAATTAGAATAGTTGTTTTACAGTCAGTCCTCTAGGCCGATAATTATCCTATGATGTCTTTGGAAATTATTTCTGTAAAGGCGGTGGCGCCCGGCACTAAAATCTGGATTGAAAAACACCACACCTACTGGATAGGCTTGGCTGTGGCTGTGGCTGCATACAATCAATCTAATCATGCATTTCCACCTGATTAGACATTTTACAAGGCGAACAAAATCGAAGCAAATTGAAGCATAAATCTGGAATTGAGGAACTATTAGTGGATATTCATACATAATGAAAAAGCCATACGCCTGTCGTTGAAGATTGAACCATGCCAGCCCAAACATGATAAAAGTCCTTGTACCCATTCCAATCCTAGCATTTCCCACGCACGCCACGCAACGGCAACCCCTAACAATGCAGCCAAAATTGTATTGATCATGGTTATAATTCCTTCATTTAATCTTCTTCTTCTACGTCTTCTTCGAAGACAGTGACAACCCGAATCGTACTCTCATTGCCATCATCAGACACGCTTGACCGTCTGGAAGAACGCACATTTCGTACTAGACTTTTAGTCACGCTTTCCCTCTGCGTCGTATCCTTGGCCTTGAGATTCTTTTCGGGCGAAACGATTGTCAGACTCGTGCGGCTTGACGACAGCTTCATCTGCTTCTTTCCATATGTCTTCAGTGGGCCGGCTGTGGCTTGACTAACTTTAATCGTCTTCTTATTCGAGCCAACCGCATGGCGAGCATTCAATAGTCGTGAGGAAACTGATTTCTTGACAGTGTTTGCAACGTTCGTGGTAGCTGTAGAGATAGATCGCTTAACTCCTGTGGCCGCCTTTGTTTTTCGCTTCTTTAGAATCTGAACATCATCGTCGTCTTCGTCGTCACCAATCATCTGCTGAAGCTTTCGCTTGCCAGCCTTGATACCTGCTTTGACAACCTCTTTGATGGTGGTAGCCTTCGTGACTTTCTGATCCTTTGGTCGAGGTCCTAATACACCACGGCAATTATCACTGCCACAGCGACATGCCTGAACGTTTTTGGCGGAGAATGGATCAAAATTGTAGTCGTAGGTGAGCTCATCACCTGTCATGATAGGGTTGTCGCCTGCGAACAGGGCCATGCGCGGCTTGCCCTCCACAATCCATTTCACCATTCTACAATTCGGTCTGCAGGAATGGTTGACAAATCTAGCAATGCTTCCCCTCGTCGCATCAATGATCATGTTCTGATCAAATGACATTAGATAGTAACACTTTTATGTAATAGTCAGCCAAACTGTTTTTCTTTGGAAAGTGAAAGTGATTACCTCGTTGTCTTTGTAATCTTCATTCATGCGTCTATCACATTCGTCTTCTGTGATAATCTCGCCCGTGTATTCAACGATAATCTGGTTTGCGTTGAAGCAGCGATTACTTCGAACTCCGTAGCCACGATCAGCTGTCTTAATAACCTCAACGCCAATCTCATACTTATTACCACCTTTTCGAAACGAATTCCCTTTGCGACGGTTGAAGAGCTCAGCAAATGCACGATTAGTGCAATTATCACGGCCTGCGCCACAATTGGTGTCATCGCATTCGTAAAGCATGATCCTATTTTGGCAATCTTCGTCACAACCTGTGTCCGGTTTACAGATACACTTAGAGAAGAAGCTATCAAACAAGCTTGATTTCTTCCACATTGTACCAGCTTCTCCAATGAATCGATCTGTTGTGAAGAATTAGCAAGTGCATGGGAGGGCCGAAAATTCAATGAAACTTACTATGAGAAGTTTTGTACCACTCGGTGGGCTTGGGTTGTCCCGGAGGAAGCGGAGCGCAAATGTCGAACGGTAATTTAAAGTCCCTTCCAACATGTAGTAATCTTTGGCCATTCCATAGGGGCAATGGTAAGGCTTTATTCGGCTTTCCAGTCCATCTGAAAGCTGACTTTGCATTTCCGGAAGATTTGAACCAATCAAGATTTGCCGGATCCTGCCCGGCGTAGAGTCCCTTGGTCAACCAAGCCTTCTCTTTCCTTCCTTGCGCTGCCTTCTTTGTCAGAGCCTTAATAGGCTCAGGTTCGGAGGCTTGGGCCTCCTCCGCCTTCTTCTTCTTCCTTGCCGACTCTTTTGGCACAAGTTTTCCATTGCTCCATACTTCCAATACAACAGGTTCTGTTTCGATCTTTGCGTACTCTTTCGTATCGGCCAGGTTCCTAAGCTCCCTCTTTGCCTTCTGAAGACCTCCTTCCATTTCCTTTCGACTCCTCTTCCCTAAGAAGCTGATCTTCTTTGTGAGTTCTGCTGCCGTTTCGCTAGGTGTAGATCGTAAAGACTTTCGTCGGGAAAGATCCTCCTTCCTAGCAGTGATTTTTGGGCTGCCGGGGAGGCTGTTGTCACTGCTTGATTTAGGTAGTTTCTTGACCGGCCAGGACAAGTCTAAAGCATCAATTCCTTCACTAACCAGTTTTTGTACACTCTTCCCTATAGAGCTGGTGGATGTATTTATTGAGCCCAATGCACCCTCCAAATCGCCTCCTGATATAGTTTGTCGCCGTGTTTCATTGTCCAGAGCGCCATTATTCTTCAAAAACTTCTTCGGGGCATGGACAGCGGTGCCACTTAGAATCTTAACATTGTAGGTCCCGACCTTTGCGCGTACTCGCTGACTTCGTCTATCCATTGGTTCGGAGGCAATTGAGACCTCGTCAGCAGCAGGCTCAGGCTTGGTAGTGGCAGAAGTGACACTAACATTGTCTCCAATGCTTGTTGGAGGCGTGGATGAGGAATCTAAATTTGAGGTGTCGTCGACGGTAATGGCGGTATTGATTGATTCCGAAGAAGGGGCACGCGTTATTTCGTGCTTGGTGGAAGAGCGAGACGATGCGCCCATTCTATCTAGCAAAGTAGAGAACATATCAGTCGAAATGTGTCGCGTTGTTGCTGTAACATTAATGTATGTTATTGAGAAGACGCGAAAGTTGACGAGTAGGGTCCACCAGGCTGTGGCTTGCTCCCTCAGTCAAGAGCGAAACCGATGAGAAAGAAAGACGAAGGTTCTCGATAGTAAAATTGCTAGAGAATTAATTGGCAGGTAAAAATATTTTCAATTTACAATCGCGACGTTGGTAAATGGCGAGAGGCGGGAGTATGCCTGGTGTGTAGAAGTTGTTGTGGTTGAAAAGGTCGTATTGAAGAAGTGGAAGGAGAGAGGGGACAAGAGGTGATTTGTGGCTGGGCCTAAAGGAAAAGCACTCGGATGAACCAATTATATGTACAAGGGGCACATTCCAAAAACGTTACTATATACTTTAAGCATCTAATGCAAGGACAGACACTATTTCACTACCTTTTTTCATGAATAACGGTATTCTAACTACCTGAAAGTCTTCCTTTCCTTTCAACTACTTTCAATCCTCCGTTCCCGAGAGCCTTTAGCTGAATGGTTACGTTCGTTAACTGTGAAGGATATGTAATGTAGACAAGTCCGTGTGATATTACATTGAACCGTAACCATCATACACTTCGGCATATTGCTTTCAATCAGACCTACTCCCCGTGCAGCATCGCATTGTTAACGTGTTTTATTCCATTGGTCTTCCTTGAAGTCACAGCCAAGGACAACCACTTGATGCAATATCAACAGTCTTTCTTAACATCTAAATGAATCTTCCTTTCTTGCTATTAGATGCAGAGGATTTGAATCATTGGTCTATTCTTCACACTCTTTTACTATTATGAGTTTATTTAGTCAAGCTTAGAGGACTATAAAGTGTCTAGGTTGAGTGTCGGATAGAATTAGCGAGGGGTTTTAATCGTGGTTGGTAAAGGAAGTCAACACTTAACAATTTCGGAAACGCTGGCTAATTTTGAAGATTTTGAAGTTAATCGTCCCGTTGATACTTTTAAAGGCTTTGTACTTATGTACTGCAAATCTTCGTATATATTATCATTCTACAAGAAAATCCATAGCAAAAAACACTTTGCCAAGGTCTAGTAATACAAACTCAAATATATTACCACTACTAAGGATCACAACCTGTATTTTTCCCCGGGCTAAAGGAGCCGCAAATTTCACTATGAGTGACATATTGTGGAGTTCATGAGATTTTGATATTGTTAAATGATTCAAAATGTATTGGTGGCACTTCTCGTTTCATTATTAAACCCTATTGTTGATAACACCAGACGATGACTTCCCAAAAAGTGTCTTTAAAGTCTTGCAGGTTTCTTAAAAGAGGGAATGGTAGGACCCAGATCTCTCTCCAAGGTCTCTGAACAGACTTAAAGAGTACACGTGAAGATTGTAATACGATTTTGTATTCAAGGTACTGTCTAAAATGCCATTCTACCATGGAGAAGGGGCCGATCTCGGCAATTCGAGCCTATTCTTACAACCTCTTAATATCTCTTGAAAAATCGAAAAGACTCCGTCAATTATCCCATGTGGTTAAAACACAAAATTTTCTGCATTTACTTGGGATCCTAAGAATTTAGTGGACTAAACTATTGTTAGGTACTGGATTAGTCTTTGAAAATTGGACACCGACAGCAAGTGAAGCAGCCACCATGGCGCCACCCAAGGTCCACTTCAGGTCTCTATGAATTAAGGGTATCTTTGACTACTTAGGTCTCTACCTCATTGATCTGATATTATGCGACTCGCATGTACGTGGCAGTGTCAGTGCTTGGCATGTGATTCACCAATATGTCAATACAACCATCCCAGGGGTTCGGAGCTGCAGTTCGAATATGGGAGATTTTGCATCCAAGAATCCATTTCAAATGCGCATACTCTTGGGAATGCACTTAATATAAATTCTTATGACAACATCTCCAGCTTTTGAATCTCGACTGCTGTCGATAAATATACAAAGAGTTACCATTGGGTGGGATGTTTGGTATGATTTTAAGCCTAGCGATGAGCCTTATGACGTGACAGCGTGGGAGGCCATAGGAAATACAGTAAGTTTCATCTTCCTTTTCAACTCATCATCGAGGGAACCTCATTGTAGTCAAGAATGATATCTGTTCAGGGGGTGGAATTAACTCGTCCTGCTGATGTACTCTTCCTATATGGTAGTCCATGTTCTCAGTAGGGACTAATACATTTGAAAGGTTCAGACTTAGTTGACTGAATTTTACACATACTAGGAAGAGGACAGTACTGATTTCAACCCCTCTTACTACTTGGAGAAAAGAAAGGAGGAACAGATCAAGAATACCGGCAAATATACCAATGTATCTCGAACATTCACAACCTTGTTCTCACGATTTGCCAGCAAAAACCCTTCATTATCAAGAACTATCTCATACTTTCAGGGCCTCTTTTCACAATACCAGAGACAGGATCTGATTGTCCAAGTTATGTTTCACGCTGGAGGGTCTGACTTCGCAACATACAGGGGATTACTAAGAGCTTCTTCGACATTTTTAATAGAACGCAGCAAGAGAAGAAACATATATTTTAGACAAGGAAGTGAGTAGCATCGAATCTGGGCCGCACAAGAAAAGTCATCCCACAGTGCTAAGCTGAGAACTATGAGTAATTATGGTATATTATAGTATGTACTACACTACTCCTCTAGCTGATATATCTCTAGGCTCAAGGAATCGAAAGATAGTTATACTATCATCTAGTCGACGTCACCTCAACATAACGAATGAATTTTGTGTAAATTACCCATCTCCCTCTTACCAGGAAGTAGGTATAGGACATCGGTTGTCAAGGGGAAAGAAATAGAAGTCAGGGGGAAAGTCATGTAATTGAACATAGTCAACAACATCATGACTCTTATGACTGGAAATTCCGAGATCTTCTACTGTTAGGACGTTTGGTTTTGCCTACTTCTGCTCTCTCTGATCTACCACAAGTCTATCAGTATATTTCCGCTTCCTCGCTTCCATCTCAACATCTTTCCGGATACTCACACCACCTGCAGTTAAAGATAAAAAAAAAATAGAGGTAGAGGCTCATGGAGAATATCAGAGACTGTAAGTTGATAAGTGGTCAGCGCCGAGCCCAGAAACCCAAAGAGGAAACCTTTTCCACATAAGTCTGAATATAAACCTACGAAGAGAATCTTGTAGATGTGCACTTCTTACACGAGTACACTTACCATCCAACAAATAAAATAAAATATAAAATAAAAAGAGATTCGGGCGAGATACGAGGTGTCTTCACAACCAGCCCTCAAACGCATCTCATGATTACTACCTAGGTATATATAGTTATGACCCTAAACACTGACTTAGGAATAACTTCACCAATGTCAATGGGCTGGGAGAAGCATACCTAATAATTCTACAAAGAACACAAATCCAACACGCTAATCTAGAGATTTCTTTTTTGTCCATTCGCATATATATATATACTGCCTATTTCTCATTTCTCGTTTCCCTGCTAACCCCACACCCTCATCCCACACACAGGCAGAAACATTCCAATGACGAATGGATTCTAGGATCTATGGTGATGATATGATAGTTTACCGGAATAGCAAGTCTTATTCCTCAGTAGGGATGAAATCACAAAATTAAAGTGTATTTTGACTCCAGCAAACATAATGCGTGAGATCGATTATAATGAGAAAGAGGGTTTGATGTCAAAATACTAGGTATGTATAGACTTTGGGTGCATGCAATTGACAGGGAACTAACTGAATGATACCTGAGAGATCAGTGTGAGGATTCATGTGCTCTAGATCTATAATATCTAATCTTTTTACTATTTTATTTTTCCCTTTCTTTTTTGTACTAATACCATATAATACCATACCATGCACTCTACAGCGACTCAGCAATATGCATGCATCATTTTCACTATCCCAAATAAAAAGCATATAAAATCCATTCATCACAAAGCCTCTGTATACATAAGAGCGGAATAACACAAACTCAACTTAATACAAGCACATCCAACAACATCCATCCCACTGTACAGCAAGATCAGGGAGGGCCGCAATTACAGACTCATACACATATTAAATCTTTTAATTTCTTTCAAATTTCATTCGGGTATGCTAAGAACTACTCATTCAATCTTATCATTTCTCAAGGGCTCAGATACTCTAGAACATCTACGCTGCTTAGATGGAAAGATAGGTGAGAAGATAGCAGGACTCTTCGCGTGCATGCATCAGATATCGATCCAGGGGGGGGAAGATGGAGATAAGTGATATTATACCATCACTACCATCACTATCCCCCTTTGAGCCCCTAAACTCTCGAGTAGAAGTTGAAGTATAGTCAAGATTAGCTTACGGGTATATCATATCATATTCCGTACCTTGAGCCAGTAAAGCTAATGAAATTCCGCTTCGTCAATTTGTATGCTTTACTTTACCTGATGATAACCCCTTGAAAAGGTTTAACGAGTTAATCCGGCCACGAGATGTGCAACATCGATATGATATGCAGCTGCTGAATATTCAGTAGTTGTATAAATATTATTCATAATTTACATAAAACATACCAACCCTATGCCAGAACACCATGCTCCTATATTTTGGAATCCTTCCGTATTAATACGTATGCATACAATTTTGAGAACAGATTTATCTGCACGAGTCATCTGCCTTCACGGATGCGGATAAATCCTCATGCTCAGTTCGTCCTTCGACCCTATTTCCGATCACCAAATTTCTGATGGATTGCCCGAATCTGCTCTTCGACGTTAACATTTTGCATCATTTCATATCGTGCCCGGTCTGTCTTATCCAAAGGAGTACCGTCGTAGCCATTCGCCGCCTTCTTCCTTCGAGCGGCTTCTTCTTCTGAGATGGGCTGGCCTGTGACTCCATCGAATATGTCACTTCTTTGACTTGCTAAGCGTTTGAGGTTGTTGGCTACATCTTGAGTTGAAAGATTAGTTGTTGCATAACGGCTCTCTGCTTTTGCTTTCTGTTCCTTCCATCTAGGATCAAGCAATTCAACTGCAAGAGTGTTAGTCCGTGGTGTATGTCAAAAGGTTTTGGTGTTATCTTACTTCTCATATGAGCATCGAGCTCATCATAAGGAATCTGTTGATTACAGTTCGGACAAAGAGCCATTTGCTGCTTGTTGGCAGCTCTTGCGACAGCTCTGGGAACGTAGTTCTCCTTTATCCTCATAGGTGCAGCACCTCCCTTAGCTTCAGCCTGTGCTTGTTGAGCACGAGCTCTAGCCTCCGTTCGCTCCCGTATTCTCTGCTCTTCTTCATCCTCATCTTCGTTGTTTATCTGGCGAGGATCTTGGTATTGTGGTTGATATGATGGTTGCGGTACTGGGGGTGGAGCCATGTTGTATTGTTGTTGTGCATATGATCCGTCGAATATACCATCGTCTCCAGGCATGGCTTCTTCAATGCGCATGTGTGTTGAGTTAATTGACATTTGTGCTTTTTGGTCCAGAGAGGCAAATTGCAGCTCGTTGAGTGACGTTGGTGGAGGTAAGTTCGTCTGGTCGTCGGCCTCGGTGAAGATAACAGTCTCTACCACGACAAAATCGTGCCAATCAATTTGTGCATATGAGAGCTTCTCCTTCTCGACCTCCTCTTCCTTCTTCTGCTTTTGCTCGTCTTGGAATTTGAACCACTCTGCTCTCTGCTTGGCTCTGTCTAAAACGTGAAATTTATCGTCTACAGTGGCTTGTAACTCCTTTATCCTCTCTTGTTGCTGCTTTCCACCTTCTCCATCTATACCACTTGCTCGCAATAACATGGTATATTGATCGATCAATCGCTGGAAGAAGTTGTGCAAGCTGTGATTGGGTCTTAAAAAGTCGAACTGATAATTCCCCGTCTCTCTCTGAGATAATGTCGTCATGAATTGTCTACCATTCTTCGCCACGAATAATGCAGTTAAGCGGACTACTTCGAGATCCTGTGCACTGATGTTCGGCATGCGCGCTGAGTAATGGAAGTCTGGTGGTTTAGGAGGCCCTTGAGGTTTCTCTACTTCGGCGAGCGCCTCTCCAGCTCTGCCCGCTGCAACGGCGGTTCCTCTGCCTTCCTTAATCTCGCTGAGACGCCATAAGTAGTATGCATTGTATGAATCATTGGTGCTAAGGAAGGAGAATTTAGGATTGGATCTTTCTTTTTCTCTGATGCGATCTAATTATCGTTAGGTCGATGTTGATGCAATTGATGAGGGGCCAAGAATGCCTCACCTTCAAAATTGATACCATTTCGCGCTACATAGCCTGCAGTCTTTTCGAGGATAGCTATTATAATGTTAGGTAAACCTGCTCCTAATGTTGATTTGACCGCGTACCTTTGATTTCTTTTGGTGGTAGTACCACCCCTTGAGGCGGTTTGATTTCATCAAGAGCTGCGACAGCATCTGCAACTGAAGGTGCCATATCAAGCGCTGAGACTGGTTCAAGATGAATTGGCCTTTGTTGTGTTTTTTCTGTGGTTGTTTAAATTGGGGGTTAACTTCTACATCCAATATAAGAATTGCGGCCAGCAGCCTTACACCTTACACTAAGGAATCTAGCCCTGTAAGCAACTTTGACCAAAAATATTTGACGGAACTTAGTTTGGCCGACATCCGATATTTATCCAGGAATTGTATTGTATATCCTTACCCCACGATTGATTCACCCCACCAAGGTGTTTTTCAACTCAGTGATAAGCTCCAGGTAAGATTACAGCTAGTAGCGTAGTTTTTCACATCTACAATACACAGTTATAAGATAGAAGACATTAGATTACAAATTAGCTAGTGAAACCGAGAAGCCGTTCCTCATTCGGTTCAGCTTCTACCTATTTCAAATGATGATTAAAAAATTAAAAATAAATGCCCCCTCAAGACCCAACATCTAACTTTGAAATGAACGTTAAAAGGGAAAATCAACAATCCAGGTAGGTTCTCATTCACCCGGAAAAAACATACAAGACCCATATCATGTCTCTTCTATTTATCTTGTAGCATTAATCTTATCTTGTTCCATAGTACCCATAGCCACCTTTTGGCATCATATACGCCAGGAACCCAGCTACTATCGCTATTGTCTTCCGCCGTAACCCATTATTATGTACAATAAGCAAGGTATAATAGTATGTACCGATTAACCCGTGGAAAGTAACGCCATTGCATTTAGCCAGCAATGAGCCCTTAGAACCATACCAGAATTCCATTTCTCCTTTTGCCGAACTCCAAAATAGTTTCAAACCCAACAATTATTAATCGTAACATGATAATGAATTCCAAACTCGCATTAAGCGATTAAAAAGCCCCGGGTATGGTGATTGGAAGCCTTTCAAGGTTTTCGCTGCTTTCAATAGACTCCTCGTTTTGTACCGAGGACTTGGATTGTACCATATCGTCTGCTGCATCGTGAGATTCTTCCGTGTGGCCTGTTTTTTCTGGTTCCATATGTTCCACTTCATTTGCATCATGAACATCTTTCGCGTTGCTAACTTGTCCTTTTTCTTGATCTTCCGCTTCCGACCCAGGAGCATCGACTTTCTCTTGCTCTTCCGGTTTCGGCTCTAGTATGGATACTGGCGCGATTGCCGTCGCCTCCTCAGAATCAACATTTGGAATATTAGATATCTCTACTTCCTCTCGAAGTGGGCTAGGAAGAACCTCTCCATCCCCCGACCTTCTCCCGAAGCCGGTTATGTTGACGGGTGAAAGTTCACTGGTTGGTGTGATATCTCTAGGTATAATCACGATAGACCTTTCCGATTCTCCACTGAGCTTGCGCCTCCTTTCATCATCACTTAAGCGAGGATTCCGAGATGACTGCTGATTCCAAGACTGTACGCAGGGAATAACCCCGCCACCTATACGGCACCAGAACATTCGTTCTCTCAACCTGACACTCTCCTCCCAGGCGGCTTTATCAGAATCCTCATCATCACCTCTCCAGTGACCTTCTTTGAGGACGCGCAAGAAACTCATAAACCCGCAGGTGGAACGGACGCGTCCTAGACAGTATAGGCATAAGGGATATCTTTGCGCGTTGTCGCTTTCGCTCGTTCGAAATCTATGGTTTCTGATGTGTTCTGGCCCCTTTCGTGTTTCACCACAAAGAGAGCACGGGAATGCATATGGCCTTATAGATGAAGGCATTGGTTCGACAACCAGCGACCCCTCACACACTGCATTTAAGACTGTCCTTCGGGCGAGCCACGAGAGGCCTGGGGCGTTGTCGAGACGAAGCGTGGGCTCAATATCTTCAGCGAGTGCTCGTTTGTAAAACTTTGTCTCCTTCAATGGAGTCAAAGAATTGGGACCATCTCGTGACCCGGAGCTCACATTTGAAGCTGGTGTGGTAGGTGTCGCGGGAGAGGATGCATATGTGCCCAATGTTGAGATAGAGGATGTTGACCCAGTGTATGCTCCTAATCCCAATCCTAGACCAATGGCTCCGTATGATCCACTGGAAGCGCGGCTACCAACAACAATATTCTTTGACATTCGTAATAAAGAGATGAAATCGTCGTAGGCTCCAAGGTCAGTTCGGAGGACGGGTTGAACAAGGTGCACGAAACTCGTAGGATAGGAAGGCGATACGAGCTCCGGAATTGACGAAGACTGTATTGAGTCCGAGTTGTTCGTGTTCTCGTCGTTCGGATTGGATTGATATAATGCGGGAGTCGAAGGTGCCGTGCCGCTTGTTTGGTTTGTTTGGTCCTCCTGTTCCTCGGTCATGTGTTCCATAACTTGCTTCAATTCTGCCAATTGCTCTTGTTGCGATTTCAATAAATTCTGTGCCTCCTGGAGCTGCGCCTTTAGTTGATCATTCTTCTTAGTCACGATATCATACTCCTTCCGTGCTTGCTCTCGAGCCATAATAACCATCTGTCGATGTCAGCATTTATTGTAACGCAAAATCTACTCAGACCAACCTTGTTTGCCTCCTCAAATAGAGCTGTAGTGAGGTTCTCCAATTCTAGCTCGATGCTCTTCTTATCTTTCTCAACCTCCCTCCTTTTATTCTTCTCCTCTACCAAGATGGCAAGAAGTTTGGCCTTCTCGGCCTCAGCCACCGAACTCCGTATCAATATTCCACTCGACACTAGCGCTTTGTGCTCCCGATTCTCCCGCTCAAGCTGCTTCGTTCGTTCCCTTGAAGACTCTAGCTCATGTCGCGTGGCGCTTAAACTGTCGTCGAGGCTTGTCTGGTGATTGATAGCATTTATGAGCTTCTTGCTCAGTGCTGTGACCTCCTCGCTAAGATGGGCATTGCTCAGTTCTTGGTACGGTTCATGATTTGAAGCGGGCGGATCGTTTGTAGGCGACGAGACTCTACTCCGAGGGTCTGGGAGAGTGCTCAAATTCTCCTCGTGATCCATGTAAGGCGCGAAAGACCTGGGTGTAGGTAATCCAGGGGCGTTCGATACTGTAGCCATTGTTGGCAGGGTGGTGGTAGATATAGATTTCGTTATCGTCTTTGTAGATGAACCCGAAAGAGAGCGGATATGTTGCAATGACCGACGATGATTATATTGAGTCCATCCAGCAATATGGATGAAGCTGTACAATTGGTTGCATTATTAGCCAATGTTGAAAATTATTATTTAACCGACCATCCAATTGACCATCAATATTATTGATGGAGGAATGCAAATTATTATAACAAAGTAGAATGCAAAGTAACTTACTCGGACATTTGGGTTCGTTCTTTGAAGAGGCTTAGAGCCTCGTTTCCTGATTAGAAAGCCGCCCAAGAAATCGGAGTTCACGATTATTACGTAGTAGGTAGTAGATTAGCGGCAGTAAATAAATGTACCTAACCAGGAAGGTACATTGAACTTTCGTAATCTTTTGATTGATGCTTTTACGTATTGATATCGTGGAATATGGAGAAAAGGTGTTGAAGTGGTAAAGTACAGAAGGGAAAAAAAAAAGGAGGGAATGAATGTAAGGAATAGTAAAAGAAGAAGAGAAGAAGAAAAAGAAGAAAGAAAGAAAAAAAAAAGAAGAGAAGCAAAAGTACTGCAGTGTAATAATTGTTTATATCGTGAAAGGTTGTAAAAAGAGTTGAGTTGAGAGATCAAAAAGGTAGAGAGAAATAAAAGTAAAATGATTGATTGATTAATGACAGTCAGTATTTGGATTCGTCGGATTCTGAGTTTCCCGATAATCAGATTTTCTAGATTTGCCAGGAAAGGAAAACGGCGCGGCGTCATACGTTTTAAACGCTGAATACTACCCAATCAAAATCCTACCTACACGGCATGTGAAAAAAGGGAAAAAAAGGGAAAAGCAAAGGAAAATGGAAAGTAGAAAATAGAAAAGAGAGAATCAATTACTCAGGTAGGCAAGGACAGACAGACATACCTGGTATACAATTTGGAAATGATAGTTCAACCATTATTAGAATACTAAAAGTAAAGTATACAAAAGACATTCATCACAGCTGAAATCTCATTTAAATAGGTTGCAATTTCACTTGGGAGGAAAGGGGTTGAAAGGGAACTATCGAGTTGGCATACGGAGGATTTAATTTATAACTTTCTTCATCTTGTACGAAGTACAGACAGAGCAAGGTTTTATAAGTTTAGAGCTCGCTCTCTCCGGAGTAGGTAATAATAATAATAAGGGATTGAATGCGCAAGTAATGTGACTTATTCCGAATTCGGGCTTTTGTAACCATGCACTCTGAACTCTGCACTCCGTACTCCGCATTTCTTTTAGGGGTATTGAAGAGAGGGGAACATGTCTCTAACTTGAATGATAAGAACATAAAATGTACGAACGAACAAACAAAAACTGTGTACCCAACACAGCTTGTCGTTACGAAAGATCTCAGATTCATTTCAGATCAGATTCCAGATTCCAAAAAGTGAATATTGATACGAACGAAGTACTGTACTTGATGATCAATAATAAATCCATCCCTGTAAGCCCCAAGACCTTACTTTTACTTTTGATTTGATATTGTGCTGTGCTTTCCCTACCCTAGAACTACCTCCTGTGCGTGTCGTGTCACTGTGTCAGCTGTCGCTTACCATCAGATGAAGATACAAAGCCAAGGATTATCTTCTTAGTCTCACATTTCTTCTTTGCCGGATTTTCCCTCATTTAGATTTCTTACAATCCTTGAAATCACCTACTCCATAAAAGGCGGCATCTGGCTTCTTTAATATCTGTCTGTACTTATTCTAGATCTACAATGGCATCTCATTCTCCTTGAGAGCACCTCCATCACAAACATCCTTGCAAGAACCAAAAATATCGTGTAGCTCGTGTGGGTAATTCTTCCATACTTATTATTAGGTATCTGATTGATGGCCCACAGGATATACGCGCTTGAATCAATTTCTTACTGTGGCTATGCTGTGCCCCCCGCACGTTTGAGCACCATGGGATAGGTTTGCGCGGCTGGATCTTTCTCGCATCCTCGGCCACTGCCGATTACACCCTGTGCACAGTCATGACAGGTGCCAGATGTAGATCAGACACCACCTATGTGTGGAGTACAGTCTTGAATACCCATAGGCATATCCAGGGAAAATATGTTATCAAATGACATCTGCCTACTCCGTGTTCTCACCTCACTCAAATCACCATCATTTGATGCTAAGGATGAAGAAAAGTGGTTGTATAACTTTCATTTTCTCTATCACTCAATCCAAGGCTAGGAACGTGAGACAAAGCTATGCTGATTTCTCAGCGACATCGTGATATGGCCTTCCAAGTAATAATCATATATTTGTTTAATGACACTTTGCAGTAAAATTAACAACCAAGACTAGAAAATTGTAATGTATTCAAATAAGTCTGCATCCAGAACATAGGGGTTCTGGATGATCAAAACGACAAAACTCGATTCGGCGTGTTCTTGGAGCACTTGTGAGGGCTTCGAAGAAGTGGGAAACCTTCTACCTAAGCGTGACAAATACGGCTCCGAAACGATGTGAGGAATGAGGGAAAAAGAGATGGAAATGGAAGTATTCATCATTCACCAAAATCTTGTTGCAAACACATGGCCATGCATGATATCGAACGCTTTTTTGGAAACCTGTCAGATTCTTGAAGGTATTGCATATATTTATTTTGTGTCATGCAACGCAGAAGCCTCTGACCTTCATTGTATCATATCCCGCAAAGAAACCCAAACAAACCCCAGCCCAAAGCTTAGATAGTCGTCTCGTATGCGATTGGCACAATTGTCTCGGGTAAGTTATCCTTCATCGAAATGGTTCTGGCTTCTCTTGGCATAGCTGGTTGTCTCTTCAAGTGAACGTGGGTACCGTCGGCCTTCGATTGCTTCTTCAACTCGGCGTTCTTCTTGACTCTGCGGACGAACTCTTCTCTTGAGCGGGAGAGGGAAACGTGCTCAATACGGAGGTTGACACGCTTCTCAATGTATCTGTGCTTGACCTTCTTGTAGATGATGACACCAACGGCGCTCTTGGTAACGTTGTAGACGACACCAGTCTTTCCGTGGTAAACCTTGTGGGGCATACTGAGCAGAAGTCAGTATATAAGCTCGTCCTCCAAATCCCCCATCTCTCTACTCGCGAATCGCCATTTCAATTCCTCCTAAAATGTGCAGGTGTAATTGATAATTTTCACTAACCCCTTTTGGACGGCACCGTTTGCCTTGATATCAACAATGTCACCAACCCTACGAATATGTTAGTATTTCGCGACAAAATGAAGTTCGCAAGATTTGGACTTCTACATACTTGTATTGGCGCAAGTAGGTCGACAACTTGATCATACCATGATCCTTGAAGTTTCTGCTGAATGCATACTGCAGATGAATTAGTTATTGCTCGGAAATTCCACAACATCGTCGCCGTATCGAGTTCGAAGCCGTAGCCGTAGCCGTAGAAATCCTCTCAGAGGGCTACAATTGAAAAATTTGAGGACTCACCCGAGTACCGGCGCGGAGACCTGCTGGGTGACCCATTTTGTCGATGTAGGATGGGTATTCGAAGGGAGGTCGAAGTTATTCAGAATTTGTCGATAATCTTTCTTCTCCAAGTTGACGCTGGTATCGGCAACTCAAACTTTCAACAATTTTTCGCTTATTTTTGCGCCTTCCCATTTTGGTAGTAGCACGGGTCAAATGCCCTAACTTCGTGCGGGAACCTCGAAAAATTGCTGGAACCAAATTTACAATCGCGATCAACAACCTCACACGACAATCGACAAGAGCAAAAATGGCCCCGTGAGTATTATAGATCAGTTCCATATTTTGAGGATTCAGATTTTGATTGAGTTATCTCGAATTTGTCTGAGTTTCTCTGGTCTGAATTGAATTACTTGGGGAACATGAACCAAGTCGCAATCAGGCCCATTGAGTTCATTCGCTAATATTTCGAACAGTCGTTCATACTCCAAGACCGCAAAGGTCCCACGTCGTCCGTAAGTATCCTGTCAATAATTCTGCTGCGCAATTTGACTTATGCTGACAATTTTATAGCTTCGAGAGTGCTCGTTTGTAAGTGGACCACTGTTCTAGAGCTTGCTCTGTTCATGTCACTGATTATTCCTTAGGGACTCCGAATTGAAGATTGTTGGAGAGTATGGTCTCCGCAACAAGCGTGAGGTCTGGCGTGTCCAGTTGACTCTTTCCAAGATCCGTCGTGCTGCCCGGTACTTAAAACATTTCGATTTGTGGAAATTTACAATGTGCTAATGTATTTTAGTCAATTGCTCACTCTCGACGAGAAGGACCCAAAGAGACTTTTCGAAGGTAACGCCCTCATTCGTCGTCTCGTCCGTGTCGGTGTCCTCGATGAAGCCCGTATGAAGCTCGATTACGTTTTGGCCTTGAAGATTGAGGATTTCATGGAGCGTCGTCTTCAAACTTGTGTCTACAAGCTCGGTCTCGCAAAGTCCATCCACCACGCTCGTGTCCTCATCCGTCAAAGACACATTCGTGTTGGTAAACAAATCGTCAACGTTCCATCTTTCGTTGTTCGTCTCGACTCACAAAAGCACATCGACTTCGCGTTGAGCTCGCCATTCGGTGGAGGACGTCCAGGACGTGTCCGCAGAAAGAAGGCCAAGGCTTCCGAGAAGAAGGATGACGATGCCGAGGAGGAGGATGAGGAATAGAGGAACTATTTTGATACCAAAATCTTTCCTACCTACATCATGAGGGACACTTTTTAGCAGGGGTTAGGGCAGGTTACAACATGTAAAGCAGACATCTGCAGCGTCACGCTACACAATAAAAGCCGCATTCCATGATGAATTAATGAGTACTTTTTTAATGATTGTTTTGTTATTTTACAATTTACCCATAATTATGATTCGTGACTTTGATGATCGACAACAGTTGGAGGTTATTTTCAAGGCCACGATTGATAATGGTATTGTTCACTTTTTGTGCCACTCTCAAGGCAAGGTAGCAAGGTAGGTGGAATTGGGCAAGTGAAGAGTGGTGTTTATTTTCAATGTCTAAATAGAATTTTACAGTCAAAGTCGACATTTCCTGTTGCCAGCCTCTTCCAATAACCGAATATAATTTGGACTATATTCTTGCAATTCTTCCTTGATCTCCCTGGCATCACTCAATGATAGTTCTCAAAAGAACTAACCTGTAAATATCCTCTTTCCCATCTCCGGTAAAAACATTCTTGGACGGCGTGGGCTCTATATCATCTCGAAAGGATTGGTCGAGCTTCCATTTCATATTCTTGGATTTTTCCTCGGCTTCATTCCCAGAAAGATGCCTGCCCTTTTGCTCGATTTCTTATATTACGTTCCAAAACTTTTGGCTCATGGTCTGCACAGATTATTCATATCCTCCCTCCCATACTAGATAGCGGAAAAGCAGGTCGACGCTAATATTGTCCTTTTATTATTCTAAAAATGGATTGAATATTGAATCGATCATAAGCAGACAGGGGAGTATATATATCCTCATGTTCCATTAGCTAGCACACGATAAATGGAACAAACCGCACACTCATACATGATTAGTGCTCCTTTCCGAATTTTAAACACCCAAACCTGAAAGACAATTATTTTTCAGACTTGCATTGCGGTATTGAGAAGCATATAAGTTTGGAGGACCATCTGATTGTCCAAACTGAATTAGGACATGAAAAGCATGAATTGGAATATACATTGAAAAGTGTGGTGAGACTTCAAAGTGGACATTTGATTGTTAACTTCAAACTGCGACATTGAAACGTTTGATTTATTATGATTAGACTATTCCCGGCTCTTTCTCCTGAACTATACATATCTTCTTCCATCCATCCGTATCCTCAGAAACGCCCGAGAGCATCTCTTCCGCCGTGCGCTTGGCTCCTTTTCCTGCTTCCCCAACACAATAACTATTTTTGACTAAAGAATGACAACAAGAGTAGCCCCACTTAAAATTAGACCACCAGCTTCCCCATACAGAGGTATGGTTGTTGGGGAAAATATCCTCGGGATATTTCGACTTTGCGGAGGCTTTCGGTGCTCCTTTGATGCCACCCAATTCATCGTATTCCACGTACTTTTCGGACTCGATGACGGCTGCATCCCTGAGTTTTGCAGCTGTAGGGTTACTGTCTCCACCATATTTCTCCAGAAGCATTTTCTTACGCGCCTGTCTTTTGGCTTCTGCCTCTTCCTTCTCCTTTCTTCTATAGTACTCACCAGAAGTAGGGTTTGCTTGTAAATGTTGTTTTGTATCGCCTGCCCTTTCTTGCGACTCCCAGGCGTACTTCTGCGCTTTCTCAAATTCGGCGGCATCTCCAGAAGCTTTCAAGAATCCTTCTTCCGCGACTAGCGCAGCAGCCGTATCAGCAGTCGCTCCACTGTCAACCATAGATCTGGACTTCGGATCGTACTTGGCCGAATCCAGGTCCAGATTCAAAAGATACTTTGCTGTGTCCTCGCGGATTCTCAGCTGTCTCGTTGATGTACTTTGATGTCTGCCCATATCTGATTCCTCTGCGTATTTTGCGCCGTCATCCTCGCCATCCTCACCAGCCTCTTCTCCATCCTTGCCACTACCCTTCTGTACTTGTTTCTTCAACTCTTCCAGCTGCGCATACTCATCTGTGACAGCCTTGTACTCTTTCGCATCATATCCATTCCATCGGTCCCGCTTCGCATCCCATCCCAGATCAACGTCCTGTATAACTTCATCTGCCTGTATATCTTTCCCGGTCCATTTGGCGCCTTTCGCTCTAGGTCTGTTCAAACAGTCCTTAGCCTTGTGTGTCATTGCCCCACAATTTTCACATGCGCCTTTTCTAAATTTGGTGGCTGCCGGACCCAATTTCTTCCCACGATCATACCATTTTGACTGGTCTAATTGGGCTTTTTGAAGACGTTGATGCTCGAGATAATCGGTATTATCGTCGTCACCGATATAAAATGGCTTCTTTGCAATGAAAGCCGGAATATACTCATTCTGATCCTTATTTGCTGCAGATTGCTCTGGCTTTCTAGGCTGCGTACCTGGGGGAGGCATTTTGAAGATTTGTGACTTCCACTGCTAGAAGACGGGCTGGTGTATGAGTAGAACAAATCGAACGAAGAGCCAGTCTTTTCAAAGTGATTGCTGAGTCCGTATCTGATTGCACCAGATCTTGATGTCAGAAGAATTGAAGTTACAATAGCAGTAAATGAAATGCGATTAAGTTATCACCTAGATAATAAGATCATTGATTGTACTCGTATCGCGAATTGAACGGGCCGTGCACTCGGACCAAAAATCCCTGGGATTTTTTGATTTATCAGCAACATGGATCAAGTGTCTCGTGACTTGGCGTTCCGCGTTCGTGTTCGCGCCACTCAAGTTAGGTATGAGAAAGAAATGAAAATAAAGTTCAGGAAACAGTAAATTCCTGCAGTGTCTTATTGCACCTGAATGTAGAATAAGAAATGAGAAGTCATGAAAACCGATAATCTCGACTCTCGCTGGGTACCTCCATCCTAACACGTTCAATCTGCCATGGACCTCTTCCGGGTACGTCTTAATTGCATCGATCATTATCAAGCTACGCCAACTCCGTTTGATCCTCAATTGAAACGGAATGTCCAAATCTCTGAGCTTCATAAAGAGCCAAAAGTACCTGTCATTAGGGTTTTTGGCTCGACAGAAACCGGCCAGAAGGTTTGCGCACATATCCACGGTGCCTTTCCTTACTTATATATCGAATATGAAGGTGCCCTCAATTCTGACGAAGGTCTGGCTTGTTGATATCCCAAAGGTTGCTCTCATTACTGACACAACTTTAGTTGGAAATTATATTCACAGACTTCATCTTTCAGTTGATTATGCTCTGGCTGTGAGCTACCGGCGCAATACATATGATGGAAATGCCAAGTTCGTCGCACGTATTACTTTAGTAAAAGCGGTTCCATTTTATGGTTTCTATGTTGGGTATCGCTTCTATCTCAAGATCTACATGTTGGATCCCATGGTAATGACGCGTCTCGCGGACCTCTTGCGGCAAGGTACTATTATGAAGCGAGTTTTTCAACCATATGAAGCACATCTTCAATTTCTTCTACAGTGGATGGTTGACTACAATTTGTATGGATGTGGATACATCGATACTAGCAAGGTTAAATTTCGAGCTCCAGTGCCTTTATATGACGAAATATCATCGTCAATGCATCTTTGGCACGACCGCTCAATATCTGATCAACTCATCACAAATGACACATTCCTACCCAGGGTCAGCCATTGTTCAATAGAAGTTGATATCTGCGTCCAAGATATTCTTAATAGGCGAAAAATCAAGCCACGTCCTCTTCACCATGACTTTAATCAGAATCCTAGTTCCTATGCTACTGACGAAAAATTAGTTCAGAGTATGGCAGGCCTTTGGAAAGATGAGACTCGTCGCCGAAAGTCTAAGATGCCAAATGCGCCAGCTGGTAGCAGTCCATTTCCGCCTGAGGTGATGTTTTCAATGTCAGCAGATCCTCAATATTCTCAAGATGGTGGATGGATGCATGAAAACGAGTACAGGGAAATGGTCAAGACGTTGATACAGGAGGAACGGAACGGAGGCGACACCTCAAAACCATCTTTCAATAATTTCGTCAAATCAATACCCTTTGAGACTTCTGTTAAAACCAGCCTTGAGTCTGTGGAAGATTTGTACCCGGAAAACCTTCTTTCTGCTTTCGAATCCGTGTATGAGGAGCAAAAGCGTCATTCTTTGTATGATACTCGCGGGGCAGGTGAGGTTGACGAAAATCTTATCACCGAACTTGCAATCGATCAAGGTGGAACTGGAGACGACTACGATTCCGATGAAGATGTGATGAGAGAGATAGAGCTTTCCCAGAAGCGTAAAGGGGATCATGTAGACAAAGAAATATCTGAACCTCAGACTGCTGTGACATCTCGTAAAGAATCTCGTAGGGAATTTACTACATCAGATGAGCAAGCAGTTCAGCTTGAACAAAAGGAAAACAATCAAAGCTCTGTACACCACCCGAGAGTTCCCGCTACAGAAGATGATTCCTCCTTCATAAGTGCACAAATTAGTCGATCGGCCGATCGGATTAATTTTGGCCATGATATCATTCACAATCATAGGGATGAAGACATCAATTCTGAAGTCGAGATATCGCAACTACAAGGAGAGTTCCCAGATGCGAAGAGACGGAAGACGAGCACAATGGTTCATTCTTCACCACAATTGTCTCCTACAACACCACCAGTGCGAAGAAATAGCCATACTGAGCAGCAAAGCAGCCTGGGTCTCAGAGCATCCAGTACTAAGTTTTCCTCTCAAGAGTCGCTCAATTTTCCAGTGACAAAAGATCCGCACGATTCTAGCACAATAACAAAGCTTAGCCAGTATCCTGGAGATATAGACACTCCCATGGTAAAGACGCACGTCTCTTTTCATGCTATTTCACCATCACTTGCAGACAACAGGTTTCAGACGACAAGCATGGCAAACTATTCAACAGTGCAAGGTCTGACTTCAAGGTTAAGCTCCTCTACGCAGGACAGCCTTTTTATAAAAATTAGAGACGAGTTTGAAGGCCGCATTGGGTCGCTAGTATTAGCACACCAGCAACCTCCCCCGTCGGCTCAGTATATTTCTTCAACGATGTCAAACTTCAATATACCCACCGTTTTATATCAGGATGCTTTTTATAGTAATGAAGAAGACGTTCCTGAGCGTCCCAGGGAATGGGCGGGCAGAGAATTCAAACTTGGAAGCACGAGCCTACCGTTCCTTCCCGATTTTGACCCATCTGCAACCTCAGACGCAACTTTTGGGCTCAGGTCGGTCGTACTTTCGGACAAAACCAAGGACGAGGAAATTTATCATCATCGCCGTCGCGAGTGTAGCCTCCGGGTTTGGACTTTTGCAGAAACACCACCCACTTATGCAGATGTACATTGTTGGGCTCGCAATGAGACGTTACGGCAGGGAAATAAATCCGAGAAGTCAAAGGAAGGTACAACTTCCAAGTCGTCAGTCAGCAATCGCCGAAAGGAGGCAAAACTTTCGCAAATTGACGGTCCAACTCAAAAGAATAAGCAAGGGATCAAGTACACACAAATTGAAAAGACGGCCAATATCCAACGTGAGGCTCAATACATGAGTGTCATGAGCCTAGAAGTTCATGTCAATACACGAGGAAGTTTTGTTCCCAATCCCGAAGAGGATGAGGTTCAATGTATTTTCTTCTGCTTTCAGGCTGATGATGAAGGCACTGATGGTAGCCCGTCACAACCAGGGATTGTGATCCTGTCAGCTGACAATAACAATATCTCTGAGAGAGTATCGAATCAAGTTCCATTCGAGGTACACGCAGAATCTTCTGAACTTGATCTACTCATCCGTATGGTAGGAATCGTGCGAGAGTACGACCCAGATATCTTGACTGGTTTTGAGGTTCACGGTGGATCTTGGGGATATCTTATTGAACGAGCAAGAGTGAAATACGACTACGACCTGTGCGATGAGTTTTCGCGCATGAAAGCCCAATCCCATGGCCGTTTTGGCAAGGACAACGACAAATGGGGATTCAATAATACATCCACAATTCGTGTCACAGGCCGACATATGATCAACATTTGGAGAGCCATGCGAGCCGAGCTCAATCTCCTCCAATACACATTAGAGAACGTGGCTTTTCATCTGCTCTACCGGCGAATTCCTCATTATACATGGGCTGATCTAAGGACCTGGTACACGAATGGATCGGCCCGAGATTTGTCCAAAGTACTCACGCACTACGTGTCCCGTGTACAACTCGACCTAGAAATACTTGAGCAGAATGAATTGATTTCACGTACAAGCGAACAAGCACGACTCTTGGGTGTCGATTTCTTTTCAGTTTTCTCTCGGGGTTCACAATTTAAGGTAGAATCTCTGATGTTCCGCATTGCAAAACCAGAGAACTTCATGTTGATATCTCCTAGTCGAAAACAAGTTGGAGGTCAAAATGCTTTGGAGTGTCTCCCCCTCGTTATGGAGCCTCAAAGTGCGTTTTACAGTAGCCCTTTGCTCGTTCTTGATTTTCAAAGCCTGTACCCTAGTGTTATGATTGCTTACAATTATTGCTACTCGACTTACCTTGGACGAGTGGTGAACTGGCGAGGCACTAATAAATTGGGTTTCACAGAATATACACGGGAGGATAGGCTGTTAGAGTTGCTGAAAGACCACATCAATATTGCTCCCAATGGAATGATGTACGCGAAACCAAACATCCGGAAGTCTCTCCTAGCGAAAATGCTGGGCGAAATACTTGAGACGCGGGTTATGGTGAAGAGCGGAATGAAGCTAGACAAGGAAGATAAAGCTCTACAAAGATTATTGAACAATAGGCAGCTAGCCTTGAAACTTATCGCCAATGTTACCTACGGATATACATCTGCATCGTTTTCTGGGCGCATGCCGTGCTCAGAGATTGCTGACAGCATTGTTCAAACCGGTCGCGAGACACTTGAAAGGGCCATTGCACTTATACACTCAGTCAAACGCTGGGGCGCAGAAGTAGTATATGGCGATACGGACAGCTTGTTTGTCTACCTAAAGGGTCGCAGCAAAGATGAGGCATTCGATATTGGGAATGAGATTGCAAAAACGGTCACCAACATGAACCCACGTCCCATCAAGCTCAAATTCGAGAAGTTGTATCTTCCCTGCGTGCTCCTGGCTAAGAAGCGATATGTAGGGTTCAAGTACGAAGGCAAATCACAAATAGAGCCGGACTTTGATGCGAAAGGTATTGAGACGGTACGACGTGATGGAACACCAGCTGAGCAAAAGATTGAAGAGAGAGCTCTTAAGATACTTTTTCGCACAGCTGACCTCAGCCAAGTAAAATCCTATTTTCAGGAGCAGTGCGAGAAAATCATGAAAGGTTCTGTGTCTATCCAGGACTTTTGCTTTGCGAGAGAAGTCAAGCTTGGAACATATAGTGACAAAGGACCACCGCCCCCAGGTGCTCTTATCAGCACCAAAAAGATGCTGGAAGATGCACGAGCAGAGCCGCAGTATGGTGAGCGAGTCCCATATGTGGTCGTCACCGGCGCTCCAGGAGCCCGATTGATCGACCGCTGTGTGGCGCCTGAAGATCTTCTCAACAGCGATCACAGCGAATTGGATGCGGAGTATTACATCTCTAAAAACCTCATTCCACCACTAGAACGAATCTTCAATCTCATGGGTGCCAATGTTAGAAGTTGGTATGACGAGATGCCCAAAGTTCAGCGCGTTCGCCGAATCGAGATGAATTTTGATCAAGGACAACTAAAAGAGCTGGGCATCAACAAGAAAACGCTCGAGTCATATATGAAATCATCTTCATGTCTTGTGTGTAAAGACAAACTTGAGGCCGAGGGATTTCTCTGTCCTCAGTGTCATTCAAATGCCTCTGAATCCATGCTTTCTTTGCAGACTAGGCTCAAAATTGAGGAAAAGAAGTTTCTAGACATAAAGAGCGTTTGCCAGACTTGTTCTGGCTTATATCCACTGGAGGAAGTGAAATGCGATAGTAAGGATTGTCCAGTATTTTATACGAGGGTGAGACAGAGCATGCGTCTGAAGACGGAAAGAGCCTTTGTTGTCCCAGCTATGCAGGCTCTGTCGGCAACTGATGGAACGGAGGTAGATTTTACGGATCTAGAGTGGTGACTAGTAGCTATTACATGCAACCTTATTTGAATAAAGGCTCCCATGGTATTATTTTGATAGGGTTAGCCTTTAAATACTTCATCTCAATGTATCAACACGAAGAAACTCATGAAGGATGGGACATCAGTGTTCGCATGTTGGATTGATTTTAATTCTTTTTTTCTCCTCTGCGGTTGGATATGCACTGAAGGGAAATGCATACTTTACAGAAGTTAAGCACAATAAAAGTAATTATAATCAACATTCCGCAGTGTGATCTCCAAATGTGATAAAATGGTAGTTGTAAAAGAATAATTGATGTCACAAGACACCGCAATACCATATCTTTTTGGCCCTACCACATGATGACACGAATATGTACGTACTTAGATACTCAAGTACAATCAAAACTTAGATATATTTCTAACATCCGATGACTACCTAGGTATTTTTGGCACCGTATATATGTGTCTCAAGATCCTGTCATTAATCAGAGCCGCTTAAAAATAAACCCCCAGTGAGGTTCATAAATACGTATGTAGCTTCCAAGTTTCTTTCAAATTTTGTCCAAGCTCCAATTCACGACTCTAGCCGGTGTCCTCTTCTAAACCGACAGATTTGAGATTTTACATAAAGGACCAGCTTGTATGAAAAACACAATTAATACACTTTTAATTATTTCATTTTGGTGATAAAATTATTCCTTTCAAGGATCGCTCGGGATTGAGTTCACAGGTTTGACGTCGCCACATGTTCTAGAGACCTTGCTTCTCAAATATCAACAACTTACCTGCCAAATGTTGTTTCCTTCTGCTCTTCTCAACAATTTATTTCTTAATTTCATGGAGATGGTCCGTTAATTGAAAGCTTTCGTCCTTACACATGAAGGCAATATCATAATGGAAGGTTTAACATTGTTCCTTTTTGTTTATTGCTTAGGTGGTCTCACATTTCTTCCCCTCGTCGTAATAGCAATCCTACTTCACGCATACTTTACCTTCCCAGTTCACCATGATATCCATTCGCGGGAAGCTGACGAGTTAATCCTTCGACCTGGCGATAATGCCGATGCTATTAAATCAGCACAGAAATCCTTGGGAGAAAAGTTCCAACTTCATAACAACCATGAGGCAGATGTAGCTGCCGGATATTTCGCTATATCCAGAGAATACTCACCAGGCGGCGTGAACGGGAAGCCGCCAGAACGTACAACACCCGTGGGGTCAGCTACAGTCTCTGCGCCCAGCCCCAGCGTCTATCAGAGCATGTACAGAAGCTTGTTCGAGAGGAAGACAAGCAACGGCCCGCTGGATAATAAAGCGGCGGGGAAGCCCCAGAAGAAGGGCGGGAATGTGTTTTACGTGGTCTTGAGGTAATTTCCATGGGCGGTTCAAATACCTTTGATGTATTATAAAATGTACTGACGATTAGCTCAGGCATGGGCATCTAATGCTTTTTGACGATGAAGATCAACTCGAAGTTCGTTACGTAGTGTCCTTGGCACATCATGATGTTAGCATCTACTCGGGACCGAATGATATTACACCAGAAGGAGAATTGTTTATAAAAAGAAATGCTATTTGCTTGTCGAGGAAACAGGGTGTTGGTGAGATAACTGCCGACGGCAAGCCTTCACAGCCCTTCTATTTGTTCTCCGAAAATTGCTCCGATAAGGAAGATTTCTATTTCGCACTTCTTCGAAACCAAGACTCGGACTCGACTCCAAAACCGCCGATTCCATTGCAGTACGATGTAAAAGATATCATTACTCTTGTCCAAAGGCTGCATTCGTCCGAGGAACATCTTCAGACAAGGTGGATTAATGCACTAGTTGGACGTGTGTTTCTTGCGCTGTACAAGACGCCAGATATCGAGGATTTTATTCGGGCAAAGATTACAAAGAAGATATCGAGAGTCAAGACTCCTAATTTTTTAAGGCAAATCGCTCTCCGTAACGTAAACATGGGAGAGGCAGCGCCGGTAATCACGAATCCACGTTTGAAGGATCTGACCGTAGATGGAGAGCTCGTTGTAGAGGCCGATGTTCGCTACACGGGCAATTTCCGTCTCGAGGTTGCTGCAATAGCTCGTCTTGAGCTTGGCGCGCGATTTAAGGCTCGAGAAGTGGACCTATTATTAGCCGCCGTCTTAAAGAAGATTGAGGGGCACATGCTACTTCGAATCAAGCCCCCTCCCTCAAATAGGCTATGGATTACATTTGAGACCATGCCAAAGATAGAAATGACAATAGAGCCCATTGTGAGTTCACGACAGATTACATACACATTGATTCTTCGTCAGATTGAGAACAGGATCAAGGAAGTTATCGCTGAAAGTTTAGTCTACCCAAATTGGGACGATTCGCCATTCGCCAGTACTGTAGGCAAGCTATGGAGAGGTGGAATTTGGGCAGATGACCGGCGCGCGGAACATTCTCAGGAAGCCGAAGCCGTGTCCGCTGAGCATGGAGACGTGGACGAGGTAGAGATTTCAGAGGCTGAACATGATGAACCAACATCTACGCCACAGATTGAAAAGAGTTACAGCACTCCTGTGCTTGATACCAACCTTTCTAACACAGTACATTCACGCAAAGGCACAAAGTCCACTTCAAACCTTATCAACCCTTTCCCTAGCAGCTCATCTACTGGAGTAGATGCGCGACCTTTGACGGGCGACAAACCACGAGTCCTTCGTTCGAGGTCCTTTGCTAATGCGTCTAATCCCGTCGTTACTACTGACATAACAAACGCAGACGCTTTCAAGCCTTCGAGCCCTCCCGAGGGGGACCACGCTGCAACCGCCATGGCTAAACTTTCCGCCAAAACGAAGCTCCCTGTACAGAGTCCTACTGGGTCTCCCAGCCGACCAACAAACTTCAAACCAAGTAGTAGCCAATCTTCATCATCTTCACGGGGCTCTTCACATTCCGAGAAGGCTGATATGAGCAATTCCATACCACAAGTCTCTTTGGAGCCATCATCGCTCACGGATACGTCCAGTATCAATTCTTACCCCACAAGTCCAGCAAGTTTAAGTACCACATCAATAAGGTCAGAATTGTCAGCTTCTAAAAACTTTGGTACCCCAAAACGTGAGAATACCGCATCTTCAACAAAATCTTCAGCCTCGGAGAACAGACGACTGTCGCTTGCCGCTGTTACCAATGCAGCGGCAACGGCTAAAACTTGGGGAGTAAGTTTATATTATTGTCCCCTTCCAGCGTTCCCATCCTTCGTATCTTTGAGAATGCTAAGGCAGGGCGCCTATGCTATAACATTACATCCTACTCATTTTATTTATGCTCAGACTACATGGAAATGCGACTGATATATTTTACAGTGGAATGCTATTCAACGACGTAGCGAGCAGAGAGGGAGCAGCTCATCGGGATCAACCGAAACAACCCAGCCACGCCTCATGGGGCGCGGACAGCCGCTACCTCCTCCCGGCGTTCCTCTACCTCTCCCAGATAAGAAGACGAAAACGGCTCCAATCCCCGTGCCTAAGCGGAAGCCAATGCCTCCTCTTGTTTTGCCACAAAGGCATGAAAGAGAATCGCCAACCGGTGGCCAGCATCACACTGCTCCGCCGCCGCCTTTGCCTAGGCGTAATTCTAGGAAGGAGGTCGACACTGCAGATGATGGTCTTTTGATTGTGTCAGCGCCGTCAGAACCGACAACACCGGTAACTGAGGATTCGCCACGATACATGCAACCGTGGGTGGATGACGAGATGGATGAAAACAAACAAGCTCAAGCTGACGCCCCTTCACCTGCCGCTCTTTCACCTGCCTCTTCCGTTGCTCGTGAGCCCCCGCAACTTCCAAAGAGGCGGCATCCACGTCGAGTTGTCTCAAGTAGCCCTGAAGAAGACGGGCATAAATTGCCCTCCTGGATGGCGGCACAAGAGCAAGAAGCTCGGGCTAAAAGTACTTTTGTTGATGAAGATGCAGGTCTTTGAGCTATGTAACTTGTTGTTGGGCTATCATATTGATACATGGAACAAGTCTGGTGCATAAACGGCGTGGTATACATACGAGTCTGTTGGGGTCACATGGGACGTAAGAAATTGGTTTGTTATCTTACATTGGCAGGCGCTCTATGGTTATCGGTTTCATACAGATATTAGGGTAGAACGGAATGATATAAAATGTATTATGAAAGACCATGCATGCATTAACGAAGTAATTTTATGAACACAAGGTTTATCTAGTTATGATGTTAACACGGCCGATAACTTTCAAGATTGTTTACTGGTAAAATAAGGTAAAGTTTTGACTGATTCATGTTGATAAATATTCTATTAATGATAGGTAATTATTATAACGATATTGCATAGAACCAAATATACAAAACATTGGTTTCGAGAGAAGATTGGGATATCTCATCATTTCGAATTCAAATAACAAATAACACCCTACACAGCCACCGACGGGGCCACGGCATAAAGTACGGAGCCGCCACATTACGCAGCTCCACCAAAACTTACCCCGTAGTACACAAGCTTCGGTACAATATCAAGGTACAACTCCTTCATCTTACAATCCTTTGGTATTTCCGACCCTTTCACCTACATATCAACTTTTCATATTTACTCTCTTTTCTGCTGTACATTTTGCGCTCTTCGCGCTCTTAATCATGTCGTACGCGACGTCTGCCAGGAACGTGGATCATACCAAGTAAGTCAGCGGGAAACTCGGGCTCATCGAGCTTCCTATCCCCTATTATTGGCAAGTTATGAAATATACTGACATTGTTATAATTGGTCAGGTCCGAGGCAGAGCTTGCGATCAACATTCGAAAAGCCACAAGCATCGAGGAGACCGCGCCGAAACGTAAACATGTTCGTAGCTGTATTGTGTATACATGGGACCATAACAGCTCCAGTGCCTTCTGGGCTGGTATGAAAGTGTCAGTCTAAACCCACCCATGCATGTATTCCAAAAATGCCATACCATATTCTAGAATTTCATGAGATTCCAGTGAAAGTGGCTAACTTCAGGCCGTTCTCATAGACAACCTATTCTCGCAGATGAGGTTCAGACATTCAAGGCATTGATTACCGTTCACAAGGTTCTACAAGAGGGCCACCCCTCGACTCTACGTGAAGCCATGGCGAATCGAACTTGGCTCGACAGTTTGAATAGAGGAATGTCTGGCGAAGGTATGCGGGGCTATGGACCTTTGATAAAAGAATATGTCAACTTTTTGCTGTCCAAATTGAGCTTCCACCAACAGCATCCTGACTTTAATGGCACATTCGAGTATGAGGAGTACATCAGCTTAAAGGGGATCAACGATCCAAATGAAGGTTATGAAACTATTTCAGATCTTATGACTCTACAGGACAGAATCGAACACTTCCAGAAACTGATTTTTGCGCACTTTCGAAATGGAGGCCACAACGAATGTAGGATATCCGCCCTGGTTCCTTTGGTACAAGAGAGTTACGGTATCTACAAGTTCATCACTAGCATGCTGCGAGCTATGCACACAAGTATGTCACAAAGCTCACATCTAGCCATTCACCTCTGACTTGACCTGCAGCAACCGGTGATGATGATGCTCTTGAGCCCTTGAGAGGCAGATATGACTCCCAGCATTATCGTCTTGTAAAATTTTATTACGAATGCTCCAATCTCCGATATCTCACGAGCCTGATCACTGTGCCAAAGCTACCACAAGAACCGCCCAATCTCCTTTCAGAGGATGATTCTGCCCCCAAGTTACCTCAGCGACCCAAGCAAGAGATTGAGAGGCAAATCACACCTCCGAAACCTCCCAAGACGGAGGAACCAGATGAAATTGGCGAGTTCTGGAAGACCGAACAGGACCGTCAAAACCGGGAGTATGAGGAGCAACAGAGGGTTCTAGCAGAACAGCAGAGACAACAAATGCTGGCACAACAGCAAGCACAACTTCAAGCGCAGCAAAATTATGAAGAACAGCAGCGTTTGCTGGCCGAGCAACAAAGACGAGAGCAAGAGCAATTGATGCTGCAACAATCCCAACAACAGACTTATGGTCGCTTGGCGGAACTTGAACGGGAGAACTTCGATGCTCGAGCACAATACGCGAGGGATCAGCTAATGCTACAACAATACGACCAAAAGATAAAGGCGCTGGAGGGTGAGCTTGCGCAGCTGCAGAACAGTTACGGACAACAAATTGGAAGTAAAGAGGATCAGATCAGAGCTTTGCAAGAGCAAGTTAACACTTGGAGGACGAAATATGAAGCGCTCGCGAAGCTTTATTCACAACTGCGGCACGAACATCTCGACCTACTTCAAAGATTTAAGAGCGTTCAGCTGAAGGCAGCATCAGCTCAGGAGGCCATTGACAAGCGGGAAAAACTTGAGCGAGAAATTAAGACCAAGAATCTTGAACTTGCAGACATGATCAGAGAAAGAGATAGGGCTTTGCATGAGAAAGACCGTCTCACTGGTGGTAACCGTGAGGAGGTCGAAAAGCTTAAACGCGAGCTTCGCATGGCTCTCGATCGCGCTGACAATTTGGAGCGAAGCAAGGGCAATGAGCTGTCCACGATGCTTTCCAAGTACAATCGTGAAATGGCAGATCTCGAGGAAGCTCTTCGCAACAAAACCCGAGCATTACAGGATGTCCATGCTAAATATAGTGAAGGGGGTTCAGATGCCGAAAGATTACTCAAGGATAAGGAGGATGAACTGGAGGTTTACAAGCAAAGTTTGGATGATGCGCTTATCAGACTCAATGAGCTCGAGATGTCAAAAGGTGACACTGACAATGCTTTGGATGGAGAAATTGATGCCATGCTTCTTTCAAATATTGACAAAATCAACGACATCATCGATTCCGTTCTTCAGAGTGGAGTTCAGCGTGTTGACGACGCTCTTTACGAACTCGATTCCACCATGCAAGCTGGTAATCAGAATGCAACCCCATCTTACGTTCTTTCGCAGATCGAAAAGGCATCAGCAACTGCCACCGAATTCGCCACGGCATTCAACAATTTCATAGCAGATGGTCCGAATAGCACCCATGCCGAGATCATTCGAACCATCAATGTCTTCGCCAGCTCAATTTCCGACGTGCTTAGCAATACCAAAGGTCTCACGAGGCTTGCGACGGATGACAAGAAGGCTGATCAACTTATTAATGGCGCACGTCAATCTGCGCAGTCTACTGTCACATTTTTCCGTGGGTTGCAAAGCTTTCGATTGGATGGCATGGATCCAGTGCAGCGAACTGAGGTGGTCATCAATAGCAACAATGAGGTACAAATCCATCTGCAACGCTTGAACAAACTTGCAGATATATTTGCGCCAAACAGTGGTAAATTCACAAACAATAAAGGTGACTTGGGAGATTTGGTAGACAACGAGCTCTCCAAGGCTGCTGATGCAATTGCTGCTGCCGCCGCGCGCCTGGCGAAGCTTAAGTCCAAACCTAAGGATCAATACTCGACATACAAACTTGAAATCCACGATTCAATCCTTGATGCTGCCATTGCTGTTACGAACGCTATCGCCAGATTAATCAAAGCAGCTACAGTTACCCAACAAGAGATTGTCCAGGCTGGCCGTGGCTCGTCTTCCAAGACCGCTTTCTACAAGAAGAACAACCGATGGACTGAGGGTCTCATTTCCGCCGCTAAAGCAGTGGCAACGTCAACAAACACGTTGATTGAGACCGCAGATGGAGTTCTTTCAGGACGTAACAGCCCGGAACAACTCATCGTGGCTTCTAACGACGTCGCAGCCTCTACAGCCCAGTTGGTCGCTGCTAGCAGAGTCAAAGCCGGTTTCATGAGCAAGAGCCAAGAGAGCTTGGAGCAAGCTAGTAAAGCTGTTGGTTCAGCCTGCAGAACTCTTGTCAGACAAGTACAGAGTATGATCAAGGATCGGGATCAAGATGTTGAGGGAGAAGATTACGCCAAGCTCGGGGCGCATGAGTTTAAGGTCAGGGAAATGGAGCAGCAGGTAAGTTTCCTTGAAGGGATTTTCTTTTGAAGCATTAATAATATTTATTACAGGTCGAAATCCTACAACTTGAGAACAATCTCGCGGCGGCGAGGAAGAGATTGGGTGAGATGCGAAAGATATCCTATTTGGAGAACTAGGCGTTGCTGGGCCATGGTTATTCGTAACTCGGTTGAGTATATAAACTTTAAGGGGAAGAAGTAAATGGGCTGTACGGCGATTCTTTTAATAAGCGTGTGATATCCAGATTTGGTAAGAGTTATTTCATTGAGGACGATGACACTTGTAGGGAGGGCATCCGTGGAAATACTTTTGAGACCGAGGCAAAATAAATACCTTGAACTTCGTGCATCACTTCTTCCACTCGGATATCTCCATGATCGCAGTTTGCTTTAGGGGTATCAGAAATCGATTGATTTACATGTGTTGCTTGTCAGACACCACCATCTCCACTAGCCTCAGCTCGAAATACCCCCTGAACTAGTGCTAGGTATGATCAGTCCCCTGAGAATTGTCTCACAGACTTTCTTTGTGTTAAGAAAACCCACAACATCAGGAATTTATCCTCCGCGATCTTAAATGTAAGGAAGTCCTGAATGCCATCATAGCATTTTTGAGTGATTAACTTACCTGAGACTATACAACTTCCCCCCTCTCTTCACCAATAAAGTCCAAGTCCATCGTCTCCTTTGCTCGTAATTGCTGTTCGCACCAAATCTCGTACTCGTATTCTATATATCCTTGTCTCCACCAACCTCTAACTCCCCACTAATCTACACTTTCGGTTGGACCAAGATCCATAAAAGGTAAGCATAATGCTATATTAGAATGCTGGTACTTGCATTAGTGGTCTGTTGGGTTAGTAATTGGCGCCTGTGTCTCCACATGCTTATTTCTACGACATATTATGCTTGGAGGTATTGGAAAAAGAAAAGAAGGGATAAAAAGAGATGTTATGAGAGATACCAATGTCAGAAGAACTGTCTCTGAGTACCTTGCTCTTGTATGTCCTTACATTGGTATCCTTGCTGTTAATGATTATCTTACCGATCTCAATTGGATATTCGAAACAAATGAAGAAGGGATTGTTTGTCTTCGTCAAACTTCTCCATCAGATATCCGTTCGTTTCCAGCACATATCGCTAGAACTACCTTGACAGATTTGGACGTTATCACTTTCTGTGGCTCCCAAGGTTATTTGCCGAGGAGAGAAGAAGTCATAGAGATCCTGTTGTTGTACCATTTGCCAAGATTCTGTTGATGTAAAGTTCATACCTATTGATTGATCATTATATGTAAGTCTGGAGTTTTCGGATTGAAGTTGTTGTTCTGTTATATTAGAGTGATTTATATGAATATTGAGTCCAAATGTATTTAGATCAGAATTATCAATAGAGTTGTTGTTTGCAATAGGAAAGCTGATGGAAGAGGTGGTAGTATTGATGTTGTGGGATAATTGGTTGGTGGTTGGTTTGGTGAGCGTCTTCTTGGATGCACGTCGCTTCTTCTCACTTGGCTTCCTGGGAGCGTACTTGTAGGTAGGATAAGCCTTCTTGTGAGCTTCCTTCAATAGATCGGCACGAATCTTGTACTTCAAACGCCGCTCTGGAGTTTCTGCAGCCCACATGCCGGCGATAATCGAAGCTAGAAAAAAAATTAGAAGATTGAAGTGAAGCATATAACAAATGGGTAACTTACAAATCTCGTTATTGGTGATACCTGGATAGGCTTTCTTGATGGGAATATGGTTATCAGCACGATAAAGAATCCACTCATTAGCGGGACGTGGGATCTTTGGCTTGAGAGCAGCAGGCAGGGACGGTGATAGATGCTTTTTCCCTGAGCCAGAGCAGAGAGTCACCCCAACATTCGTCGGAAGAATTGTGCAATTTTCATCCCATGAGCCGTTCATCATCCTTCGATGCTCGACATTGAGAGGCTCCAGACACAAATTGGTGAAGCCTGCGACGGCTAACATCTGTTTGTCCTCAAACTCATCCAATGGGGCAAGAAATATTCTGCTGACATAGGCGTCTCTGACGAAAACACCTTTCCGATCAGTGTGTTGCCTGTAATTGCATGTTAGACGAGACCGTAATATAGAGCAGATGTTACATACTCATAAAAATGAAGCAGTATTTGACGTTCAGGTGTGCCAATACCAAGGTATTGAGAATCTTTTAGTTCACACCATGGGTTGATGTCAAGTGCGTTATACAGATCCAATTCATTGAAGAAAGTGCGCATCGCATCATAAATCTCCTTCGATAATCCAGGAATGCCATAAGCTTCGACAGGTGTGATGTCGACTGCAGGATAAGGAACATCTGCGAGGGGAGTTTCAAGAATAGTACCGCGATGCGGTACCCATTTCCCAAGTCTGAGGGTGGACAGAGACATCCTCTAAGTGTGAATGCGACAATGTTTTAGAAAAGTCTCAATGGAATGAATGTTTCAAAAATAAAGAAACAAGTACTCCAGCTTATTATGATTACCAAGGAAGATTGAGCAGCTGTACAGGACAGAAAATTGTGTTTGTCGGGATATGAAGGAAGGAAATTTTTTCATTGAGGAAAAAATTTTGAATAAAACATTATTGGTGGGATCATACCGCTTGAGAAACCACTAAGCGAAATTCAAATCAGAATCTGGAGTATTCTTTGTTGAAAGGTGAATGCAAATAAAGGTAAGAATAAAGATGAAGAACTTGGTCTGTTAATATGAACAGCTAGAACACAGAAATGATCAAAGCACCATGTTAGCTGCTCATAATAGTACAACTATGTAGACTCCATCAAATGAAGCTGCAAGTCTTCCATTAATATATATGAATATCTCATATACACTTACGCACATTCATACACATTATCGTAATTGCAAGGCGCAGGAATGCAACCACAAGCAGGAGCCAATGCAGGTGCCGAGACATCGACAGGACGGTCTCAGATCAACGCAATGTATGTTCTCAATCACATGAATGACTTTTCCCGAGATTTCAAGCGGCCGGGTTCCAAGACGACAACTCCACAACCATTTTTAGGAATTGCTCCTATAGTATATGACGTTAATTACACGGTGATACACGACTCTCTCCAATGGATAGGAGGAGATGAAAGGCAACTTCTGAAACCCAAAGTGACCACAGAGCAACGTCAGTCACAGAGGGAGCTATCAAATGTCGTCAGACACACGAATAACCTTGCGAATAGCTTTATGAAACTCGAAACGGGGCTTCTTAACTTGCGTTTCGACAAACAAGGGTCAGCACCATTGATCAGGCAATTAGCTGCAGGACAAAGAATTGCGTTGCGAATTTATCTACAGAAGTGAGTAGAAAATTATTTGTCTCTAAACATTATTGATAAAAAGTTCCAGCGAAATCACAAAACAAGCAGCCGATTTGGGGCTGGTGAAACTCGGTGAATGCGAAACTTTGGCTATAAGAGATGTGGTGAAGAGCATGGTTGACCGTCGCCGAACAATTACTCAAGCAGAGGGCAATGTATTTGCAGACGAGATATTTGAGAACGAGTTCGATTTCGACAATGGGGATGAATCTGGGGAGGCACATATAGAGGCATATTTAAAAAGGAGTGAAGAGATACGCAACGAGAGTGAGCTCCTCTATATATGTGAATGTCAGATTAAGCTAATTCAATGCAGTCTCTGATCTGATTTGGAATCTACAATTCGATCGTACTTTCGCGAGAACTATGTCCCATCTCCTCCCTTTGAATTATGACTCTTGGAAAGAGAAGATTATAACACCGACAAGTATACGAAAGAGAAGGTGTATGAGGAGAATAAAACGAGTTGAAAGTGCAGGTGGATAGTACTCATACATCATCTACGATCCATACTTATTACACATTTCATTGAGCATGGATCATGAAAGAAGAGAAAAAATGTTGAAGCATAGTAATAATATTTTTATTCCATCATGAGATATTTTTAGTGATTCTAGCAAGTCTTTGAATGAGGAATATGAAATTTTTATGCGCCATAACCTTTTGAAATATACAAGACCGGCAAGCTTGATGCTTAACAGGTCATTTTTAAGTATCTATCCATCCAAATTATGATCAAAATGTAATGAGAACTGTGTACTGAAAATAAAAACGAGGAAGCCTGATGCGTAATTGGTGTACTAACCATTATCATCAATATCTTGGGAATTGGTGGATAAATGTCCCAGGTTTTCCATCTAAAAACATGTTGCGTCAATGAGTATATACATCCATCCAACTCCTAGTTTTTGCTCTAAATCCATACTGGGGAGTGTTTATCGTGGGAACAGGACAATGCCTCGGTGTCACGAAAGATTCGGGAATATAGTGGACTATGAATCGGTCAAGTCTAAAACAATTAGTATGGTACAATCAAATGGGTGAACAGGTTGACTTACCTGATGGTGGAGAGATATCGCCAGGAACATAGAGGCTGTTTGCATCACCAAGAGAGGTGGGGTTGAATTGATCGAATTGGTTTTCAAGGCCATTTAGGTCAATAGACCCATTGTCCTGACTCCAGTAGCCAGCCATCATACCAGTGGACCAAGGAGGTGGTGGTGGCAGTGTGCCAGTGGGCAGTGGTGTAGATAGAGTGTAAGTAAGAGGGTGGTCGAAAGCTGGCTTGGGAGGTGGAGCAACAATGACACCTTTAGGCATCTCCCAGGCACCATATGCATTCTGAGTGGAAGCAATGTGTTGTGTAACAGGGAGGGTACCTTGGATAGCCATATTAGCATTTGGATGCATACGGTTCCAGCCCTGAACGATGCCAGCAGCAGTTGCGGCTGGCAAATAACCTTGGGAGCCACAGAAAGTGATAACGTCCAAATCTGTCAAGGTAGTTCTAGCGATATGTGCTGGAAACGAACGGATATCTGATGGAGAAGTTTGACGAAGACAAACAATCCCTTCTTCATTTGTTTCGAATATCCAATTGAGATCGGTAAGATAATCATTAACAGCAAGGATACCAATGTAAGGACATACAAGAGCAAGGTACTCAGAGACAGTTCTTCTGACATTGGTATCTCTCATAAGGGTATATGCGCGAGCAAGGATAGACCATTTGGCATGAAAAGGATCACGTCCCCATAAGACACTGAGGATGGCAGACTTGTACTTTTGCGGAATATTTCCAAGCACATTCAAAATCATATAGAAGGCTAGGTAGATGTTGGTCTTCTGCAAATAGTTGACAATCAGAAAACTTACTACGGAACAATATATATGAATTGACAGAGCGCCGAGGAGCCTCAACCCACCCGATTTGTCTCGTATTCATTGCAACATGTTGTATACCACCCTCAATTTCACCGATGAATGGAGCTGTATGGTAGGTAAGTGGCTGTATGCTGTCATTGGCTCTTCTGCATTTAGTTGCTGGTTTTGACACACGATACTGAGTAGTTGTTAATTTTCTTTGCTGCCGCTTCATGGTGTGCTTCATCGTAGTCTTGAAGGGCGTCGTCATAATAAATTTATGATGATTCTCAATTGAGGGAAAATAGTATTTAGGAAGAGAATTATTGAAGAAGCTGTGGAAAGTTTGTCCGGGACGTCGCTGAAGAATTGTTGTTGTAAACTTGTTGAAGGGTTTCTGAGAAATTGCAGCAGCGGCCTCTAAATTGACTTTTGTGTGGCTGGAGTCGGCTAACAAATTTGTTTCAAGAAGAAACAAAGCTTGCCATTTTAGTGAATAAATGAAGCAACAAAGAATCTCTCATCAGCTTTCATATAGCGAAAGCTGATGATGTATCACATGGTAAAGTAATGTAAGACATGCAAAAGTGAAAGCTTTTTTGGGGAGAAGATTGAGAAAATCTGGATTTCCCTTAAACGGTCTATTGGACATCGCCATTTAGTGTTTCTACCTTATAGCCCATCATAAATCGATGATACGGGATATTTGCATTCTTTGCAATTACTGGATTCTCCTGCCGTCTGAAACTCCGCTGAACAGCTTCTGCTAACTTCTCAATCCTCAAGATCCCATTTTGGTCGGACTCCGACCTATCTCCACTTCTATACTGCACGTAATTTACTGCCATTGTTGAGAATTTCGAGTAGGCCATATGCTCAAATGCTTCTCCTGGGGCAGGAAAATCTTCCAAGGTATCCTAGATGACGTTTTAGTTTATTATTCGGACATGAAGCAGGTTCTCATTATCAAACTTACATTCACTTTGCGATCAATAAGTCCCTCCTGTGAAAAATACATTAGTCTATCAGTTTCCTTTATGTGTATAGAACATGGTTAATATACTCACAATTCTAAACTGTCTCTCATATAGTTCATACATAGTTGTGATTCTTCGAATTATATTGTCGCCAATATGTGGTATTTTCTGCTGAATCCCAAGCCAACCTGGAGGCATCACAGGTGAAGAATTTTCCAGCCATCTAGTCCAGGGATGTCTTCCATCTGCCCGTCCGGGATAAAAGAATGGTAGACATTTGGCAAGTTCTCTCTCCTTCTTTCGCATTTCGTTCCTGGCGAGCTTACTATCATTTTTCAAGACTATAACATCTCGCAGATGGTCCACAATTTCCGCTATACGACTCATCTTTTCCATGAATTGACGCTCTTGTACTAGCGTTGAGAAGAGTTCAGGCGATTTTTTAAGCCTCCGGCATTGTGTAAATACGGTGTTGAGATCATAGAAAATGTCCGCATACTTCGTGGGTAATGGGTCGTCCATCGAATTGAAGTCTGTGTATCTATAAAGGCTACGAAATTCCCAAATCAAAACGCAACAGTCCGTGACGAGGGCATCTAGAAATGCAGGCTCGCATGGCTTTCCAGGAGTATCCGCGGCTGTCAATATTAGAAAAGAATATACGCTTTGATGACGGTATTGACTTACTTGCTTCAACACCCGGATCGAAACGATCCGAGGTTAATGATATTGGGTTATATCCCACTTCCACACCCGTAAGTAACTCATCTCTTTCTAATGCTGCCGCTAGCTCCACAGGTGTCGCGTCAGGAAAAGTCGATGGATCCAATGTATTGACCTCATCACGTTTCCAAGTCCTAAGGGCGCAGGGGCGAATATAACGAGCAGAATGTAATTTGATGCCCCATAAATACTTCCTCCTCAAGAAAGCTTCACGTCGCATTTGTATGGCAGTATTGACTTTCATGTCGGGTTGTAGTTAGTATGTTGATGTTATGATTTGCCAACCACAATTTATATGAAATCACCACCCATATATTACTCATAGCTGTGTGGCTGGAGTATATTCAACATAGTCGGGCGATTGGCATACTAACCAATTATCCTACAATATCAATACCATTATCATTCCCATCAACGATTTTATTTCAAACAACTATTTTGCTGATGATATTGATATATTTAAACACAATATTCATATAAATTATTCCAATAAAACAAAATAAAAATTTAAATCCGAAAACTCTAGATTTATATATAATAAATCAATAAGTCTAGTACTCAACTTTTCGACCACTCTTTTTGTTACGAGATCTGCTGTCTAGATTATATGAAAGTGTTCTAAGCTTTTCGAATTGATTTACAATTAAATATTAAATAAATATTTAAATAATAATAATAATAATATACAATTTGTAATTAATACTAGAGTATACTAAGTGATTGATTTTGAGTATAAAGCTCTACAGTAAAGAAATCCATCCTAATTATATAGACCTTCATGTTAGTTGGATCCCTGAGGTTCTAAAGGACCTAGGATACTGTTACGAGGTTTGCCGTCTAGATCACGTGGAAGTGCTCTAGGCTCTCGAGGTGGTTTATAACTAGGCGTCAAGCAGGGACTTAAGTAATGACAATAATGATATGCAATTCGTAACTAATAGTAGAGTATACTAAATGATTGATCTTGAGTACGAAGCTCTATACAAAAGAAATTCATCTTGATTATATAGTCCTTCGTGCTTATGGTTAACTAGGAATCGTCGTTCCTGGTTGTTCCTAGGAACGTTCGTTCCTCACCGTTCCATCACATGTTTTATGGTCATGTGACATACTAATCGTTTTGGACGTAACAGATACACATTCCTAGGTCCTCTAGATCCTCAGGGTCCGTCATATGACGTCTGATCAGATGATACAGTGTTTTATAAAGTCCGATATAATATGATTACATTTTTATATTAAAATTTAATATTTATAAATTTTTAATATAAAAGTGTTACGCCGGGTTATACAACCACCATCACATGATAAAACACGTGACCTCAAACGACCCTGAGTGATCATTCTGTCACGATTCACCATTAGGATTAGTGTCATGGGATGAAAATGAATCACGTGATAAGGAGCCCTAAGAGCCCTCAAAGCTCCTGGGGACTCCCTTTATCGATCATTATATAGTCAGAGTAGTTTCATAGTTTAGGAGCTTCATGCTCAACTTAGGTATCAATTAGTTTACCTACATTCTACTTGATCTAGTAACGACTTCACTTCCAAGTGAATACCAGTGATAAAGCCTTAACCTACAACTACCAACCAGACGAAACCTCAGGCAGCCGCTGCCTCCAGTACTGTGACGCCTCACACCTCCGGGTCACGTGGCATGCCCCGTTTGTATTTAATCATAGGAAAACTCTCTACTCTTGTTTTCCTTCTTCTTTTCTCCTTAGCTTAGTATTTTCTAATACAAGATACTTTACCCAGTATTCTTGAGTGTGACAAGTACAGTATCGTTACATATTCATGATCACAGTATATAATGATCAGGAAGGATTTCCTTTCTAAGAGCTTCAAGCTCAAGATCAATCATTTACTATAATCTATTATAAATTACAAATTATATATTATTATGATTGTTATTTAAATTCTTGTTTAATATTTAATTATAAATTATCTTATAAGTTTAGAGCACCTTTATATGATCTAGACGGCAGACCTAATAACAAAAAGGGTGGCCGAAAAGTTGGGTATTAGACTTAGATATAAGCTTCACATCAATAAAATCTTAGCAAATAATCCAACAACAGGATCTCTATAACTTCTTCTCTCCTCGGATATATTACCAAGTATTTTCCTCCTCTCTTATTCCCAAATTCATCAGCTTTTCACAACATGACCTGTGTTTCACGATTTACGACTTATGTAAAGAAATTGGAATTGGGACTTTGGTGTTCATTATTGCGGCGTTTATCACCTACATATATTTATTCCTTGCATTTACTTGTTTCTTTCTATGTTCATATAGATTATCTAAGTTTATGAATATACTCATGAGCTTGTTCATTTGAAATTGTGCTCATAAGATGGAATGGATGGATTGTGAATATATATTTAGTAGATGGATGCAACTGAAGCAGTACTTAGATTTGACATATATGCTTCACATATTTTATATTACAAAAGAATAGAACTTTTACACTTCATGATACTCTCTAATTACTGCTTACATTGTAACCATTGTGACTGCGACACATATTTTTGTTTTTTTTGTTTTTTAAGTGCCTTCGCTGATAGGAATCATCACCCCCCAAAACGCAGCATCTTCCTCTTCAGCTTCATCGCAGCCATATTCATTCACTTAGTTCATTCCCAAAACTCAAATCTTGGAATCTAGCGTAATAATTTTCTTGCTTTAGCCACAATCTAAAAACCAGGCGGCTGGGTCGCTGTGCCCACTAAGGTGAATCTTGTTCGTGGTGAATATTGGGAAGCAAATTTTTCCTCTTAAGCGGCGGCGATGCGGGCTCGGCTTGTCAAAAAGTCGAAAAGGCGAGATTGAGAGGGGGCTGGGAGATTAAAATTACTATTGCAAAGGTGATGTGGTAGAGTTGGTCACGGGATGTTGGTGAGTGTATGTGGCATGAATGGGTTTTGATTGCTGCTGCAAGTAGGATAGAGTATGCGATTCCTGCTTCCTACTTCCCAGTTGCGATTATGTGGGCAACGAAATGCCGGTATTGATGTGATCGTATGTGGATGTGTGTGTGTGTTTGAAAATATGTCAATTGATGCCCTCGACACGATAGATAGGGTATACACTTCTTACTCCCATCCCAGGTGCTAATTTTTACCTTTTGCGTTATTTCCAGCCTCAGCTTTCCTTCCCATTCCACTCACTACTCCAAATAAATGTACCACAGCGCCATTCTGTATTCTTCTCTTGCTGACCTGATGGTCCCAGAGGTCGAGGACACATGTAGAAGGACCTGCCACGGTTCATGCCTTGCTTCTTCGTTATATGGCTTATACATGGCTCATTATGCTCACATCTGGGGGGAATGCGTCTCGTTAACAGCTTTGACCATGATTCCTTCGCTACTATGGGATCGTGTACTTCTTTATCTTGTTGTAACATAAATGAGTTTCTAATTTCTTCGTCGCTATTTGCGCTTTCCGCGGTCTTCAATGAATTATTCTCCGTGCTAGAACTAACAGAGCATCCGCGAACTGCCGATGATGTTAAAGCTGCAGGTGTTGCTGTGGCAGGGTTACTTGTCGATGGCGGAAGTGTTTGTGCTGCTGGCGGCGTCTTAGGCTTAAAGAACCCCATTAAACTACTTTGTCCTTTTCCCGGTTGTCCTTTAGTCAATTTTCCGCTAGGAGATGCTTTGTTTGTTTTGCCTTCTGCCTTACTGCGTTTGGATGGTTGTGATATTGGCGGCGATGCATCAGAGGACCGCTTGACTGGAACAGACGACGATGATGATATGGATGGCTCCAATGTAAAATCCGTTTTAGTAGAGGATACTCCAAGTGATTTGGCACTCTGATATGAGCTGGGTGTTGCATCTCTTTGTGCCAACTCCTCCAACCCGTTTTGGAATTCTGACGTAGTCGAGTGTAACTCAGCAGTCATAGAGTCAGTTAGCTTTCTTGTGAACATAACACGAATACTCTGACGTCGATCAAATTCTGTAATTAGTTTGGCAGACGTTGGTAGCAAGTCCTTGATCGACCATTCCCGAACCCTGACTCCATTCTTGAACATGTCCTTGCTCATCACGTCACCAATATCAACCTCGACACCATCTAACTTCACTCTAGGCTTCAAGGTGGCAAAAACAGGACAATGATCCGAGCCCATGAGTCCCTCCTGAATATTTGACTCCTGGAACCATTCTTTCCTGTCCTCGCTGCAAAGAATGTAATCGATCCTTGAGCCGAAATTACCAGGTCTGGCATTTTTCTTCTGTTCCCAGCATGTGAACATCTTCTTTCGTGCAGGATGAAAGCCACGACATACATCCCACATGACTTGTGGCTCTCTTCCTTCATCTCTCTCGCCGACCACTTTTCCTCCAATTAAGAGATGATTGAACAGACGGCGTGCGGGAGTTGATATGTATTCGTTCAGCGTTAATTTCTGTTTCTTTAATTGCTCCTCTAAGTTGGCTGTGTCGATCTCGTCTCCGATGACGTTAAGGTCTCCAACCAATAAGACACTTTTTCCAAGAGCCACAAGATTTCGAATCCGTGTATCGAGGGCGTTCAAGAAGGCAAGCCGAAATTCATCACGAGTTTCGTCGCGATTTGCAGGACAATACACACCAATAAGGATAAACGCTGGAAACTCCAAAATAACGCATCTCCCTTCAGAGTCCAGAGTCATGGCATCGAGGAAGTAGCCCTGAAGTTGAGCGTTCGTGGGATATCCCCCGATCTGCTGATCCTTGGGGAGGTCGCGGAAGCTGGTCGTAGAATTTGGAGGGGTTAGAACACCTGTAATACCCTCTTCAGCACGTATTGGAGCGCACACTGAATTTCTTGTATATATGGCAACACCAGAATATCCTTAATTCCTGCGTGAGCTTTGATTTCAGGAAACAATAAGAATAGCATACCTTTCTTGTGCTTTGGAAGGCTAAAGAAGACATCCCAACCTGATACCAAGACCATATCATCTCTGAGATCCTTCCTCTGGATTTTAGTCTCTTGCATCACCAAAATATCAGTTTCGAGAATATCAAACATCGTCTTGTACATGAATTAGTTTGCATTTCCACAATGGTTTTCATATGTGACTGCTCACAGAAAATGTTCTCTTCTCACACCATGGCTGGTAGCTAAAAGGATTCCTACCCAGTCCACACATTAGTTCCAAGCGCAGAGATAAGTAGCATTCCATATCCGTCATTTTCTGGAACTGCAAATCACCAACCTGATACCATTAACTGTCCTTGTGTTAGTAAACCCCAATCACGTTACCACTAGATGCGCTCACCATTCCAAGTTGTTATCCTCAGCCCACGGTTGTTATCATTATCCCGAGTCTCTCGAGCCATAATCTCTGTTTCTTGCTTGCTTGATCGTGGCAACATAGTGAAGCTGAAGGCAGAGATATCGAGACAACACTCGCAAATGCATCTCCTACTAACTGAAAACAATTACGATACTTCCATAGGGCCAATATACAGTGAAGGCAAATTATAAAGACAAAGACTACTACCTTGTTGCTTCATAATACTTCATCTTCACTGAATATAAACTTTCGTAGCGCAAGAAGTCTTGTAGCCAACCACACGTCAGCACGTGATATCTCAACCTGTAGCTATGACTGAGCTCACTGTTGCCTAAGGCAGTCAAAGTAAGGTCTCGTTTCCAAGGTGGAGATATTCAAATTGGCAGTAACATACGACAATTGAACAGCGTCGCGGCGCATAACTACACTATAACCTACACACAACCGCATCCACTAAGTATCGAACATGTTCTCTGCACGTGCAACCCGAGCAGCCGCACAGCGCGTCGCTCGCTCTCAATCTATCCGAACTCCATTCCAACGACGCTTCGCCAGCAGCGAGAGCACCTTCGCTGGCGCCGAGGATAACGCTTTCAACCGGGAGCGTCAGGCCGTTAAGGATCATGCTGCTGCTACTAGTGGTCAGTAGTCAGGTCTTCTTGGAATTATAGACGAGCAAGGCATGAAATGCTAACAAAAGCTGCAGATCTCTGGAGAAAATTGTCAATCTAGTAAGCTATACATCACATGGACAAGTGCGGGTGGGGGGAAGAGGGGGCTTCTGGAAGACTGATTGGGAAATGATATGGCGGGAAAGAAACGTAAGGCTGATTTTTGGGACAGTGCTACGATTCCTTGCTTGATCATCGCAAGTGTCAATGCTAAGATCTTGTGAGATGAGCATTGGGCTCATTGGGAACATATGGGCCCTTTGGAGGATAGACCGGAATACCCATATCAAAACATGAGAACTAAGAACTTCTTTTGGGGTGATGGAGATAAGGCAAGTTCACTCAACCCTCTCTGTGTGTTGCTGCGAGATTTCATTACTGACCTTTTTCCTAGACCCTCTTGTAAGTTTTCTCTGTAACTATTATGAGAAAGAGAGCTCGACCTCGAATTGGCTAATTAAGTATATGGGATTACTGCTGACAATGTATGATAGCTGGAATGAAAAAGTCAACTACCACAAGAAGGACTAAAGACACTGACCAGTATGAAGATGGTGCTTGCAATGGTACTTCATTGGACGATGGAGGGAATGTTAGGGAAGAATCGAGGTTGAGCATAGAATGGCATTCATTAGATGTAGTCTAGTTTTTTTTTACCATAACAATACTTCCCATCATTTGCATTACGACTTTTCCTACACTAGGATTCCACCGGCCCATACTTGATTCTCTGAGTATGAACCCAAACATGTACATCAAAGACGCACCGCAGCTCTCTGCTGCTCAAGGCTTAAGAAAGAAGAAGCATAATCATTTGCCAGTGTCTTGTCACCGACAGCCATCATCACCATCGCCTTTTTAGCTCGTGCTTCACATTGCCCATTGATATCCCTGATGGCACAGAACTCTTTGAAAGCTCTATCAAGAAAGTCCAAGGATTTTGTCAGGTTCTCGGTTCTTTTTGGATCGCCTGCTGCTGCTTGGCCTGCCAATCCCATAAATGAGTCTGCGAGGCAAGAATAGAGCTGGGCGCTTAGTGTGCAATTTTCGCATTCCAAGGCCCTAGGAAGAATAGCAATGACGATTTGACAAGCCGCTTGGAACTCAGACAGAGCAACCAAAATATTTGCCACGGCTGCCATGGCAGCCCAGAGTGCTGGCATCAAGCGTGCTCGCCATGCTATACTTGCTGCACGAACCGCTACGGAAAAGCCTTTCTCTGGGCGACCGATCCTACTTTGTAAAAGCGCTTTCATCGTCAGTATCTTGACTCGCAAGTTAATATCATCTCCTTGTTCTTTTAGCGAAGAGGCAAGCTGCTCCAATTTCGACAACGCAGCGCCAAAATCTGCTCGACGAATGAGGTAGTCGACATGAAGGGTGCTGATTTCAAAGGAAAGATCCGAGTCCGCTTCAAGACCATCACATTGAAGAAGCTGAGACAGAATGTGGTCGGCTCCTTCTAAATTATTGGTATGTAGATCATTCTTAAGACGTAGTATCCCACGATATCTTAGCCAGTATTGGTTAGCTTTCCATGAGCGTAAAGAGTTGGAATCCAAACCCTCTAGCTTCTCTGCTGCTTGTTCATAAGAACCACGTTCCATCAGATAGTGTGCTATCCTACAGGTGAACCTCAACGTGTCGTCGAATAGGCCGTACCTAGCATGGCATCGAAGAAATACCTCACTATACTGCTTGGAGAGGCAAACTAGCCCTAAGCGACCCCATAAAGAAGACTGCATGGCGGTTTGTGGTCCCATCATGCTCTTCATACCTTTTTCCGTCACTAGGTGAGAGCTCTTAAGTATCCCCTCAAAAGCACTCGCCACACTCTCCCCATTTGACAGTGTCAACTTTGCCTCGCTGAGCAGCGAGGAACTCCAGAGTGTCCACATACCAGTCTCTTTGGCTTTTGTCCGTAAGAATGCAAGACCTTCCTTCTCAACGCCAAGCATACTCGTTGAGCCGGAGCTTTCAATGATGTTTGGATGTGACTTCCCGAAATGATATAACCAGTTTAAAGCAAAATTCAGACATGCCATGTCCTTGTTCTCTCTTGCTGTAGAGACTGTCTCCAGCATGGCAGCCACCGCTTCGTCGTAACATTCAAAATCAGCTTGAAGAACAGCAAGGTTCATGAGGGCATATTGATAAAATAATCGGTCTCGGTTTTGCATCGTGTAGTCAAAGTATCGATGAAGACTATCGAAGGATGAAGGGTAGTCACCGGATCTCCAGGCATCCAGGAAGCTGATTGTTAATTAGTTTATGACAAGCAAAGCAACAGGGTGAAATGTACTAACGTCAAGTAGTGAGACAAACTGGGCGTTATGACACTGTCGTCCAGGAGGGATTTGAGCTTAGACTTCACCTCAATTGGCATCCTCGTACCCAATTCTGAAAATGTTAGAAACGCCCAAGCCCTAGGTCCCAAAAGACTTACTCTGCATCTGTTCCACGTGAAATTCGAGGAGCGTTTCCACATCATCAGTACTAATCGATCCAGAAGCGTCCTCCCCATCCAAACCACCGTAGGCTATATGGGCAAGAGTTTCGGTCTCATCTAAGCCCCATTCTTCCTCTCCCTCTGTTAAAACTTTATCCCCAGCCCAATTTCCAACTGCACGGCCTCTCCTGGCCCAGTATGCCTTTGAATGATGCCTCCATTTCATGAAGGTCGTCCAAAGTTGTAGCACATCACCGAACTTTAGTCGTTCAAACTCGATCTTAGCTTTTCGCAAAAAGCTCCCGAACGGCGATATGCGAGACAGTAATATCATGTCCCCTGAAGGTGGGGGAATGCCCATTTCACCATCCTTCTTAATATCCTCCCGGGATTTGGCCAGAAGATTGTTCAGCCGCGCGAAGAATTCATATAAGGCATCTAGACTGTCGATTTTCCATAGCTTTGCAAGAAAGTGATCGCATAAAGACCTTCCTGGATGTCCAGAAGCAGTATTGTGTTGTTTAAGCAGGGCTTCGAAGGTTCCCAGATCTAGAATTGGGTACTGTGGAGTTGCGGAAACTTTCCCTGGTTGCTTGACGGAGCTTGATGGTAGCAATTGTGCGAGGATGAAAGATAGTAAAGAGATTGTGGACGATGTAGAAACAATCCCATCTGTGTATAGCTCGATGAGCACGAGCAACCCAATTTTGGAGGGTGTCAAATAACGGGTCATGACAAAATATTCCAATGGCTATGTCGCACACTGAAGGTCCAATCTTTATAGTTACATCCCACTAGAAGCAGAAAATTCCCGCTGGAAGAAGAACCTAAAAAAATTCGGGATCTGAATTAGAGAAGCCCCGTCGTGGTTGGTACACCTTAAAGATTTGAAGGAAGGAGGAAAGACGCGCTGGACGCGGCTGCCCCAGGGGTATTGCGGGGTATTTTGGGGTAACAAATATTGCGAATGATATTTGTTGGATGGCACAGCTTTCGTACGATTTATGCTACGTAAAAATGATATTCATAGGTATGGAATTTATACGGCAATTGAGGTTATCAGTGAACACTTTAAGTAAAGTTATTACATGTAAAAAGCAAAGATATATTGTGTAGATATAATTGGTAGATGCAGCAAAAGCTCCAGCCTCCAGCTCCGATATTATGAAATATAATGCGCCAGAACAATTTTCTCTCAAGTAAAGTTATAATTTTCATTATGAGATTTATTATGAAGGAGGCTTGCCGGCTTTCTCCTCGCTCCATCTGATATTCGCCCCATGTTTGCTCTTCAGTTGTCCCTCTTCCTCTCTGCCATCTTCTTCTAGGTCCTCCTCAGTCAATCCATTGGTGGCCCATATTCTCTCCACACACAGCTGAAAATCACCAGGAACTCTATCAATTAATCCTATTCCTACCGTCCGTACCTTCTGTCTCAACATTTCGCCTTGTGGTTCTACGACAACACCATGGTTCGTGCGCACAAACTCATTCCATTTAATCAATACTGTCTCCCACTCTCCAGGCCTTCGCGCATATAATCGATGTTGGTGTATATCCGTAGGTACGATTGATTCCGTTTGTATGTTCACAAAATACTTCCTCCCGTCACTCTTGATGCGCAGGGCGAGCAATGCATACGGATCTATGTTCCATAATGATTTTCCAAATATTGTGGATGGTTGATCAAGAGTCCTCCAAGCCGCATAGCCACTTCTCTGTATTTGGGGTCTGTTCGGGGGCAAGTCTATCGATATGTTTCCATGGAATTTGACGTGTCCATTCTTGTTCTCGGAGGGAGTAGGATTGGGATTCCCGGAGGGAGGTATCCAATCGAAATGTACTCGTGAAAAGCCTCCCATATCAGCGTCCGAGAAGACTTTACAGGTTTTTATGGATTCGGGGTTGTGAAAATTTACAAGGTGCAATGGAGATGTTGCTCTTCTTGTGCCTTCTGCAGTGAGTGCTAGAGGAAGTAAGCTTGTTGATATTTGAAACTTTAGCTGGGTATTTGGAAAACTTACCACTCATTGATAACCGTTTGAATTCATCTACACTACGGCCAAAAAAGCCCTTAGAAAGAGGAGGAGTGACCCTCATAATGAAAGCTTTCAATAGTGTTAGGTATAATTAGAAAGTGTATAGTTATTGTTGGCACTCGAGGTTTTCAAGCAACATTATTGATTGATATTGGATGCTTATAGTCAATGTAAGTAGAGAAGTGTATTGATGTGAATCTAGACTTTGATCTCAATAAAGCTCTTCCCCTCTCCTCCTCTTGTTAGGTAATCTCAGTTCGGGTGATCGGCCGCCTCAAGAGCTCATGGTTAATCCATCTCCGGGTAGTTCACGTAGTAAGTCGGAAGAACTTCGGGGTGAATCTAATAAAATTTATAAACTTGGGTGTTCTTGATCTTTAGATAAAAGTCCTACAATACACTGATCTGATCTAATAGTACATCATACCACAATGACAGAATCAGCTCTTACAACATTGACCCTTGATGGTCTCCCAAAAATCGCAGAAGGGAAAGTTCGAAATCTATATGAGATCGACGAGAAGACCCTCCTGTTCGTCGCATCAGATCGCATTTCAGCCTATGACGTGATCATGGAAAATGTATGCCTTCCCTCTTCTACTATTTGATCATAGCTTACAATATGCATAGGGCATTCCCTTCAAAGGCGCTCTTCTCACTCTCCTTTCCGCACATTGGTTTGAGGTTCTCACTACTTTGATCCCAGATCTCAAAACTCACTTCCTTACTCTCTCCATTCCGTCCTCCATCTCCTCATCCCAGCGCAACCTTCTTCGGAACCGATCTATGCAAGTCCGCAAACTCAAGATCTTCCCTATTGAAGCCATCCGTACGAGGTTACATAACCGGTTCCGCCTGGAAAGAAT